TACAGAGGTATTTGCCTCCAGACTAGTACTAATTTGATTGACTAACAGTATTGTTATAGAGTGACCCAATTACGGCATAGCTAAGGATAGCTTCCAGCACATATTTATTAGCAGTGTGCATTTCGTATTCGCCAGGAGCGAAGTGCATAGTGGGGGGGGGGGACTAAATCGATCGTCGCGCACATCTTCGGTAAAATCTGTGCCATGCTGGGCCAACCTGCGATGCAGATCATCAAAAGATAATTTTCAGTTTGAAATCCATATTATTCCTGACCTCAAATCGACTGTCTATTATTTTCATTGAAATCCGTTTATCTTTATATTGGACGTGTCAGGAACAAATATCTCTATCCTGCATAAGCTAGATGACGCTGTCATCGCCCACCCATCAAATATATTTTAAAATTATTATTATATATATATATTAAAATTATTATTACAATATATATATATATATATATATTAAAATTATTATTACAATATATATATATATATATATATATACAGGGTGACTTTGAAGTTGAGTCATTAATTTTCAGATAATGATTGTAGAAGGAAGATAAACCAAAATATGTGTGTAAAAATAAAAAAAATGTTTAGCTTGTTTTATAAAGTATCCTCTCGACAAGTATTTCAGTGCGGACCTGTATTTGATCGTGAGGTCCCCTGTGAGGTCTTAAGTCACCTGATTCACGAGCCCGTTGTACTACATTAACAAAGGCACGAGGGGTTGGTTGCACTCGATTGGGAAACCGATCCGCATAAACATGTGCCATTTTTTATTTCGTTTGAGCCACGCAACAGATACCACTATTCACTGACACTGACTGTATACAAATGAATGAAATAATTGTAAAAAGCATCGTTCCAAATTCTTTCGCTTTTTTGTTTCCGATTCGATGAACCGATACGGCGGATTATATCCGTTGTCGCCAAACACGACCACATAATATTATTAGAGAGAGGGCGGTACTCAAACTTCCAAAGGGCTATAACTTTGTTACTTTAATTTTACCAGAAAAATGGTAAATGAAAAAAACATTTCTTTTGATCAGATCTACTCACTGTTAAAATAAATGACTCAACTTCGAAGTCATATACAGTTCGAAGTTCAGTCATTTATTTTAACAGTGAGTAGATCTGATCAAAAGAAATGTTTTTTCCTTTACCATTTTTCTGGTAAAATTAAAGTAACAAAGTTATAGCCCTTTGGAAGTTTGAGTACCGCCCTGTCTCAATAATAATATTATGTGCTCGTGTTTGGCAACAACGGATATAATCCGGCTTATCCGTTCATCGCATCGGAAACAAAAAAGCGAAAGAATTTGGAACGATGTTTTTACAATTACTTTATTCAGTTGTATACAGTCAGTGTCAGTCGGTAACGCGTGAGTGAATAGTGGTGTCTGTTGCGTGGCTCAAACGAAATCAAAAATGGCACATGTTTACGAAAATGCTGAACATGTGGACATGGTTCTTATTTACAAAATGCTGCCGCGGCATCACGGATCTATGCGGATCGGTTTCCCAATCGAGTGCAACCAACCCCTCGTGCCTTTTGCAATCAACCTGTGGGCGGGAATTGTTAATGGAATTTTAGTGGGGCCTTTTTAATTACCAAATCGCTTAACTGGTGAAACTTATCTTGATTTCTTGCAACACAATTTGCCTGGTTTACTGGAAGATGTGCCTTTAAATATTAGACAAAACATGTGGTTTTTACAAGATGGGGCACCACCCCAGTATGCAAGAAATGTGCGTGAATTTTTAAATAGACAATTTAATAATCGTTGGATCGGCCGTGGCGGTTTTGTACCTTGGCCGCCAAGGTCTCCGGACTTAAATCCTTTAGACTTTTGTTTGTGGGGTTGGCTAAAAACTCTAGTGTATAAAAAACCGGTTAATACACGCGAAGAATTACGTGCTCGAATTGAGGAAATGAGTACAGTGATCAGAAATCAACCAGTGGTTTTATTGCGTGCTTGTAAAGAGACATGGCTAAGACGCGCCCAGCTCTGCGTCGAGCAAAACGGAAATCATTTCGAACAGTTTTTGTGACATGCTTTTGGGCGCACAGGTCCGCACTGAAATACTTATCGGGAGGATTCTTTATAAAACAAGGTAACATTTTTTTTTTATTTTTTTTTTATTTTTACAAACATATTTTGGTTTATCTTCCTTCTACAATCATTATCTGAAAATTAATGACTCAACTTCAAAGTTCATATGAGTATATATATATATATATAAACAATTAACTGCGAAAATTAGCCTATATATCTCTATAAAGGAAGCGTGTGCGATATGTTTCTATGGTATAATCTGCATAGTTGCATTTCATATCAGAATTCACTCTGTAACACGTGTGAGAAGAAATGTAAAAAAGCACGAACCTGCGGCAAGGTTCGGTGTCCAGCAAATTTAAACCTTGTATTTGACCAAAACTGAGCACCTTGGACTGAGGCAATTAGCATAAAAAAAATCAGAAAATGTCAATATATAGTCTAGTCGTCAAAGGAAATCTGTTGTGAAATGTATTTTTTCAACTATAACGTGTAAATGGTACACTGTAGTAAGAAAGTCGATAATTTTATGCTTTGAAGATAGACAACACAACTGACAATGTGTGTTCTACCAAAGATTCAAGTCAACTTTTTTTCTGAGAGGATAACTTATGTCGAATATAATCCTTTATTATCTGATAATCCACTTGACGCCAATTTTGTGATTCAGTTTTGGTACCTTACAAAACCTCCAGTTCTCTAACAGCTTGAAATATTCCACGAACGATTATGTCTTCCATTTGCATATACAGTGTCTGCCAAGGCCTAACAGCTCTCCGCTAAAGGCACAGTGTGAGCGGAGTCATTCCAATTCATACAACAGTGTGTCATATACCTCCAACGGTGTTTAAACAAATAAAAAGGGGGGCGATGCACTCGTCAAAGTTGATATCATTCTGTCATGGAGAATTAGTCATTAATTGTAGGCATTAACTAGTTAAATAGAGAGCTCTCATTTTGACACCAAGTCGTACATGCAGCAAGTGGCGTATACAAGGTGACCCAAATGTCAAGGAGCAAACGGAAGGAGGTCATCATACATATATATGTCCTTTAAGTTATCTTCATTTCAAGAATTTGTGGAAAATCGCAACTTTGAGATTGTACTATTTTTTTAAGTTGTCTTTTCAAAAAGCTATGTGAAAATATAACCCAGTTAATCTAGGTACAGAATATTCAACGAGTCCTATACAAAAATTTAGTAGGCGGATAATTTGTCCATAGTGATAAAAAACTTCTCGGTAATATGATCTTTCAAAATACTTATTGATAATCAAATATTCTAAATAGTTTATTGCGCAAAGTAGACAAAATGCTGCAGGTATCGTGAATACGCAAATTCCTATTTTTTAAACTTGACCTTTAACTCTCATTGTTGATCTTCCTTCCAAATAGGATTAGCAAACACTTATGTGACGATAAATCTTCAAAAGTGAATGAATTCTAGGTCTAATAATTCCAAGGGTGGGAGCCTTGACATTATTTTCGATGTTAAAAGCGTAACTGAAACAGTGTAGCATTACCTAATCTGAAGTTTATTTAAGAACAGGAATTTATAACATTCATAACTTACATCACTTTGCTCTAGAGAATCCACGAATGATAAGGCAGGACCGCTTCCAACATAGATTCGGTGTCAACTTATTGGCTGGGCTAGTGAGTGGACAATTAATTGGCCCATTTGAACTACCTCAGAGATTGTGTGAGATAAGGCTGGAAATTGGGCTCCCAGACTTATCTAATGAAAATCTAATGATTGAAAAATAGCAAAGGACAACTTAAGAAAAAAATAGTACAGTCTAAAAAGTAGCGATTTTCCACAAATTCTTAAAAACTACGATAACTCAAAAAAACGTGCACAATCGGGTAAGAACATATATGGTTTTTCTGATTGCAAATGAGCCTCCCTATCACCGCTTTCCGTTTTCAACTTCTTAGTTATTTCATCATGTGTTGCTGTTTTGTCCTTTCCACTTCTGGGATTATCTTCTATGGATTCACTTCCGCATCGACACTGTTTCGACCAAAATTTCATTGTGTAATTTGATGGTACATCACCCAAATATACGGCAACCATTCTCTCAAGAATTGTTTTCGGCTGATTACCCTCTTTTGTCTAAGTTACTCATTTTTCCTCGCAATTCACTTTATAGATTGGAAACTATCAAAATTAACTAAAATTTTGCAAGTAAGGTTAGAACACATGTCACTATTAGTCATACTATGCTTGTACGTTTCACTTGTTTTTTTCATGGCTAGGTAGATTCCTTTTCTAGCGTTCCTCGTAGCTGAGTAGCTTTTAGGGCCGTACGCGTAACTCTGCACGAATTAGTTTAGAATCAAAAGAAAATTATTGGTTTGAAATTCAATTTTTTTCCTAACATTAAAATGCTCATAGAGGAAATATGTCACTTGCTGTTAAATACTCAACTTTTGAATTTAAGAAAACATGAAAAAGCAACAAGAGGCACAACTAACGTGCCTCTTATCGCTTAACATACCCTCTGAAGTCTGAGTATTTCACAGTGAAAATGTGACAGAATCAAGATTTTTTTATGAGTGATATACCACTAATCTCATGTATCAAGCTCAAGTTTGGTTAGTTAAGGCTTGATTCCAAAATTAATGCCAAAATTTCAACGTCAGAGAATAAAGCGTTTATTTTCCTCATATCTGACGGAGCCTAACTTCCATTGCAGATGTAAAATCATATTCTGAGGATGGTGTGAAAATAAGTATTACTTCACGCTTAACCAGATTTAAGTAGAACTATAGACGCAGTGGAAGCTCGATTACTTAAACGATATTTATGAGCCGTAGTGTTTTTCAAATATTCCAAAAGTCCCTAATTTCCAAGGCTGTCTATGCTAAAACTTTTTGGCTTTTGCTGACAAACTTACGTTCTGTATATTTGTGTGTTTTTTCTTTTTGTTTCAGTTAAAAAGCACACAAGTCCTACAGTCCTTCATAAACCGAATCAACCAAGTCAATCCAATTTTGAACTGCGTGGTAGCAGAACGCTTCGATGAAGCGATGAAAGAAGCGCAAAAGGCGGACGAGCTGATAGAATCTGGGACCATTCCTGAAGAGGCTTTAACCAGGGAAAAGCCTTTTCTAGGCGTGCCTTTTACCACAAAAGACTGTATACCAATCAAAGGTACATAGACAGATGCGAGGTCTGTGCATTAAGTGATGAGACTGACTTTTTTTAATTTTTTTATTCATATACAGGGTGGTCCATAAGTCCTTTGAAATTTCAAATTTGTATAAAATTTAACGGGTGAGCGTGAGCGGCGCGGGCGAGGTGGGGGCAGTATCTTCAGTGTCTGGGAATTCAGTCGCCATGGAGTGTTTCACTGGAGCGGATCGTGCTTTTTGTGTGCGCGCATTTTATCAAAATAATGATTCGGCAACCATTGCGCGGCGTAAATATCGAGAATACCACAATTTACACAATTTTACAAAGTGTACAACAGCTCAAACGATTAAGAACTGGGTTGCTAAGTTTGAAGAGACTGGTTCGACGTTTGATAAACAGCGGTGGGGTCGACCAAGGACAACTCGTATTGAAGAAAACATCAACATTGTGGCGCAGTCTGTTCGTCAAAATCCTACCCAGTATACTCGTAAGCGTTCCAGTGCACTAAACGTACCCAGAACATCTTTACAGCTGATTTTAAGGAAAGATTTACGTCTGCACGCTTACAAAATTCAGTTAGTGCAGGAATTAAAAGATAATGACGCTATTCAGAGACTAAACTTTGCGAATGAAATGTTGAATCGATTTTCTTCGCTCAATAATGTGTTGTTCTCGGACGAGGCTCACTTCCATTTAAACGGGCATGTAAATAAACAAAATTGCCGTTATTGGAGCCCCGAAAATCCAAGGCGTAAGCATCAGAAGCCCTTACACAGCCCTAAAGTTACAGTTTGGGCTGCTATGTCAGCGCATGGCATCGTAGGCCCTTAGTTTTTTGAGGACGACAGAGGTCGCGCATTAACTGTTACTTCGGAGCGGTATGTAGCAATGATAGAAGAGTTTTTGACACCAGCGTTGCAGAATTTTCCAGGCTATAATACGCAGACCTGGTTTCAACAGGACGGAGCAACTGCCCACACCTCCAACACTTCTATGCCCGTCGTCTGTCAACTTTTTCCCAACAAAGTGATTTCTCGAAGAGGAGACATTTCCTGGCCACCACGTAGTCCAGATTTGACCCCAATGGACTTCTTTTTATGGGGCTACCTCAAGAGTAAAGTGTACGACACCACTCCGCGATCAGTTGATGTTCTGAAAGAAAATATCCGAAGAGAAATGGCAAGCATTACAGTGTTGGCTTGCCGCGCAGTCATCGACAATTTTAGACGTCGTTTATATGAGTGCCGTGATCGTAATGGATTGCATTTAGACGATGTGATTTTTAAAACATAATTCCCATTCAATAAAGATGATAACAAAATATAATAATTCTTCATAATGTAACTAGTTTGGTTTTATTCCTTTTTTTTCCAGCTCAAAGGACTTATAATATATATAATTACAATTTTATTTTGTCACCCTGTAAAGTCAATGCTAAAACTGGTATTTCTTTTGAAGCGCTGTCGACAATAAAATGACGAAAATCCATTTCTAGATAGTTTTAGATGTTTTAGAAACAGTTAGGAAATTTTACGTCTAAATATAACCTTGACCTCAAATAACATTCGAACTTGACGCGACCCTGACTTCGACGTCAAGGTCTCATTTACTGCTTCTGCCATGTTCAATATAAAAATGACAGGTTTATTTGAAGGTTATGATCAGTCACTTTTGAGAGATCCCACAACGCTCACAATTGTGCTGTTGAACATTTTTGCTAGACCGATTTTTTTGCGATGTCTTGATTTGACCTTGAAATGGTCCTGAAGGCAATGATCAAGGTCAGCACCATGGTACGGTCCGGGCTTAAAATTTTCTCCTCTTTTCAGTTCCGATTATATTTGAAGATATTCACTTAAACCTGAAATGAGCTTGAAGGCCGTATTCAAGGTGTCAATCGTTTTACACTCCCGAAACCCTAAGGGCCGGTTTTTTAATCCCAAGTTAACTGCAAAGTTGGTGTTTTTTAAGTTACATTATCCTTCACTAGGTCTGATCCACTCATCTGGACTGTTGAAACGAAAACACAACATTGCCTCTCAGGACGCGGAGGTGGTTTCGAGACTGCGCCGTGCCGGCGCTATCCCCATAGCTCTAACGAACGTTTCTGAGCTGTGCATGTGGTGGGAAAGCGCTAACAATGTCCACGGACGAAGCATGAACCCGTACGACACGAACAGGATTGTTGGGGGATCATCTGGAGGGGAGGGGTGCGCGCAGGCAGCTGCTGTATCAGCCTTTGGTAAGCAAAATATACTACACTATTACATTTTTAAAAACGAGTCTTTATTTAGTCGAAACTAGAATTTTAAAAATATTTTTGGAAATAATCAAGCAATGATGATGCCCCCTCATCTAAGGTTTTCAAATAAAAGCGTCTTAAACTCTTTTCCATCATATCAAAACACGTAAATTTGAGACGGACGTTGAATTTCCGGCTTATTCCAATTCCAATACTAAAATGAAGGATAACCATCAAGAATTTAATCTTGACCTTGAAGGACATGGTCAAGGTCAAATACTGTCGAGTATTTTTGCAAGACTTTGAAGGTCATGGCGAAGGTCACGATCAAGGTCGTATCCAGACCTGAAACTTTCTCCTCTTTTACATCATACGCCACTGGCTGAGGAAGTATTGTAATCGCGAAAAGTTCCAAAAATGAGATATTTTTTTGTACAGTCTACGAAAACCAAAAGTTGGCCAATGTTGACCTGAAAAACTCTTTAAAATGAACTAATCTCAAAATACTTTGTAGAGCAACGTTTTGATTTTAACTTAGATACTTGGCGACCTCAGAAAACGTAATTTTTAACACAGTGTTTAAGCATTGAGTATAGCCACACGGTAACCCAGAATAAATTGTTTGTAACATTTTTTTTTTAAATATATTACAATTTTTTTGCTTGTACACTTTTTTCGGGATTTTTTGGATCACTCCGAACAATAATGGCTTCTTCTATTAACTTTCCTCTAAAGCTCACCATTTTTTAATTACAAGCGATTTAATGTCTGAAAAAGCCTTAAAAATGAGTATATTCAATGTTTGAAAAACATGGTTGATAAGAGTGTTCCATTATCCTTATTAGGACCCCCAGGATTGATAAACTCTTTTATAGATCCTCTGTAGAGGAGTAAGAGAGAGAGCTACCGCACGATCTGCGCATGCGTGCAGTTTCGGACTTACTCTTTGTTAGTTACAGCACTCGGCACAGCAGAACGGAGGCAGAAACTTTTTCACCTTGTTCATTGCGAATGTTGCCATTAATCCTGAGTTGGTCTTCGACAGTCCACAGAAGCAAGGTTGTACAGTCGATCATGCAGTCATTTATCTAGGCTCGCGACTTTTTGCTGCTGGACAAGCTTATGTAGAACTTAGTCGTGTAAGATCTTTAGACGGTATTCGGAATGAAGAACTTGATTGCTCTAAGTTAACAGGAAAAACCCCATGCAACAGTGGTTTAAATGAAATGATTAGATTACGAAATGATTCCTAAGACATTTCAATACCAATATCCACAAAAATCTAGTTTATATTACAGTAGTAGATGGTCGAACAATCAATCTTAAATAACGACCTCAAAATAAAATTATAATAAAATTTAAGTTTACTACCAGAATAATTCAATTCAGAGTAAAAAGCGCGGGGCGCATTTTACTACATTTTCATAACTCTCCTCTCATAGATAGTTGCCAATAGAATGATTGTAACATATATCAAGCACCCCAAGCTTTTTACTGTGAATTGAATTATTCTGTTAATAACTTAAATTTTATTATAATTTTATTTTGAGGTCATTAATTATGATTTACTGTCCGACCATCTACTCTTTGTAATTGAAAATTATTTTCTACGTTTCTTTATTGCCAATTTCACCATCGTTAATCAGTTTGGAAGAAAAAGAAAAAGACCTCATTGAAATGCAATTTGACGGAAGCTGTCAAAGCTCTCTGAATATCAGTGATTTCTATTGAGATATTGAATAAAATCGTGAAAATTCGACAGTATTATAAACAAGACCACCTTTTGATTCCAACATGATGCTTTTTACAGAGAAAACAGGACAACTTTCACGTATTTTGATTTCTGTTATAAATTCACATTTAACTATCAGTTATCTCCAAAGCCAATGGGAATGCGGCAAATAATAGGTCGATGTTCCAGCTGTTAAATTTGGCAGCAGGTTTGGACGTTTGTTAATGCATGGCAATCTCGAATTTGTTAAGTTCAATATTCATATGTTTATATGTTATCATTATAGCTACATATCTGTTGAATAGTGTGGATTTGTCTGTATTTTGCAAGAAAATAGAATGTAAAATACATTCCAACCAATTCCTCATCTTCCTTTACATCATAATAGTAATCATTTATTAATTTACGAGTTATTGAATTTCTTCAGCAATAAAAACATTGTGCTCTCCATCCTAAACCACAGATAATATGTGTAAAACGTGTTAATCCCTACATCTCCGTGATGCATAATGCAATTATTATGGACACAGACAAAAAAATATGAAAAAAGTCTCACAAATAATGTCTTTTAAGTCCAAAAGTCATAAAAACCAATAATGTTTATTGTTTGATTGCCTTTTTGACTGGCGGGGATATCTATCTGTCACTCGCAGGGTTACCAAGTCTAACGACGATCACGTCCCGTGGTGGAGGGTGCGAAATGAATCTTTTACATTTGCTGGTTTTGAATTTAAAGTAGGAACACAAAATTTAGTACTTATGATAGTTGGAGCTAGACTGATAACACTTCTTGAAGAATATTTGAAAAGTGTGAACACCATCATGGTCTGTTGTCAAATTGCCAGTTTAGTATCTGAAAATTCTTACATACAGTGGACCTTCGTCATAGTTTACTATCCTCATTATGATCATCTTTGGCAGATGTGTTGTATCATCAAATTGATGAACAAATATAAGAAAGCTCTTATATAGCCTGCTGCCCTATCAACACAAATTTAACATACCGGTCGCCTAGCCGTGGGGATGCAGTGGTCGGGATGAATATCATGGCAGCAACTGATGATTCGGGCATGTCTGGTAACAACGTATAAAGTGAAACTCGCTAACTTCTCAAATTTGAAGGTTTTGTACAATTTCTTTGAAAATGATGAAAGGTATGTCTGATTTGGCAAGGTAATGTCGCAGCCAAATGGCAGTCGGTCTTTCTGGACGCTGGCCAAGCAGATTGAAAAGAACTTCTCACACAGTAGCCTTCCACCACTTACGTGTCAGGATGGAACGATTGTAACTGACTCGAAGGCCAAGGCTGAAGTGCTTGCCAAGATCTTTGCTGCCAACTCCACCATGGACCCCCCCCCCAACAAAGCTTCTGGTCCGTACTTGTTTGTACTGAAGAGGTGTGCAGCGGAGCTTGCTCCAGTTCTTTCGCGTCACTTCCAGATATCTTATGAATCCAGAAAACTGTAAATTTGCTCAGGTCCAACCCATCCCAAAAATAGGATCTAAAACCGACCCTTACAACTACAGCCCTATAGCTCTGCTTTCTGTTATAAGTAAGGTGATGAGAGGTGCATAAATCGCGAGCTTCTGGACTACCTCGATCGTCTCGGCTTGATTAGCGACAGGCAGTGTGGTTTCCGACTGAACTAATTTTTCACTCATTGTAGAAACATGCTGCTTTGATTTCCATCTTTGAATGCAGCCATGCTGTTTGTTCGTGGTTTACTATTATTTTTTTTTTCGGTGTTTTATCATTGTAACACGGAAAATGACAAAGAAACGAAAAATATGCTTCATTGACATTACTGCTCGCGACGCGACATGAGAGTTGTTTAATGTTGTTTTGGAAACAAATTTAGGATCAACGGTATTAACTAAGGTAGAGTATTTTAAACATAAAAACTGCGCTAGTTTTATCAGAAGAAAAACACTATATCTCTGAGCCACAGTAGCAAAGCGAATCTCAGGCTTTCGATTCTCCCATCACTAGTGTGATGAAATGACAATTTGTCCCTCTTTGGATTACAGAAATAGTGATGTGCCTTCTAGTTCGTTTCATTAAGTTGCGTTCAGTTCTAGGAACTGGTTCGTGAACAGACTACTTTATGCAACAATACCACAAAAAATATAGTACAGAAACAGAGCAGATATTCCAGTCTGTCAGTCGAGATAACGTAAAAACGATTCAATTCATATATTTTAACCGTTCCAATGCATTCCACTGATTGCAAATGTATTCTTCCATAACTAACATTGTGAGACACTAATTTCAAATGTCAATTATTCTTTGGTCTATTCTCCTTCTCCAACGTTACTGTAGTCTATGTTTTGTTGTTTTAAGCTTGTGTTATTTATGAAAAATGGATTTTCCGTATAAAAAGTGCTTTCTTGTGCAGAATTACATATTACATTGTCGTGTACACGGTAAATCTGCACTAACCCCCAAATGTGTACCATGTACCATCACCGATGGTGCGACGGATTATACGCTGAAATCAAAACAAAAAATTGCAACTGCAATTGTATGTATGAATGTTGAAATCTTAAACAGTTTCGGACCAGTGGGGTCAAAATGTCGTTGAGGAATTGGAAAGAAGTGTATGAATGTGTTGAAACGCAACACCTAACAAAAATTTGACTGAAAAGGCTTTTTCATGTAAGGGTTTGAAAGTGCAAGTTTGCAAATGTAGGATAAACTATTAACACACAGTAGGTGTTGTTCAGTTAATATAATCACATATGGATTACAAAAGTTGCAATAAACATGGAGGAACCTTCAGCTTAACTGAAAAAAATGGATTTTACTCAGACATCAAGCATTTTTTTTTAATTTTGGCTCAGTTTTATGTAATTTCATAATATTTAATAGACTGAAAACATTTCAATGGCAAGCTGTCACTTCATATTTTACAGTGTTTTGTTTTGAATACATTGATGCTATTTGATGCCAAAAATTTGACAGAGAGATCTTGAGGTATATTTGACCGACTGTTTGGTACTCGTACCCTATTGGTGCAGAATAATGGTTTTTTAAATTGTGAAATCGGCCCTTAACTATTATTTGATAACCTCATCTGATAGGTCAAATTTGGAGAACCTTTGGACTGTACATCACGAAAGACCATGTCAGTCGTTTCCATCGGCCTATCTGTCTGTTGGTCTGTCCAGTTTGATTTCGATGTCAAAAAAGAGGTTTTCATTCAAAATAGTCGATTGACCTTGAAATGACCTTGAACGTCATATTTTTGGTCATTGTAACTATGATATTGCCTCCTCGAAACTCTACAACCTTTGAAACTTTCCATATGATCTCATTTTTTTAAATATTTAGGTGGGGAGATTAAATTGGGACATTATACTTTTTATGGCAACCTATATTCTGTTGTAATATATATTTAAAAATTAATCCATTTCATATCTTCTCTTCAGTTGCTAAAGCCCCTTATTTTACTCTGCCCCAGTCGTGGGCTCTTTAGCCGTAGATCCGCATGGTTATTACTTAGTGTCAAAAAAAAACACGAAATGTCAACTTGTTGACTAGATTGCTGATAGTGTGCAAATAGTTTATTCTGCGCCTGCTACAAGTGAACATGAAGGCAACGACAGCTAGTTCCTAGTTGACATCTTGTAGGAAAACCTCCATAATGTCATAAAAAACGAACATAATTTCAAATAACCGACATAATCTCGCTTTTCAAGTTACGTCATACCCGTGACGGTCGTCTAGTGCCCCAAACTTGCTGGACCGTACAAAAGTGAACAATTTACTCAATATGTTTATAAGAAAATCGTGACTTAATTAAGCTTCGGACTCATCAACAAATTATGCAATTTGTAGAAAGTGTCATCCGATAGTAACGTCCCAAACAAATATGTTCTGTGATAATCAATACAACAAACAATATACGTGAAGTGTTACCGAATCGCTCTGTGCACGATGTTCCATTAACGGAATGAAATACATAATGTATAATGTTTATATCTATAATTGTATCATGTCTCACGGGTAGCAACAACAAAGGAAAACTTCCGGCGGTTCACGACCGGTTTCTTACGATATAGAGATGGGCGGTCACTAAAATAGCCATCGAAAATTCATTCTCCCCTTTTTTGTATACCGAAGCAGCCGCACAGGCAGAAGCCTAAATGCCAGGGTATCGCGGCTGCTATGAGGAACTTAAAGAAACGTTGTTAATTTTTGAGCTGCCTAAGGTTAGTAGAACTGGGAAAAATCTCATGTGGATTGTTTAACGTTAAGTAGTCCTTAAGTATACATTTATGGTAGTACCGACGAAGAATGTTTATTCTCTAATTAAACTAGGGCTGCCATTTCAAGGATTTGCCCAATTAGACGGCGTCCTGGGACTCAGTGGCGTAGCAAGGGGGGCGGCGGGGGCGGTCCGCACCGGATGTCACCTTTTTGAGGTGACACCGACCCGGTGACTCAACTTTAAGAACAATGTACAAACATAAAAATTGCACAGATTGCAATGCAAAGTAAAAGCTTAAGTTAGTGTTGACGAACCTGCTACAAAGATAGAGGCACTTCGTCTTTATATAGAAGAAAAACGGGGTCACATTGTGGAAGCGACAATAGATATTGCTATAAAGAAGACTACGATATTCCAATAGAAAGACGAATTCGTCGTAAAAAACGGTTGGTGAGATGGCCAGTAATGCAGGACTCACAGGGAAAGAAGAACTCCAAAAAAAATATGTTGGAATGTCTCAATCGATTCAGAGTTGAGCTCAAGACAGACAAGATCGAAGTCTCTTCAAGACCTAGCTTCATTGTTCGAGATCGTACAAATAAATACTTTTTTTTTGCGAATACTGAAGAACTGAAATTAGTTACATCCAAATTTACTAATTTTTATGATGAGGTCTCAGAAACAGAATTACTTTTGGAGATACCAAGACTGCGAAGACACTTAAAAGCCGCTAATGTTACAGTTTCTGATTGGGTATCTCTAGATTTTTTAAAGTTTATTGTAGAATGGGATTTTACAGAATCTCTTCCAAATTTTATGATTGCACTAAAATTGTTCATGATGGTTTGCGTGTCCGTAGCTTCATGTGAAAGGAGTTTCAGTAAGCTAAAATTAATAAAAAACTATTTGTGGGCAACAATGACCCAAACGCGGCTTAGCAGTCTCGGCATATTAGCCACATTTGATAGTTATTTCTGAGTTTGTAGCTTTCAAAGCTAGAAATAAGAGATCTTATTTGTCAGATAAAAATATATTTTCTGTCTTAGTTTTTATTGTGTTTTGTTCAATATTTTAAATATATATATTAAATGATCCATACCGTCTATAAATCATATAAAGTGTATCGCTTTTGACTTTCGATGGGGTGACACCACCAACTTCCGCACCCAAGGTAGCCACACGACTGTGTAGGACTGTCTGGAAGGAGCTTTTAAATAATATCTGGGGATTACCGGGATACTTTTTTCGCGCTTGCAATTTCCCCTCGCCTATTAGCCTGGTAACTCAAGGACAAACAGCGACAAAAAGAATAATAGCTTGAGCTACTTGAAACCAGGAGCTGATCCAGGGGACACCGGTGCTATTGCTCCCCAAGACTTCAGACTTGCCGGAAAAAATGAGGAAAGGAGAGAAAAAGGAAAGGTAAAAGGGAGATGATAGAAGGAATGAAATGAACGAGATTGGGGGGAAGAAAATGAGAAGAGTCGTGATGCTGGGTCCGGCTTGTAACATCCGCGCTTCTCACAGCTAATTCTTGCATCTTGCCGCAAAATTATAAGCTGTTTGATATTATCCTTTTTTTCTCGAGTAATCTGTTATTTACCCATCCTTACTCTGCATTCATTCCACTCTCACTTATGAAATCGGTCTACACTCGCTGCTTATTAATTCAAAGATTCTTATTAATCATAAGTGCTTGTACTTGTGCTGTACGAGTTGGGACCTTGACGTCGTATGATAATTTTATTGAGACTAGTGTGTTTTAATACAGGGTTGTTCGAACATGATAACGTTGTCTGTGTTTGTATAAAAAGAGGTTATCGACCAAGTTTTTGTCACCCACGTTGATTCCAAACTGCTTCTGTAACTTGGAAACTAGACTGTACGACACATATTTATGTGAACTTTTCCACATAAACTTAGTTCGTGAATACGCCTAGGTCATTAAATAACACCCTGTAAATAAATAGTTGATTTGAACTTAATGTAACTGGTGCAATAACATAATTTCGCTGCTTCCACGGTTGTTTTGCATAAAGCCAAATCTTGGGAATGCCTGAAAAGGGTAATTGAAAATGATTTTTGGTGTACAAATAAACTGTCAAAACAAACTTACAGTGATTCCTTACCGTTACGGTTTAAAATTAACTAAGAAAGCGGAAGAAGAAATTAAATCTCTTGGAATATTATATACAGAAAATGTAGTACGGAATAAGCAAATTGAGTACGTGAAAAAAAAAATTAGATCACTAATTGGCAATTTAAAATATATAAGCACTTGTTTAACATTAGATTGTTATAATCCTACGAACAAGGTCTTACCTTTGTGGGTTTTACCGTTTACTTGTTACTTATTTTATTGTTGCTTTAAGCAAATAAACATTATTATTGACGTAATTATTAAGAGAAGTAGCCTTCGCCTGAAAATGTGTGTTATAGATATTAATCTGTTAACTCGGTCAGCACTTATGTGCAATATATTTTTTTTTATTTTCAGGTATTGGTTCTGACATTGGTGGATCTATTAGAATGCCATCATTTTTCAATGGCATATTCGGGCACAAACCATCACCAAACGTAGTTCCTAATCATGGACAATATCCAGAGCCGGTGACTGAAGAACAAAATAGCTTTTTGGGACTGGGGCCCATGTGCAGGTAAAAGAGATTTTGTACTCAAATGCCATATCGAAATAAGTTCAACCATATTAGTTTTCTACATATTTCAGTGTTCTACAGTTTAACATAAACCTTTCCTATCCCTTACTCGTTTTGCGTGCTCCAGCTACCTTCCCACAAAAAGTGTTTCTTATTGAAACAAACATGTTTATTAGTATTCTTTTTTACTCGTGTATAAACATTTCTGAGTGTTTGGGTCTACATATAACTACATCATTCGGCCTCATTTTGACATTTGCGCTTGACTACTTTTTGGTTTAATCAAAACATAATATAACAGTTACAAAAACTTTAAATCCAGGCATGAGTATTATTACTATTTTGTAAAGGCTTGATGAAATTTGATTCATTACCAAGTCATATAAAAAATTCTAGTAACATAGAGTTTTCTTAAGGCATTCATAAAATTTTGGCAGTGCGTTAATTTATGGGGACTAATAAAAAAACATTGTAAACAAAATATAATTCATTGTTGTTATAAATATAGGCACATGAGCCATAAAAATGTCACATTCAGTAAGAAATGTTTCGGTAACAGCGGTAATTCATTAAATGTTTGTTGAATGCCTTAAATGTATTATGTACAATAATTAAAGTTTTACTGCTAATATTTAGTTTTGAATTCTCCTCTAAGGATGTGAATCCAAAGGATTTAAAAGCCACATACGAGTTCTGTAAATTATTTTTTAATTTTTCACTCAAATATAATTGCAGTTTTATATTGTCGGCGTCTCCAGTGTTGCCAGATAGAACGCTACGTTGTCACTCTCATCACCTAATTTACAGACCTCGTAGATTTGATATTACATTTTATATGGCGTATGTTTTAATTTAAATTACTCCTCCAAGCAACGGTGTACCTTATGATAGAAAATAATCACATTCTCTTCAGACATGCTGAAGATCTAGCTCCAATCCTCAAAATTATATCTGGTAAGAAAAGTGAAGGACTGAGGTTGGATGAAAACGTAGATATCAAGAAAATTAGGTGGTTTTACCAAGATGCGGATGCAGGATCGTTTTTCGTATCACCGGTTTCGCCTGAGATCAGAGAGCTGTTCGAGAAGATAGCCAGACATTTGGAGAAAGCTCATAGTATAAAAGCTGCAAAGGTGAGAAATTTTTAACAAAGGTATTATTTTGCGTTACAGTTCTTCGCAGAACGTGTTAGGTGTTTCTATCCATAGAGGCAGCATATGACTTACGACAACAAGGCTTTGAAGAAATACGAAAATCTGAAAAAAACAGGAGCTTAAGATTCAGTAGTTTTCCTAAAAATAAGCAGCATTATAACCTACGTTTGGCAAAATGTTGAAAGTCTCGTGGCTTTCGAGATATACGGCAGTCAATTTCTTTTAGCTAAAATCGATACTCGACTAGTTAAATGGTTGCTATTTCTACAAATATCTTTTTGAGCCATGTTTGTTTCAAAACATTCACAATTGAATGCTTCATCAAAATCAGTGTTGCTTTATTCTTTTTATAATCTAGAATTCAAAGTATTGTTTCTGTCATATTTTAACATACAAAATATAACAAATTTCGTTTTTATTATAAACTCTATCTTTTAATGTTCAGATTCATTACATTATCATGGACTTGGTTTATTATTGGTTGTATATTCGTAGCCGAAGTTTTTTTTTATAATACACCATACAATAATAATAACGCCTTTATTTGTTGTACATGTGAGGGACAAAGACAGCGAAGCTTAGCCTAGGCTACTCTTACACTTAAACTATCTTTGTCAGTACATTTAGAGCATGGTGCAATGTGCGTTACCTAAGATGTCATAAAAAAAAGTATAGTTATAAAATACATCACAACTATATACAGTATGTGTATGGATGCCCAAACATAAATATACATATGTATTATATATATATATATATATATATATATATATATATATAACAAAAAATAGGAAAATACTTTTTTAGTTGCATATGTGTATTCATTTCGGGCCTGATGAAGCCAACCAGCAGAAATACGTATCGCTCGGGTTACCTATCCTATTTTCTGCTCGAATCCACTTTCCTTCTTTTTGCGGATTTTGCCCATTATTTTCCTATTTTTTGTTATATACCTTTCTCCGCATGATCATTATATATATACATATATGCACCCATATACTCATATAATATTTAGATACATATGTATATACATAAGAAAAAATACTGGACCAATATCAGGTAAGGGTAAATACAAATTGTTTTATTTGTTTACGGAAATTGGCAGAAGACATTTCCTTGTATTTACCTGGTAAAGCATTGTATGACAGATAGTTCTTTTTTTCTCAGGTATGCTACCAACGCTTCTCCAAAAGCGGACCGTTGTGGTTCGCCAACATGAAATCGCCCGGCGGTCCATCTTTCCAAGAGCAGTTGGCCAATCTGAACGGTACCATCAACCCATGGTGGGAACTGCTCAAATGGGTCTTCGGGCAAAGTGAGCACACATTCATCGGCATTATGACCTGCCTGGCAGAAAAAGGGGGTTGCAAGTATGGCGATGAGAAGTATGAATATCTGGTTAGGGAGAAGAATGAGTTTAGGAGGGAGCTGTCGGATTTGCTTGGTGAGTTTGTGTTTTCTTTAGTACTGGTTTTGTTGTCTTTTTTACATCCCACGCCTACTGCCGAGGAAGTATTGTAATCGCGAAAAATTTAGAATATGATATGCTGTTTTTTTTTTGAAAATTATGCTATGGTTTTCATATGAATATTCCCCCCATGCTGCACGTATATTGACAATCTTCTTTACAGGTCTACGTTCGTAAATTGTTACAAAGTACTTTGTACTACTCAGCAAGAATTTCAGCGCTCTTATGTGTTTGACGTACCCGTTCAAAGCGTCCGGAAATAAAACAAAGTAATCCTTCTGGAGCGTCAAAAGTGAAATTTTCTTCCCGCGCTCGAAACCTTGGGAATAAGAGTGTTGACACTTGTCATTCTCATGCTTCATGGTTTGTTTACTGTATCTGGTTATCAAAAAGTGCTCAAAATTGGCTGAATATGTATTTTTCACGATAAATGGGCTACCTCGTATCCATAGCGTTTCTTTTAATAAAAAATGGTCTCAGAAAACGTGGTTAGAAATTAGTGGGCTATCATCAAGGGTCATCATTTTGACATTCAGATTTGCTTGGTGAGTTTGTGTCTTCTTAGTACTGGTTTTGTTGTCTTTTTTACTTCCCACGCCTACTGAAGAGAAAGTATTGTAATCGCAAAAAAAATCGAAAATGATATACTATGTTTTTAAATTAATGTAACATCTGAAACTTATCCTGTGGTTTACACATCGATAATCCCCCCATGTATATTGACAGTTACAATAACAATTTCAGCGCTCTTAATTGTTTGACGTACACGTTCAAAGCGTCCGGAAATAAAACAAAGTAATCCTTCTTGAGCGTCAAAAGTGAACTTTTCTTCCCGCGCCCGACACCTTGGGAATAAAAGTGTTGTCACTTGCTCGTCTCATGCTTCATGTTTTTTTTTGTTTACTTTATTTTTATGTTACTATAGGAAGTTATTTTATTTGTAGTTCAGTCACATATTTAGGTAGCGAGTTTTATTCCCAGGATTTGTTTTTTTTTCAATGCGGTGGGTGGAATTTATATTTTATGTTCCATGACTGTAGATCGTACCTTTCTTTGTTTTTTTTATTCAAATCCACAGATAATGATACCCAATCTCCTAAAGATACGATTACATATTACTTCATCATAACTATGCCACTGACGAGCAGAATGTATTTTTCGAACCCAATAGTCATTTTGGTGCTGTTTTAAAAGCACCTAAGTGTTTCAGAATGTATATACAGAGGTGTCCAAGATACGGATCCTATGCATGGAGATCTATTGGAGATACAGCTTAGGTTAGATTAGGAAAAAGTTGCGTCCTTTGGGGAGTATTTACATGCCGTTGAGAAACTTGTGAGAATTTCATGACTTACTGAGATATTTGGGGAAAACCAAAATTTGACCAAATCATTTTTATTTTTTTCTGACTTTAAGAAATATCAAAAAACTAATGAAACTTTTCCATTAGCACCTTTTAGGCACTACATGATGGTGTTTTTAAATTTTGTGCCCTACGGTTCGTTTTTGAGAAACCACTATCAAAAAAATTTTTATATGGTCCCTGTTCCCTGTAATATCATTGTTTATGCAAATTCAACGATGTATCACATGTTACATTTATTTTTTTAGTTATAAGTTTTTTCTATTTTTACCTGTCGCCGATTTATATTATTGTGTATTGTTATGTATTGCACTGGGTAAGCCATGAAAGTTTCTCAAAGGCATGAAAATACGCCTCAAAGAACGCAGCTTTTTTCTAATTTAATGAGATCCCCATTCATATGATCCTTATTTTGCACACCTTGTATATCCAATTGTGCATAGTTCAAAAAAAAATGTATGTGGGAAGTGCTACTAGATGCCATTTTTTTGCAGGTGATGACGGCGTACTGCTATACCCAACTCACCCAACTAGCGCCCCCTATCACAACGAACCTCTCTTTAAGCCGTTTAACTTTAGCTACACGGCTATCATCAACGTATTATGCCTTCCTGCAACCCATTGCCCAATGGGACTGGACTCCGACGGGTTACCCATCGGCATCCAGGTGATAGCCAAGGACGGCAATGACAAGTTATGTCTTGCTGCGGCAAGAGAGATTGAAAAAGCCTTTGGGGGCTGGGTGCCACCCAAGATAGAAGCTTGAGGCACTAAGGGTATGTCGCTATTGTAACGTGTGGATATAAAAAAATGTCTAGAAATTAGGCTGTATCAATTTTCAACCAAACAGGACAGGATGTATAGGAAAAATCACTTCGCATTTAATGGCAGTTTTTTTTTTCTTCATGCAAGCAGTTTCCAAAAGTTTTCGAAAATCGTATTAAATTTTTTCATAATTTATGCCAGGAGATAATATAAAAGATGTCTTTTACATTGTCTAAAAATGTCAATCGCGCATAATACCTTACTTTCGTTGCTCATTAATCCTCAAAACAAAACTGTTGCTCTAAAAATTGTTATATAATTCTTCCAGAAAGTGAGATGATGGAGAATATTGGTGATTATTACATTGAACCTTTATATACAATTTAACAGAACTCGATCATTTTTATCTGCTTTATTCCATTGCATTTATCTTTTACGGGATTTGATTACTACGGTTTTCCTATAGAAATTGTAGGTATGAATGGAAGCTCTATAAGGGGTAATTTTTCAAAGTACTCGTATGTGTAGTGTGATCAATGAATTCGAATAGGAATTAGGAGCCAAGCCTATATGTTTACGTTGCATTGTTAGTCACCAAAGTTGCTTAGTTTTCATGTATACTTTTGACTTATTGACCACCGAAGTGAAACAAAAACACTTAATGATGGAAACATCTACCTTCACTAGGCGTGTGCTGATCTTTACAAATTACGTAAGAAACACCATGCCTTGAAATCGGCTAACGCCACAATTATCTGCAAACACTTTTAAAAAATAACACCAAAAATATGAACTTAATGACAGAAATGTCAAAAAATTATTTTATGCACTTTAATCCTCACTATGAGAATTAGGAGACATACAAATCCTTGACTGGCTCCTTCCATCTAGTCTGAATTCCTTGGATGTGATAGCATCATAGCGATTTCCTATCCCTAGTGCCTACTTAGAAGGACATACGATATTTTTTATATGAAGCTATATATTCATTTGTGATACTTTTAAATAACTTGTCATTTACTCTTGCTATATTTTGTAAACTGTATAGATCATATTTAAAGGTGTTTGGCTTCGAAAAAGGTGTTTTCAAAGTTGATGATGAAGTCTCAATCATTTTCATGGCGTGTTAAAGGTGTATTTCTATTGGAGTATTGGTTGAATAGCTCAGGATAACAACAAAAATATCTCATTATTACTAGAAGTGAGGCCGAATTTTTTTGTCAGTGATGTATAAAAAACCACTTTACTGAATGCACCTCTTTCATGCTACTTTCAGGATATAGTCTTCAGTGTAGTTTTAACGTAAAATTGTGTTTCATGTTTTAATCTCGTAAAATTGAATGTGATGTTGTTTTTTGACAAATTAAATGAAAAAGGATGAAAATAAGTGGTATATTTAACAGTAAAGTAGCTGTAACAGCATGTAATTTCAAATGCGATAATAATCAAAAAGTTGTAAATTGTTAAGCTGGCATTATACACTAGCTTAACTGTTGAAGTATAATAGAGGTATAGTTATTTACGTATCAAAAGTTACAAATTGTTGAACGTCAAATAACATGACAATGATGATAGCGATTGATTTTTCATTTTGTTTGTCAGAGAATATTCACAAAATAGGAACCAAAATTTTGACTGACCACTTAGAAAAATTTTTATTGAGGCAGTATTTTTGCTAATCTGTGTACGCACAATGTATTATGTAATGTGTATATATCAATCTGTGTGTTTATTCTCAGGTGCTGTTTATATGGAAAAGTTCGGACTCTGTGTTATTTTTATAGCTGTTATAAATTTTATATGGAAATATATGCTTACAACTTCATCTAGTTGTATCATTTCTTCCTCTCCACTCTTAGATTTTGGCGTCACTTCACTTTAAACTAGGCCACCCGTAAGCAGCTTAACAATCGTGCAAATTAAGCAAGATCAGATCAGAGATGGTGTCCCTCAGGGTTCAGTCCTTGGACCTATCCTTTACTTACTATACCCAGCCACTGCGACTATTTCTATGCTGTTGAGCCGCATTGGTGGCCCAGTCCTGGTCGGGTGACCTAGTCTACAACACATGACCGTGCTTATGGTTTTATTGAGATCGAGCCCAAGGTATCGTACTTGATCGAGGACGGGGCTACGACTGTTCGTTCCCATTCCGCCAAACTTGATCCGCTTAGGGTACTGTTACAGTTTCTTTTTATGTTCGACTAAAAATTAACTAAATCTTGATAAAGTAAATTGTTACAACGTTTTTCTTATTTAGAATAATAATTTTATAGCCGTTCTTATAAAATATCGGATTTTATTTTTAGTAATAAAACACTTCGTACTCTACTCTCCATCTCGTTGGAGGTCATTTTTAATAATTTGGTGATATTTCCGGTGCTCTGGTGTAGGAATTCTGCGGCCCACTGCCCGATTCTGTGAAATAGTTACACTCGCTACGTTGCGGTTTTGCGAATTTGAGTGGGACTCGCCCCCATTTTTGTAAACCCTCATTCTTCGAGGTAATTATGATTTTTTCTTTACTTTGCTAGGCCTGTCTTAATCTCGTACAAACCAAAAACACAACCACTCCGTTCAACAATTAAGCATGAGACTATCCGTAATTTTATTTGTGCCAGTTTAGGCATACTTATGTAACTTTAACCATTTAATTTATCCATTGTTTAGGTCAATATGGAATTCGTCACAAACTATTAATTCATCAACTTATTTAGTAGTAAAAAAAAGAGGAATGTTTTGGATTTCTCATTGGTAACATTTATTTATTGTTTTGTATCATAGTACATAAACTGAGAATAATGTAGTGTTATTTTTATATGGTGTTAGCTTCTGATATTGGTTGTATATTTGTCTGTCTGGTTCTCAAGTAACATTTTAATTCCTTCACTAGGGGAGACAAAATATTTTACCTCCGAGTCCTTATGTTTTTTACACGTTCTGATTATTTTAATTCGGTTCAGGTCAGCTTAAAAATTTGGGTATAGCTAGAGCAATCACAATTTTCCTTCTTCACCGTGATTGAACAGCAACTATGTTTCAATTTTAAATTTTTGAATTGATGTAACTCAAGCTCAAAAGGTTCCATGTTACAGTTAAATTTTTAATTCTTTCAAGTAAATAAAAAAGGGGGAATTAGTAGTCAAATCGTTATTTTCAAGTATTCTGTTCTACCTCCGGTCACATCAATTACTTCATGCCCTCGGTTGCCTACCGTTAATAGAATAGCGCCTGCATAGGTGATTTTTCTTTATATTCTAATATTTACGGGAAACCATTTAGCTAGGGGGGTAATACACAAATTAATTCTCTTTAGCCCGTCCTTCAGGACTTCTCCTTAATTTTGTTTTTTTGTTCAATAAATGTCTGTGTGCCTTGTGAGTTTGTGTCCCCTTAGCTCCAGAGAGCCACCAGTAGTTACTTTTCATTTGATTTCCTAGTTTTTGAAACTAGGTGGCGCCCAAACCGCAACAGCTTGCATCCAAAAACCAAGGTACAAAGAACTTCACCTTGAGGTCTCATAACTACCGACTAACCTTGTTTTAGCGGGATAACAGTACGTTAGTGCTGATCCAAGTACAATATACTCGGTTTTCTGCTTATTACAAATTACACTGATCATAGTATTGAAATATTTCTTCCACTACCCACATTGCTCTCATATTGGCTCCGTTTTGTTGTTTGGATTCATTTAGCCTTCACAAACCATCTGCGTATTGTGACATCGTTTGTCGTGCAATGTTTTACTACCCGCATATCAGCAACGTATAGGTACCACAGGTAGGGTCCTAGGATAAATCCTTGTGGTACTCCATAACGTTAGTGGTATAATTTTGTTTTGGTTTACTAGTGGCACCACCTACACGTTCCGTGGGTAAAACTGCGGGGCAGAAAAATAGTTTACAAAGCTTTAGTAAAAACTTCATTAGGTAGTTCTTCTTTTTTAGTTAAAAACACTTGAGTGTGCAAGAACATATTAAAACTAAATCAACAACAATGTATAATACAGGTGTACATCACAACATGCTAAAACTCAGCTGTCCTTGTAATTTTTGTTCCTCAGTTTGTCAATGATATCTAAAACTTCCCATCGTTTTGCCATCACTGATTCATAATCCAACTTTGGACAACCTCTTATCATGCCATAATGGGATGCATAACTTGCCAAATGCTCAGCATTGCACATTACGTGGACTCCACAATCATACCTAAAATAACAAATATATACATTTCCATAAGGATTTTGGTTGATATGTATTAGAAATATTATCAGACATCCTAATTTTAGATCACTTAAACAGGACATTGCCCAGGGCCCCAAGCTTTACGGATCCTAAATAACAAGTGCTGTGAAGGACCCTGGTAGGGATATGTAGCTAATTTAACAAGCTTTTATTCAATTTGACTTGTATTACATAGGTATCAAATAAAAGATCTTGATGATAGAAACACAATAGACAAAGAACGACATGGGGTATCAAATGAAAGGGATTGATGAGAGAAACACAAAAAGCACAGTGACGTCATATTAAATCCAATATGGCGACCACTCTACTAAGACAACGTTTATAATTATCATAGTGACCCCATGATATAGGTATCAAATTAAATAGATTTATGAGAGGAACATATCTGACTAAATTAAAGGACTTAATGAGAGCAACATGAAAAGTAAATAACATCATTCTAAATTCCATTATTATATGATTTATTTTTATAATACAAATAAAGTAAAAAGTTTTGTGGAGTTGTATTAATACAGTATATGAAACTTATATAGAAATTACCAAACACCATAAATACTAAAGGTAAAAAATAAATAAAATATCTTTTTAAAAACAGGCTTTTATTTAGCTGTTTATACAGGGTGGCGCAGAGGAAACGCACGATTTTCACCTAAGCATAACATTTTTTATTTTCAAGATAACTTTGTTTCAGTTACAGCTAAATAAAGTAATGATAGTGCACTTTTAAACTAATGATGGTAAATAACGTCACTCAAGTGTCGCCCTGCTTCGCGCTCGCACATCTCCAACCGCTCTTGAAAGTTGTGCATTACACGTAAAATCATTTCTTGTGGTATTCTTGCAATTTCTTGACGAATAGCAATTTTCAGTTCCTGTAACGTATGAGGCTTGTGAGGGTACACTTTATCCTTAAGGTAACCCCACAAAAAGAAGTCGCATGCGGACAAATCTGGGGAGCGTGGGGGCCAAGGGACATCGCCGAAACGGGAAATCACATGTTCAGGAAACATCTGTCGAATCCATTTCATTGATGCTCTCGCTGTGTGAGCTGTGGCACCGTCTTGTTGGAACCACAGCTCTCCAATGTTTACTTGTTGCCGTTGAAGTTCGGGTAACAGAAAATTTTGTAACATGTGAACATAACGTGCTGAAGTAACTGTTACTGCTCTTCCTTCCTCTTCAACAAAGTAAGGACCAACGATACCTAATTTACTGATTCTGCACCACACAGTTAATTTTTGACTATGCAAGGGTCGTTGGTGTAGCTCTCGTGGATTTTCGGCCGCCCAATACCTACAGTTCTGCTTGTTTACATATCCTGTTAAATGGAAGTGTGCTTCGTCACTCATCATTATGACGACGTCAGGATCGTCAGTAAAAATGGCCCGCATTCTCGCACAAAATTCTCTACGCTGTGCAAAATCGCTTTCCGTTAGCTCTTGCACGATCATTATCTTGTACGGATGATATTGTAAATCGTCATGCAGAATGCGTTGTAACGACCGACGGGACATACGCAGAGTTGGAGCTTGGCGCCTAGTGGACCGCTGGGGACTATCAAGGACCGCTCTTCTCACTGTTTCGATATTGCCTGGAGTCCGCACGGTACGGGGAAGGCCAGGTGGCTTCCTCTTCATTACGGATCCAGTACTTCGAAATGCTTCAACCCATCGGAGTATTGTGTTTCGATCTGGAATTGGCCCGTGGCGTTCAACATTGAACTGTCGACGGAATAAGCGTTGCACGATCACTACAGAGTCATCGTTTCGAAAAAATTGCTCGACGGCAAACACACGATGCTCCGTCATCCACAGTGCCATGGCTGAAACTGTATCGCATGTGTTCTCTGCTGGCGGTGCGGCGAGGTCATATCCCTATTCTGTGCAAAATACCATTCGGTCAGAAAACATGCGTTTCCTCTGCGCCACCCTGTATAATGAACTAAAAATTTAAAAATATTTTTCAATTGGAAATATTTAAACAATAATGAAGCTCCTACAGCTGAGGTTTTTAAATAATAGCTTGTTTTTGAAAATGGGTTATTTTTATTTATTTACTCCACAATGATCATCAGAATTTCTGGTATCATAAATTTAATCATGTATTTTTGCCTCATTGCTTATAGTAGGTTCATATACATAGAGAGAAGGCATGCATTTTTTTACCCATTATTTTGCTGAAGGCATGCCATACTTTCAAATCTCCCTATTGCATCCATACTAAAATACTTGAGAATTTTCTGGGAGAGCTCAAGAGCAGGCATTTCATTACTTCCATTGGAAGAATCATAGTGGAACACAGTTTGTTCTGGCCTGGAAAACACTAACAAGCTCCAGTGGGAGCCACCAGAGGAGTCAGTTGATTCGTTATCATTTAAGGCAAAGAATATAAAGTCTCTTTGTAGATTGCTTACTAATGGATCTACAAGAAATGAAAAATATTATTAAACTTGTAGTACTGTGACCTTTTTACCACATTCAAGACTCATTTACTATATTTCAAAATACACATCAGCACTCAATCGCTGCTTCCATTTGATGGTCAGTGCCTGGCTACAATTCAGCAAGCTGGCCAATCGAAGTGCAAGATTTTGAACATTGCATGATGGTATTTGCTTTTACAAGAACAAATCAGATTTGACTATAGTATCACTCATTTTTGTGCATATGGCATTTGCTCCACAACCCTGGATATAGTTTGTTGACTTACCTAAAAATATCCCAATATCCCTTTGTGGTGAGACCTTGATGCACTGAGTGACTTCAGGGGAAACAAACAGCAACTGTGGAAAGTCCCTGAATAGGTCAGACTGCAGGTATTCAAAGTAAAATGAAATAACACTGTCATTAAGCCAGTAAGGCCCCTTTAGTAGATGTAAGTCAGATTCTCTGAGAAGGCATTCGTTGTAGCTCAGCACGACAGCATCTGCGCTGCTCATGTTAAGGATTTTTCCTATCTATTGGTTTTAATTTGCATTTTCTTCAGTTTGTTGATGTAACTAGGTTATGTAATTTGTGAGGTTATTTGACTGGCGGCCTGACGGATTTGACACATCCCTTCATCTCCTATAAAGCTACTGATTCACTGTGGCAATATTCCATTCAATTATCCCGTATTCAAAAATGTGTTCAAGGTAAGATGAATTGTTTTTTGAATTAAGGCGGCTCCGACGCAGTGAGTTTCAGGCTAGTTACAAGGGTTTAGCTGCTTCGGAACTGACGCTCCATTTTTCTATATATTTGAATAAAATTTATACAGTATGTTCAGAAGACAATTAATTGCCTAGGGTGCTATACAGGGTGACTTTGAAGTTGAGTCATTAATTTTCAGATAATGATTGTAAAAGGAAGATAAACCAAAATATGCGTGTAAAAATAAAAAAAAAAATGTTACCTTGTTTTATAAAGTATCCTCCCGACAAGTATTTCAGTGCGGACCTGTATTTGATCGTGCGGTCTTGGAGCACCGGCATGCCCTCCCCTGTGAGGTCTTAAGTCACCTGATTCACGAGCCCTTTGTACTACATTAACAAAGGCACGAGGGGTTGGTTGCACTCGATTGGTAAACCGATCCGCATAAATCCGTGATGCCACGTAAATAAGAATCATGTCCACAAGTTAAGCATTTTCGTAAACATGTGCCATTTTTGATTTCGTTTGAGCCACGCAACAGACACCACTATTCACTCACGCGTTACCGACTGACACTGACTGTATACAACTGAATAAAATAATTGTAAAAACATCGTTCCAAATTCTTTCGCTTTTTTGTTTCCGATGCGATGAACCGATAAAGCGGATTATATCCGTTGTTGCCAAACACGAGCACATAATATTATTATTGAGACAGGGCGGTACTCAAACTTCCAAAGGGCTATAACTTTGTTACTTTAATTTTACCAGAAAAATGGTAAAGGAAAAAAACATTTCTTTTGATCAGATCTACTCACTGTTAAAATAAATGACTCAACTTCGAAGTCACCCTGTAGAGCCACTTTTCTAAAAAAAAAATTGTTCAAGAGTTATGGCGGGTGGAAGCGCAGATAATTGTTGTTCGACTTCTCGATTTTTTTAAAAATAACCCAGAGGAAAAAACGAAAACGTGGCTCTATAGCACCCTGTGGAGTCTTGTTTTTAGTGCAATGTGAAAATTTCATTGAGAAATAGTAAAAAATGAAGCGTCAATTTTGAAGCGCGAAAACCTCTGCAAATAGGCTTTTACACGAATTTTATCCACTATCTCGTGCTGCCAGTCGAAGCAACGCGGCGGTGTGTACGTACCAAGAAAGGACGTATTTAGATAATTTGTTGTCCCAAGTTAAACAGTAGCAGTTTTGACGTCGGTTGTTCGAGATGAACATCGGACCAGTAAGTGACATTTTTAATAGACTTCAATGAAAGAGGGGAAATGTTTAATCGATTTTGATCATTTCTTTTTATACAATAGGCCATGCTTCAGAGGTGATCCCACAAAAAATCATTTTTGTTCAATCACCCCAATATGGATATCAAATGGAAGCACTTGTACAATACAGTAATACGAAAACAGTTTCAGATCAAGATGGCGGCCGTCACAAAATGGCGGATAACATACTTTAGCAAAATCTTGCTAATATGTCAAATAAGAGTCGTCGCCTTGTAGAATAAAGTACTTCACTAAAAATTTGATTCCAAGATTGCCGCAGTTTTGAAATTGCGAGTTACATATTTTTGTACAAAACCCCCAATTTACATATCAAATGAAAAGACTTGACATGTGTGGTAAAATACAGAAATTTGTGACCAAAAGTTTCCAGGTGCTTCCAGGGTCATTGGAGGCGGTAATCTTTTTAGTTAAAAATAATAATTATAGTGAACGCATTTAACACAAATAAAATGTCACTTGCTGTTTAGCTTTAACCTTATGAAGTATCGTAAAATAAACTTAACACGATAAGCGCCATGAGATATAATGCGTGTGTCGCACCTCATTTGGCACTTTGGGCCTCGTGACACACATGATATGTCTCACTGCTGGCAGTTATATTTGGCCGCGTAACGTAAGACGTGTGCCATGCTGATGTGATTTTCTTACGGGAACCAAGAGTACGTGGCGTGAGGGACCAAATGTAAACATTAAAAAACACGTTGTTTATAGAGTTTTACAAGAAAGAGGATATTCTACAAATCTAAAACAAAAAGTAAATCTTATAAAATAATCAGACATTCTCATTCAAAAATGAACAAAGTAATTTCACAGAAAATCAGTACGTTATGGTAAATGTCGATATTCTAACGAACACATATATGGAGGAACTCTTATAAACTAAACAGAATGACAAACTCTTATGCAGGAATAAACAAAATAACGGTATAAATAAATAGTAATACAGATAAATATGGAATTACTACAACTACTATCTGATTCACTACCACTTGGAGAATACGCATCAGATAAGTATACATCCCCACATATCTCTCTACTGCCACTCTCTTCACCCGATAGTAGTTCATTCCACAATTTTTCAAGTCTTTTTTGCTCCGCTTCGTAATACAACATCACTAAATTTGGTATTCAATAGTTTATAAACAGTATAGCAATTTGAACAAGATGACGTACAATACCAACAACGGACGGAAGCCCCTACATGAAAAACACTGAATGCTTATGTGTGGGAAGTAACGGACTCATTATATGGTACTTTGATTGAAAAACATACATACAAATCCTACATACTGATGAAAATGGACTTACTTCAGTTTGACGGTTGGATTCCTCTAATTGTGTTTCCATGGTTGTCTGTGAAACAACCGCTTCTTCTTTCTACAATAATGTTTCATAAATATGTTACTAAAAAAGTAAAAACATATCCTAAAAAAGGGTATACACACCTGAATTTGAAGATCCATGTCATCTGTCTCTGTTAGACAATGCATATGCGAAACCTTGCTGTCATTTTTAAGCTAAAATAACTTATAAAATATAATTACAATAGTAACTACGTATAGTCTAATGTATTGGCAAAATGAATGCTAAAATTCATATTTTTTTTGGTACCTACCTTTCTATCTGGAAAACGTCTTTTTTTCCTGTGCGTATTTAAATACGGCTGCTTCAAGACGCCTCGTTTATTTCTCTTATTGTTCATTTTTGATACATTGGTAAGAAAGACACTCAACAATAACAACACAACAATAACGGTAATAAGAGTAATAAGGGCTGGATATACTATGCACCAAAATAGGGAAACAGTCGTACGCTAGATCGTATATCCAAATCAAATCCGACTCTGTGCAATATGCAAATTCAACCAGGAACGCGAACAGCACAGGTCTGCGTATTTATATCCTTTTATAACGTAGAGCGCTTACCTTGTCACAACGCCGTCCTACTAGCGTTTCCCTATCACCTCCCCTATACCCCTCAGAAACTCTGCTTGACTGTGAGAGCGCCGTTAATTGGGAATTTTCTCCACAAATCATGTAATAATTCACTTTCTGATGAAATGCTGGAGTAATATGTAATAGTGTAGTCACTAGGGATGGCAATTTTTTAGAAAACATCGACAAATATCGCCATCGTAACATCGATGGAACTCGATACATCGAAACAACCTCTTTTTAATGTTTTCTGCTTTAAATTTAGCAACGAATTCATCGGTTGCTATCGGTTTAAGCGGAATGGTCATTTTATTTGTTGGTGGAATTTTCACCGCGTTTTTTTTTTTTATTTCAGACCCATTAAGCAAGAATAAAAAACGCGATAGCAACTTTACGATAAAAGAGGTAGGTATACTGCAATATATTTCATTAAAAAGTATGATTATAGGAAACTGCAAGATAAGAGATTGTCAAAATTAAAAACACATTGATGATCATTAAATACTTTTAGATTGTGCCCACGGTGAAGCGTGTTTTTTAAAGTACTTCCATACATCACTTTTTGTGGCATTTCGATTAATTAACAATGAAACAGCGACACGACAACTACATATAATACTCACAGGAACTTGAAGTCATTAAATCCTTCCATGTCGATACATCGATGTATCGGTGCATCTCTTTCATTTCTATATAAATTATCACATAATACCATATACTCTTCCATCCTAATAAATTTTAATGCACCTAGGATCAGTAGTAGTGCCACGTTCAAGTGTAGTAGGCCAAGAACCGATATCTTAGTCAAGTCGCCCATTCATGTAATGTGTAGCAACTATAACAGAATATCTACTTACTGTGACATTTTTATTTGCACGGAGGAGCTTGTGGATCAAGCTGTAATTCAACTTTAATTGTTTTTATTTCTTCTCTTTTGTACCTAGGCATGTTATAATTTATAATTCACTTGAACATTGAATAAGCTTGTGGATCAAGCTGTTATACACATTTAATTTGTTTTTCCTAGTTAGCCTTGTAATAATTTAGAACTTCTCTTAATAACCCTGTAAATTGTTAGCTGTTGGGTAATAAAGCTATTATTATTATTATCCCTAGTAGTCACAGGCTGCAATTATATAAACATATTGGTATTTTGTATCCGAATATCCAAATAATGAATGAATGGATGCTTCCCATCACTCACCTTCCCTCCTCCATTTCCAAAAGCTTCTTTGACTTTGACATGACTGACTTTTTATTTGAATCTCTTTGAGGTTAGGTTGCGGAAGTAATCAAGACAAATGTAATCACAGATCACAATTCTTCAGAGATTTCAATATGATTTGAATTACATCTCGATTATACCACATTTACAAAAATCTGAGTACAAGTATACGTGCAAGACCTTCGTGTGAAAGGTGCAACAGCTGATGGTTGGAGAGCCACTGCAAAGATGTCTCAATCTTCGTTTTCCACAAACGAGGCAGTTAGTTTAGAGAAAACTGTGAGCCGTGACCAGAAACCTATGGAAACTCCGTTAGAGGCCATAGACTCAGTGTATGAAATCGATAAGTGCGCCCAGTGGATAAAAACAAATAATTTTCACAATGTTTGTCTACAGTTTCCAGACTACTTATTGCCTGACTCCAGTACGGTAGCTTTGAGATTGGAAGCAAAACTTGGTGAAAAAGTCTATATTTTAGGAGATACTGCTTATGAAAGTTGTTGCATTGATTATATTGCTGCTGCTCACATAAATGCAGATGCAATCATACATTTCGGACCAGTATGTTTTTCCCAGACTTCAGCTACTATACCATATTTGATTATACACGAAAAACATCAACTGAATATAGAAAATCTCAAACATGCAATAGGGGATTTGAAGACCAATAGATTAATTGTTTTAGTTGATACACCTTATATACATATCTTAGATAGAATAGAAGCTTTAAAAAATGACAGTGTAACAATATGTTCTGCTGATAAAATAGAAGGTCTCTCATCGGATCAAAAGTTTGTTTTTGTGGGAGAACCTGGAAGAAAGTTAACCAACATTGTTTTTGCTCTCAAGCCACAAGAGATGTATTGGTTCAAAGATTCATTACATAAGTATGTGATGGATGTAAGGGTACTTAAAAGGAGGAATTACCTCATGGAAAAAATTAGAGATAGTCGAACAATAGGAATTGTAATAGGAACTCTTGGAGTGAAAAACTACCTCAATGTAATTGCCAGAATGAAGGAATTGATCAATCTGAGTAGAAAAAAGTATTACATAATCAGTGTAGGCAAGCCTACGGTGGCAAAGTTAGCAAATTTTCCAGAGTTGGATGTCTATGTGATGGTTACATGTGCCATGAATGAAATCTATGACAGTCGAGATTTCTGTCAACCGATTGCCACACCTTTCGATGTTGAAATCGCCCTCAACAATTCTTTAAACAACATTACTTTTTCTTATGACTACAACCATTATATTGAACACTGTAAGACTATTGAGGGAAGTGGCGATTCAACCGAATGTGAACCAGATGTTAGTTTGTTAACCAATAGGATACGAGGTGCTGATAATGTGGAAGATAATTGTGGAAGCAATCAGATTATGTTGAGAAGTGATGGGACTCTAGCTTTGAACACAAGCTATGGAGCAGGGTTCTTAGCAGATAGGACGTGGAAAGGTCTGGAGCAGAACTTGGGCAACACAGAGGTAGAAAAAGCTACTGAAGGCAGGAGAGGATTGGCTCAGAAATATGAAAATGAGAATTGTTGAAGAATTGCTGCTTTTCACTTGTATCAAATAAGTTATATTTTAAATTTAAATAAAATGTCTGAATTAGTTTTGCAACCTTTAATTTGGTATAAAATCTAGTTTTCTGACATCTTCAAAAGATAGCTAATATGTTAATGTCAAATATGTTAGTTTGGCAGCTAGACCAGATATGCTATTTTTTGCTGACTCCATAATCTAGGCAATACAGTTTATTACTCTAGGGTGACAGTAATTTGAATTTCAAATTTACCGCCGTGCCTGTGAAGTGAGAGTCGTGAGAGATTAGGAAATGACGGGTTATATACCCTATTTCACGAGTATCCATCACGCATTGACGTCTACTGAGGTGAACAGCTGATCAGCAAGTGACATTTTTATGTTAGTCTGCAACATTGGCTATAACGAGTCAGGTGTAAATCAGGCAAACATTTGTTTATGGCGTTTTGTTTTTATATGCAAATGAACTTTTCTAAATAAAAGAGTTTTTAGCAAGTTAAAAATGAATTTGCAGCGTAAAAAAATCAAAACAATATATGGGTCTGTCCACCTGGCATTGCCAGATCCGTCAGAATTATGCGTCCTTTGCCGATATGGGGAATTTTGAAATATTACCAGATAATAAGCTGTCATTGTACCATGATGGATACTCGGAAAAAAGTGGAATTATGTTTTTATGAAAATTAAATCCATTCGAAGGTATTATCAACTTTATTTACACCTCCTATATTACTATTTTTAAGCTCTTGATAGGTACTAATTTAAGGTGTATGCCAGTGGCGAAGCGTCCATGTAACCACTGGTAACAGTTAAAAATCTTAAAAATAAATATTTTATGACTAAATACTGTGAAATAATTTCATTTATTTGTTTACCAACAGCGATATGTAATAGTAATTCAGTAAATAGCAAATTAGCCCCACGAAAATAATGCGCTCTATAGTGTATATGTTTTGCGAACATGATGGAGCTGACTCGTCTCGACTTGGTTATCGGTTGTTACCATTTTCATTTATGGATACACTTGGTAGTCCGTCGGGGACCGCAGGTACCGGCTTGTGTCTGATCGCGGTCGCCCGAGTGCGTGGGGCGCTGCGACTATTATGTGGGCTTATTTGGTTACTCACTTCTCACTCGTTAGTAGCAGTTTTGGTTACCGGCTGTAGTGTGCGTGCAATTAAAGATGGATGAGTGTCGCTGCGACTTGAAAAGTCATTCTCCTTGTATACCTAATTTTCAAGAAAAAAAGAAGATCATTGAAAATGGAAGAGCGACACCTATTTTAGATAATTTTGAATAGGAATAAAAAAGCGGAGTTTGATATTTTTAATTAAGTTGGTATATGGAAACTCTTGGTTATGTGGTTGCAAAAAAACAGATTGTACTGTTGGCGATGTCTTCTGTTTTATACAGAAAAAAATGGGTGGACCAGCAGTCAACGATTTAAATAGTTTTAGGGCTCTAAAGAGGAGACATGAAATTTCTTCGTAACATGTGAGATGTAACCAATTTAATTCAGTTTGGCAAAACAAGAATCGAAAGTTGTCTTAACCAAGCTTTTAGGCAGCACACTTCTAGATACCGTATGTTTTTTGGCAAAACAGGAATTACCGTTCATTTTGAAGGGGATGACTCTTACAATAGAGGAAATTACAGAGAATTGTTAACATTCATTGCCAAAAAAGATCAAAAATTTTCCGAACATCTAGAAACGTCGTCTGTTTTTTCGGACGGCTTGGATTAGTCATAGCATAAGACGATGATTTATATCAAGTGCACCAGACGCTCAGTCCAGGAACGTTTACCTTAATTTAAAAGTACTTTAAATAAAATAGCTAAAATGAGCAAAAACTTATATTTGGAGGTTCAAATTAAACTTTTTTTGGTAACAGTTTAGGAAAAGTCACGCGTCGCCACAAATAAACAATGTTAATTTCACAAAACTATACCCCATTCGCCCAGACAAAACACAACATGCCCAAAAGCGAGATTGTACAGGTCCGTATTTTCCTCAATGGTCTTGGAATAATCTAACAAAATAAATGATAATTTTTATAGAAAGAAGTGCACATACTTTTCACAATTCTTTATTCGCTGGAAGTACTTGAATCATCGTCCGAATATTTAATATTAATTATTACGGGTTCAATTTAAATATTGTCCAAATCCCATATCTTTGTTTTGTTTGTCTGTTGAACGTGACGGATGCAGTCCTTCCTATGGTTTGCCATCACTCTGTTGACAGCTTCATAAAAGCTAAGTTTAGTGTAGCTAAGTTTTCAGCGTGGGCTCAAAGATTCAGTCTACTTGACACCATTTTTGCAACACAAATGACGAATTGGTTAGATACACGTACCTGTCGGTTCTTTAGGCCAGCAGTTAGTCCATCTAAGAAGGATTGTCTGGCTGATTTAATTGTACATACTTTAGGTTTTGTATATCCTGCATTTATCCAGCTTTCATCCAAGTAATAAATCTTCCTGCCTTGGTCGCAGTATTTCTTTATTGATTTTAAATAATTTCTTCTCCATAAAATAATCTCTTGACTGCCCATCAAAATACTATTTCTGCCCCGTTTCCTATACTCGAAATGAGTAAACTATGAAAGTAGATAAGTCTTCATCACTATTAACCTCCTGTGATACTTTCTCTATGGTGGGAAGTTCCTGCCTTTCAAAAAATTGATGGTCTTTGCGTCTGCTGGCATTCCGATCAAAGTTAGCAACAACTTCGTGTAATGAAGCCTCTTGTTTAGTGGAGACAATTTTTTGTTTTTTTTTGTATTCGTTAACAATTTTGAAAATTTTCTTGGGACATAAGGCCTTGTTCGCCACACGTCTTGCAATATCATTAATTTTTATTTTAGGATGTTCTAAAATTTCGCTGTTATAAACGTTAAGGACAATTTCTTTTGCCTGAACATTCAAATGCTCCTTCTTGTCATGCTTTCGGTGAGGAGACGTCACCGAAGAGGAAGCTTGACTGAAGGAAGCATTGGGAGAAATATTCTGTTTAATCTGCTGTATCCGTAGACGACATGCTAACGTATAAACACCCGCTATGTATCTATGAACAGCAGCTGCCGGCGATACCCCTGCACTTGTTCGTGGATTTATGGACGAATGTCCAATAGCTATTGCAACGCTTAGATGCGTTATAGGTCAAGGACCCGAGGCGTCTGCAAGACGACATCGCCAGATGCAACGGCAGCAGAAACCTTCATAAAAACTATTTTTCTTGTTTATATTCAGATCATTATCATTCCAACTTGTAAGACGTCCATGTCTATCGAATAAATATTTTTAGAAACTCCTTGTTGTGGTTGAAAAACGTAACTGGCGGCTGCCGCTTTGCCGCGCTGCAACTTTGTTGTGCCGGGGCGTAAACCTACGAACTACGAATAGGGCCACTTTAAGTCATTGACCACTCCCACCCAAGATGTGCCAAGCCAAACAAGTGTCACTTCTTCAAAACGTAGATTTGCTCGAATGAAAGTCTAAAATATTATTTAACATTTATTTACAAACATTCACAATATTTTTAACGACAAAGCTGTCTCAGTATGTAAAATTCCAATATCACCACATAAAAATTATACTGTTTCAACCCCATCATTGGAGTCCTGATCCGCTATGAATGACGTCTCTTCTGATATTCTGGACACAGCTGTTGCCACGTCATTTATCACACTTGTTTGATTCTCGCTCGATGTTGATGTGGATGGTTCGGGCTCGGTAACAGTGCGAGGCGTTTGAGGCCTGGAGGAAAGAAAACACGTGGAAATAAAATTTCTTGAAAAATAATGTATTACAAAATAATGAACAATCTCTGATACCCGAATGACTATTAATTTTAAAACCCATAAAATCTTACGAAGCTTCGGATACACATCGAGTGTTGGTGTAAAATGTGGCAGAGGATAATACTAGGTGTCGCACAAGTCGACGTAAAGCCGGAAACCGGTGATAGACCAAATAAAAACATCTAAGTCGTGTACTTTTCAAATTATAGGCTTTAAAAAAATCGTGAACTTGACCATTACCAAGGATAAGTTAAAATATGCAAAGGAAACCCTCCACTTTTATCCAGAAACTTGAAAAAAACAGCAAATGTTACGTCCGGATGTGACCTTGATGTCAAGGTAACGTCGATTGTTAAGTGTTATTTGCAAGGCAACCCCTTGATTTTTCTGCCAAAATTGTAGATAGCAGGGTATTTTATATTCAAACGTGTAACATTTTGAGATGATCTTGAAAATGATGGTCAAAGTCACCTTCGGGTGACCCCCCACAAATCAGAGAGCTGAGCTGTCGAACATATTTGCTAAACCAAAATGGTATCAATGTCTTGATTTGACCTTGAACGTCATGGTGATGTACGTAAATTTTCCTCTTCTTTCCAATTCCGGTGTAAAAAAGAGGGTTTATTTGAAAATATTGGTTTGATATGGAAATTGCCTTGAAGATCGTTGTCAAGGTTACCATCAATTTGCCCCCTCTGGCCAGTCTGACCCAGCCCCTCATGCCGGGCGTTTAAATGTGCTGCACCTCTAAAATACATTTGATATTGTGTCTAAAGCATACTATTGGCAAATTTTTGCCTATCTGCAGTCTCGGCCAAAACCCGCTTCTCGAGTGAATCGGGTGCGTAGAATGGTTTCAAAAGTGAAGGCTAAGTTTCTGAAACGTTACACCCACCTAGGCATGATACTGATTTTTGGAGCCATATCTATCACAGAACTTGGAGCTTTCTTGATTAATTCCAGAGGAATTTCCTCGGACCTCGGCCTAGGCATCCTAGGTGACCCTTCCCTGCTTCTTACTCTATTGGAAGAGTTGTCTCTTGATTTCTTTCCTCCGTCTTCTTTCTTCAAACCTTCTTTGTCTCTGTCTCTAGTACGTCGAAATTCGTCAGCTCTAGAAGATAAACAATACGTTTCTTTCAAAAGAACAACGAAAAGATACATTAAAATTTAAAAAATCAAGTTGGAAATTACTGATGATCCCTACTGAAGTTTGATCCATAGCTGAAAAGAATTAGTACTTAATATGCCTGTAAGAAATGTGTACCTATGGGCAATTCCTGGAGAACTCTCCCGTCTAGTCGGTGCGGCAAAACCGGGTCCTCTTGATACATTGAATAATGGTCTGTTCTCTCTTCCCCCGGTCCTCAAAATTGGCCTGACTCCGTATGACCCTTGACCTGCAAACGCTGGACTAGGGGGTCCAGACTGCCCAGGTATCTCCAACAAACGAGCGATATGTTGCATCTTCTTCTGGCGAGCTTTTATCCTGCCCTGCACCAAAGTTCATAAGTATATTTTTAATGCAATATATAGGGTGTAAGCCTACCTTAGTCAATCTTTGTTTGGCAGCCATACATCTGATGTTGTCATCAAAAAGAAATTTGGCATTCAGGAGTGGAACCCGGTTACTACTTGCTCCAGATATCGGCCTGTGTATCGTGATGTGGAGACACCTTGAATCGTCCTTGTCACCTGTCACTTCGATATCTTGGAGAAAACCCACCTATAATTTAGAGCCACTGAAAATTACCATGGCTACCACTTAATCTCAGTTTAAACACGCTGACCTGAGTGAGACCAACATAAATATATAATTTATGGAATCTGATACGTTGAGTCGTAGCTCAAAGTAAAAGCGAGATTCCAGGACCGTCGAAACTATTTAAAAAAAGACTATTTTAGTAGGTCCACTTACTAGTTTTGCAACTCCCCAGCCAAGTCTCTTGGTGTCAGGTTCGACAAGGATCAATTGCAGTACATCTATCACCAAGAATCTCCTTGTCTTGGTACCGTCCTTGTAGATGACGGTACAAGCGATCAGATCGGAATTGTCTGGAACAGAGGAACAAGGTTTCATGAGCGGTTTGCTCTCAGAGGTAAACGCCGACATGCTCAACCAATCACTAGTCACGCTCTTTTACTTATGAGATTGTTTATGTCTTAAATTTTTGCGAAGAAAAAGCACTGCTCAATGATAAGGGTATAGCTTGTAGTATTACTGCAAAACGTTCATATTTTGAAAATTATTCTACAAAGAAGCATAAAGAGGCCGAGTAATTTAAATATTTGGATAAATTTTAGAAAGTGTAATGGGTACAGGGATGTAACTATCACCATATCAATGATACGGGGCCCCCACGTACGAAAAGAAAATGCATGAAGTGTTTTTCACAATGTCACGGTTTTAGGTATGCTATATTAAAAATTCTCAATTCGATTGTACCTTAGGTGATGGTAGTATGCTTCCTTTGTTAACCATCCTTTCGAAATTAAAAGGAATCAAAATATGTTAGGACTTCTATGACGCAACTTTGACTATCAAGCATTATACTGTCTTCAGAGGCTGAAAATTTCGAAACACTGAAATCACCTACCGGTATGAATGATTTAATAGAAAAAATCGGAAAAAGACAGTGGCATGTAGATTGACACTACTTCCCACCTAAGCCTATTTTCAAATCTTCCAAGGGCCAAGATAAGCCTTGCTAAAGAAACAAAACATTTGATCTCCATAAATGAAATGTCTAATTTTCGAAATTTTAAAAAATTGTAACCTGTCCACAAATATATTGGTTTTCCTTAAAAATGTTCAGAAAGTTATAAAGCATACAAAAACAAACTTTAGTACGATCTGAAAGCTATTTTAACTTTTACCCAAAACATTGCTGCCATTTAACTGATCTTCAAAAATGAGTTACGTGTTGTACACATCGCAAAACAAAAAAAATTAACTGAATTTCTAAAATTTTGACATTCACGATAAATAGAATGGAACAAATTTTTCATCAAACCTCTATAATTTCAATATTACGAAAACGTTGCTACCTAGCGCGATTTGTTGCACGTTTAACGTCCCTAATAAGAGAAACGAAATTCATGGTTGGCCGGGAGATAAAGAAACAACGCCAAAATTACCCATTCCCCTTTTTGTATCTCCTCGAATTAACAAAGGCCAATGAAGTCTCCCTTAACGTTTCATCACAACAGCGGACTTGTTTTCCACCCAATGCCAAGTGGAACATCAAAATGAAGAAAAGCAGATGTTAATAATCATGTATCGTGAAATCTAAATGTGACCACCACTAGATTAAGCGGCCAATTTCTAGCTTGAAAAATAAAATCTGGAGCAACCTTTACATTAGTCAACTGTTGAGTTGGTCGCCTAGTGTATGTATGCATTATCATACGAGGTCTGTATATTAAGATGAGTGGTAGCGTTCGACCTGGCGGGGGGAGACAGGGGAACATGTGATCCGTCTTCAGTACAAGTTTGGATGCGCTCCAGTTTTTGGGTGTCCGTAGCAGTTTCTTTGTGAAATAATTTTTTCAGGCTTCAGGTTTTGCTTCAGACTTGGACACAAAGCAACGGAAACTCTTGCTAAGCTTCAGCAGGACGACGGAGAGTGTTTTGACAAAAGGCCAGGTTTTTCGGTGGTTTAAGGCATTTTTAGAAGGGAGAAAATCGAATGAAGATGAACCACGAAGCGAAAAGCCTTCATCTTCAAGAACCGATGAGAATATCGACACACTCCGGGATCTTGCATTCAGATCGTCGGATGACAGTCCTTGTGACTTTTTTCTCTTCCTTCGGAGTTCGAACACTGCTATAAGAGGTCGAAGAACCGTCTCCAGCGCTGTGTGGCTCCAGAAGCAAGTTAATTTGAGAGTTAAAATTGTAACCACTTAATTTACAGACCTCGTACATGGTGTAGCCATCAACGTAGAGGGACTGAAAATGGCAACACTGTGCTTGACATATCGAGGTTCGCTGCGCTGCGAACGAGCACAACTTTCACTCCATGTATTTGATGGTGACACCAAGTATATAACATATATACTACTTACATATAAAATAAACATGCAAAGAACAAGACATGCAAAAACAATAAACACAGACAAAGTGACTGATCTACTTTTCCAACAGAGCTTCGACTAGTGATCATTTAAGACATGTGGCTGGGACACACAACGAGATATACTCAGGTCCAAGGCTTGCTCGATTTGGACGCAGCTCTGTGGGTTTGTCAGAGGTAGCTGGCTCTCCACTTCGCCATTTAGGGTCAGCACCAGGTTTCGGACTAGGAAGTATACTCTGATAGCCCTTCGAGCCCTTTCTACCTATAACGAGAGTTTGAACTAGGACACAGCTTCCAAGACAGATACTCATACTTAAAGTATTAGGCACAAAACAAGTGGAAATTGACCAATGGGTAAATTTAATGAAAATTCATTCAGAAATGCTTTCTATTTGTGATGCAAGGTGAAAAAGATTGATACCTTAGCTCCTGTGGGTATGCCTGCCTGTATCATAGATACGAAGTAGGTCAAAAAGGGAAAAGGTTGCGCGTTTAGGTAACAGAGATTGGTACTTGGAAAGTTTCGCATTTCAAAGAATTTCCAGAGGTAGACCGAAAACGGCGAATTTTCCCAAAATCGTTTTATTTTTTCCTGACCTTACTTGAGGTGGGATACTGAAACTTTTTCTCCACTACAAGGTGGCATAATTATAATTTCAATACGGCGTTTCGTCCCGTGTCCTCAAACATCAATTTTATTTTTTCTTATAGATGCCATATTGAATTTCTGCACAGGTCAACAGAATTTTTAATTTTGTTTGCATTGCCGAACTCTTTAAAAAAAAAACAGAATTTTCTGAGTTGGTCATGAAATTGTCAGATAGCCTTTTTTCATAATATCATCAGAAAAGCATTCCCTCAGTTTTTATGAACTAGGCAAAAATCCCTATTTCCGATTTTAATGATAGAATATAAGAATTATAATAAATATATTAAACTTCAAATCTCAAAAACAGTAGTCTTCCTGCAGTTGATCTAAACTCATAAAATAGAGGTTTTCACAAGTTTGCAGCTTATTATTTCTCATTCAGAGGTTGACCTTTTATGGTTTATAATTGAACTATTATTATAAGTTAGTTACCTCTCCACAAGGCAGCCTTTTAACAAAATCAATCCCAGTCATTGGTGTTCCTGTTGGAGGTAACAGTATTGCACTGTCCATACACAGCCATTCTACATTTAAAGCACCTTTGTTCATATCACAGTATCTGCAAAGAATAAGATTGAAATAAAATCGCCGAAAGAATAGACTTTGAAAGTCAATGAACGAAATTGTCTCAACTTACTCATATTCAAACATATCTAAAAATATCTCTTCACTTTTATAAAAATTCCTCAATAACGCCGTACTTTGCTGTTTGGCAGTTTCGATGGTAGTCCGGTGGTTCTCCTGAAATTCGTTTCGTGAGTGAAGATACGTTGGAAAATATTGAAATGTACCTGCAATATGTTTTTCCCATCACACATAGCCATTTGCATCAGCAGCTTCAACGCTAATTCTAGCGTAACCAGCCTCACTCTACTTGACGGTTGGCACGCGTATAAAACTATTTGAAGGAGCTTGTCCACCAAGTAGGCATTGTAGCTATACCTAACATCTTTCGTTGATGATTTTGATATGAACGTCTTCTTCGGGCGCACCACCTGTTCCGTTATATCTGCAGTGACACCTGAAAGAATAAGCAAAGGAAACTAATTCTTACCTGTAGCTAAGAGTTTGATTCCCGTTGGCATTTATGTGCACAAGATTAACAGATTGTGTCTTTAAATCATTGCTACCTCAAATCCGGATTCGTTATCATGAACTTACCTAGATTGTTTGCTATAGCATACAGCAAACTCAGTCCAAACAAAGCTACATAGTCATTTTCAGTAGAATCTAATGCATCATACACAGCCTCAAGAAACGGTCGGTCTGTAGAACTGCTTGCGCTATCTACAGGATTCACCATTTTCTCTTTTTCTTCATCAGTTATATTGAGTTTACTTTGTTCTTCTGGGACAGTTTCTTTTGGGCTAATGCTCTCTTTAGGGCTGGCTTCCTTCATCGCCTGAGCACATGCCTCTTCTTCCATTTTCTTTTCTTTCTCATAGTACTCCAGAAGCTTGTCAACACCTAAGCCATATCCAAATTCAGAATAGGGTAAAACATAACAACACGGTCACGTGCATTGCATAGGTTGACTTAAATCGATGATCTAAATGAAGTTATTTTTTTATAAAAATCAGTATTTAAATCAAACTTGATTTTTATAGTGAATGTTCATGGCTTACTTGGAATAATAATCAAATCAGCTACATAAAAGAAAAATAATTATTCGAATGCACAGTTTCCAACATTCAATAAGGCAAACTATGTCATTACAGAAAACTATATACAGTAATGGACAAAAGTATATACACAAATATGAATATTTACCTAAATACCTTTAGAAAACGAATTCATACTTCATTGCCCCATAAAAAAATGCGTTATTAGTAGAAAAACTAAATTCCTTGTTTTTACATTAACTGCAATGAACACAATACAAGTCTGAATATAAGCACTTTTTTATGAGGGATAAAAATATGTAGACAAATTCTTTTCAACATTAGTTTAGTACAGTTTCGTGTCAGAAGAGGATTAGTTTGTGTTCATCAAGTATTGTGGAATAAGTTGAATGATTTTAAGACCATGACGCGTGGTCCAGAAATTGCTTTCGATGTGAAAACTAAGATCGTTGAGTTGTACAGAGTTAGTCAACATCAAGTCGACATTGCCAAAAATTTGAAGCTGAAGCGTAAAGCAGTTTGGGCAATATTGAACAAATATAAACAAAAAGGTATCGTGGAAGCCTCTAAGAGAAGTGGTCGGCCTAGAAAACTAAATGCTAGATCAGTTTAAGATTAAAAAAAGTAAATTCGTCCAAAGATCCGTTTAAAACCCCAAGACAAATAAAAGCCGAAATCGAGACAAAAGAAATTGTCAGTGTTTCTGGGAAACCTATAAGTAGAAGATTAAATGATTTAAAGTTATTTGCACGTCGCCCGAGTAAGAAGCCGCTAATCTCGAGGAAAAACCGAAAGGACCGATTACAATTTGCACGGTTGCATCTTAATTGGAGCATCTGTGACTGGAAGAGGGTATGTTTCAGTGACGAATCCAAGTTCAATATGTTTGGATCAGATGGTGTTCATTACGTAAGACGTTCTAGTGGACAAATATTGCACTCCAACTACACTTTGCCCACGGTCAAATATGGAGGCGGGTCTGTTATGGTTTGGGGGTGCTTTTCGGGGTTTCGGATGGGACCTTTACATACAATAGATGGCATTATGGGTAAGTTTGTATACACAGACATACTAAAGCATGTCATGTTACCCTATATGGAAGACAATATGCCCTTAAGATCAATCTTCCAGCAAGACAATGACCCGAAGCACACTTCAAATCTCGCAAAGAAATTTCTTTCTGGATCAAATAATACCAGTTCTCAAATGGCCTTCAAGTCTCCCGATATAAACCCTATTGAAAATCTATGGGAATACATAGATAAGCAAATTCGAGATAAAAATTATCCAAACAAGAATGAACTTTTGCCACTTTAGAGCCAAAGTGGAGACAGATTGATGAATCTTATATCAAGAAACTTCTACAATCTATGCCGAGACGATGTCAGGCGGTGTTTGATAATAATGATTATGCTACAAAATATTAACACAAACATGATTGGTTTTCTATAATTCAATGAACTTTGCTTCTTTTTTCTATAATTGTTTTGCTTTGTCTCTATATTTTTGTCCTTCATAGTTCCAGTTTTTTCAATTAATTTTTTATTGAAGGGAGTCTAATGAATTTATTTATGTATAAGTGACTGTTATACTATAACGAATTATGTATACAGGTTGGTGTATTAATAAAACAAGTTAAAAAAGAAATACACCACAATATTAATCTGTCTATATACTTTTGTCCATTACTGTATGTGTATAAGAAATTTAATGAACAACTGTTTATTAATTTTTTGTTAAAGGAACACCAATGTCGCTTTTTCATTTCCCAACCTATTTCGAAGCATAGATTTGACCAAATCAAATGTAGAAAAGGTCTTTCTACAAATTCAGAGAAAGCCTCAGCTGTGAACAACTAGTAGAAGATAGTTGTTGGTCAACTGTGAGATTTTCACCACTGCAAAATTATGAAAGTGTCTGGAAAGACCCCAGATACAATCATTAAATTTGCTAAAAATGTTAGTTGTTTTCTAATTTTGGGTGCAATTTTTTTGTGTACCGACGGTACGCCATCTAAACCAGGACTGTTTCTATATTTTAGGCTTTAACTGGTATATTCTATTTCATTTTCTGTAACTGGTTCAAGATTGAATTTTGTATAATTACTCTAGACGGAAGGTGGTAGGTTTATTTATTTTAGTTGTCAGTTTTTCTCCCACTTGAACAAAATAGTTATTGAGAACGATAGCAATATGTGCATCTGGAGTTATTACAATATCACTAGTTTTTGTTTGTTCAATACTTGTCATCTGCTTATTTGAGTTACAGATTTGGCTAATGGTATTCCATACAGTTTTAGAATCGGATTTATTTTTTTGTAGTACCCCACATAAAATGTTTGTTTTGTAGCAGTTATCGAATTGTAAAGTTTATTTTTGTAGTTTAAATAATCTTGTTTTGCTTCTTCCATAGGTTTTGCCTGATATAATCTGTACTTTTTTTATTTAGTAGTTACCCAGTTCTTTCTAGGAATTTCGTTGTATTTTATCTTAATCTTGTTAGTATTCTTTGATGTACATTTTTTAATAATGTTAGTAATTTCGTAATATATACAGGGTGACTTTGAAGTTGAGTCATTAATTGTAATAATGATTGTAGAAGGAAGATAAACCAAAATATGTGTGTAAAAATAAAATAAAAATTAAAACAAAATTTTACCTTGTTTTATAAAGTATCCTCCCGACATGTATTTCAGTGCGGACCTGTATTTGATCGTGAGGTCTTGGAGCACCGGCATGCCGTCCCCTGTGAGGTCTTAAGTCACCTGATTCACGAGCCCGTTGTACTACATTAACAAAGGCACGAGGGGTTGGTTGCACTCGATTGGGAAACCGATCCGCATAAACATGTGCCATTTTTGATTTCGTTTGAGCCACGCAACAGACACCACTATTCACTCACGCGTTACCGACTGACACTGACTGTATACAACGGAATAAAATATTGGAAAAACATCGTTCCAAATTCTTTCGCTTTTTTGTTTCCGATGCTGAACCGATAAGGCGGATTATATCCGTTGTCGCCAAACACGAGCACATAATACTATGATTGAGACAGGGCGGTACTCAAACTTCCAAAGGGCTATAACTTTGTTACTTTAATTTTACCAGAAAAATGGTAAAGGAAAAAAACATTTCTTTTGATCAGATCTACTCACTGTTAAAATAAATGACTCAACTTCGAAGTCACCCTGTATATATATATATATACAGGGTGACGTTTGAGTACCGCCCTGTCTCAATAATAATATCATGTACTCCTGTTTGGCAACAACGGATATAATCCGCCTTACCGGTTCATCGCATCGGAAACAAAAAAGCGAAAGAATTTGGAACGATGTTTTTGCAATTAAGTATTTTATTCAGTTCAGTTATACATACAGTCAGTGTCTGTCGGTTAGCGTGTGAATAGTGTCTGTTACGTGGCTCAAACGAAATAAAAAATGGCACATGTTTATGCGGATCGGTTTCCCAATCGAGTGCAACCAACCCCTCGTGCCTTTGTTAATGTAGTACAACGGGCTCGTGAATCAGGTGACTTAAGACCTCACAGGGGACGTCACGATCAAATACAGGTCCGCACTGAAATACTTGTCGGGAGGATACTTTATAAAACAAGGTAAAATTTTTTTTTTAATTTTTTTTTATTTTTACACACATATTCTGGTTTATCTTCCTTCTACAATCATTATCTGAAAATTAATGACTCAACTTCAAAATCACCCAGTATATATATATATAAAGAGAATATGATCATGCGGAGAAAAGTATATAACAACAAGTAGGAAAATAATGGGCAAAATCCGCAAAAAGGAGGAAAGTGGATTCGAGCAGAAAATAGGATAGGTAACCCGAGCGATACGTATTTCTGCTGGTTGGCTTCATCAGGCCCGAAATGGATGCACATATGAAACTACAAAAGTAGATACACATGCTCACACATCAGGTTACACCCGTATCGGGTTACCTATCCTATTTTCTGCTCGGATCCACTTTCCTCCTTTTTGCGGATTTTGCCCATTATTTTCCTACTTGTTTTTATATATATATATATCCTTTTTACCTATTATTATTTTTGTTGAACCATGATAAAATAAATAAGGCAAAAAAAATATTTATTAACTGTATAACATATAAACTATTCTGCTAAATTCGGAATTTTGGAAGGTGAAAAATACGATAAATTATCTTAATCAAACAGCATCAGTGGCGATATACCTGATATTGGAAACAGTGGGACACAAATTATCGGTTTACATGCCCTACTGTGTTTAACAAAAAAGGGAAACATCATCAGACTGACAGGGGAATATAGGCATGGTCTCTATGGTGAAACTTATGTCACATGGGGCCAACTGAAGTCTGTCAAAGGTGAGAATAAAATATTATCTCTGTCATCATTCGTTAGATCAAATAAGGGTTGTCAGCTCGTGACCCCAAGTCGACTAAATGATTGATTCTTTTAAGCACAAAAAATTGAGCCTGGCATCTGCTAGGTCCATCCACTCTGTCTTGGATTTGGATGATGTTTTAAAGGCATTTGCAATATCTAAGATTAGAAATCCAACAAAATAAAGGATAAACTAAAACTAATGCTTACCTTTTTCAAAGACACTTCTGTCAGTCTTCAGTACAATCCAGGCTAAAGTTTGTACTAGAGGAGCATGTGAGAGTATAAGAAATACTTGTGACAGCAAAAACAATGCCACCACACAAGAAACTTTCCCATTTGAGACTTCATGCATCTTGGGACTGTTTTGATGTGAAGCTCTGGGACTGTTCAAAGCTGACCTGAAAATCAATGAAATGGCATAAAGATTATACATTGTTTAAAGTGTCAAACTGCCTATAAGCAACTCCTGAATAATAACTTCTGAAGTTGAAAATATGCTTCATATAGCTCATAACTATAATGTTTTGCAAGACCTTTTTATATTTTTTCTCATAATAATAATGATGCACAAGTAAATCTTACCTGCTCAAGCTTTGAGCTATGATATCAACAGGTGCTGATGAAATCCTTTTGCTAGATGCTAAGGAGTAAATGTACAGCGGAATCAACAGCTTATGCAACAGATGATCAGTAAGTACATGATTCAAGTCTGTGATATGTAAGCAGAGAATATCATTGATGTAATGCAGATGATCTAGATGCTCTGCTACAAGGTCTGCCAAACGATTTTGAGATTGGTGGCTGAAAGGCAAAAGAAAAACAGATGTAAATAATTATTAATCTGATGCCCAATGGTCTACTTACTCTGCATCATTCCTTACACAAGCATCTAGCTCCTGTATATGTTTACCAATAAACCAAACAATATTGCTAAAATAGGGAGCAGCAGTTCGGTCTCTTATAAAAGCTAACATACTAGCATCATCAACTCTATACACATTTAATGTCAGTGTCCGTACAGCTATTCTAACCATGGACTCTGGATGGTTGAAGAACTTTATAGCTTCTGTGTATAGTGGAAAATCATTTGTATGCTAAAAAATGGATATATTTTTTTGAATATTGTGCAAAAGTAACTTTGGAAAATTTACATTTACTAGTAAGTAATAGCACCTATATCGAATATTACACTTACCTCATTGTAAAAGAAGTGGATTGTATGAGCATTTAGCTTCAAGCTGAGTGTCTTCAGAAATGAAATGTAGTAAGCCATTACTTCCTCATCAGAAAAGTCAAACTTATGTACAATGATTGAATTTACATGGTTGTTAGATAGGAGGTAATCTACAAAAAATAGTGTGGACATTAATGTGCCTCAAACTTAAAATCAAAAGTGTATCTAATTTATATGACACTGACTTGCCAGTGAAGATGATCAGTAGTTTTTTTATCTCCCTGATGATGTTACAAAGCAGATAGGAATAGTCATTAAGAACTTAAAATTAAGGGCAAAAAACGGTAAAAAAAGTAAATGAAGCTTAACCTACAACTATAGATAAAAAAAATTGTGGCAATGCTGCTGAATCCAATGTTTTATAAATTACTGCTCATACTTACACAAGGATGTTTCATTTCTAATATTTTCAAAGAGAATATTCAGTGTCTGTAACAGCTGTACACAAACAAAGCTTGATCCCCCACTTCTTTGTCTCATTATTCTTAGAAAGAATGATAGCATATTCTTTTCTAAAAAGAAACTGGAACCAAAATCAAATATGTTGAAAATAAAATTTACTATAATTCATGGTTAAAAGAAACACTCCCATATATATATGTGTATATATATATATATATATATCATGTATACAAGATGTCACATAATATCAGAATCTCTCCAATTTCTAATATATAATAAATACACGGTGCTATTCATACTTCATGATTTTTAGTATAATGACTCAAACAAGTTTGAATCACTTTTAGGAGAATTTTTTTATTCATTATTGTCTTTCGTGGTTATGATGTCAAAGTCTGTGCTACAGCTATAGAGGAAGATCAGAAAGTTAAGGAAAGGAATATTAAGTATTCTTACAATCTAAAAAGTGTAAAATTGATAGAATGATTGAAAAACTATAGCAATCTGAAGAAAACCTAGTGTTATCCATAAGGCAAAGTCTAATATTTTAAAGCTGCATTTCTAAGGTGCACCATACTGGTCTGGAGCACCCACAGGAACCGTATTAGTGGAGTCCCATTAGATGTAAAAACAGCATAATCTAGGAAATGTTTTTAAAGTCCAGGAGTCCATCGATCAAACTCAAACAAAAATAATGTATATACCTTCAATTTCCATGAAAATCTACATTAAATACAATTGCCAAATACTGCTTCTCCAAGTTCTGCAGCATAAACATAACTCCACTATAAATATGTTGTATTCATTTTGAGTCTCAAGAAGCATGCCAACACAGGCTGAAATTCTTGCAAACTGCAAAGTTCCATATCCATACATCATGCCAGCACACCCCTCAAAAGGTTCACACTAGAAATACAGCTTTATGACTAGAGTAGTTTGATAACAATGACATTATAACTAACAAAAGATAAATGCTGAGCTGCAACAGCAACGGGGGCCTTATCTATAAGTTTTGCCTGAAAACCCTAAGTATTCACATAGCAGTAATTGTAACATTGAAAAAATTTAGACTTATTATAGTGAAGAAACAGCAAGTCCAACAACTGTTAATTTATTCAAAAATAAGGTGTATAAGGAACTAGAAGACAGGGCAATACCTTTTGTGCATTATCCAGCACAAAAAAACTGTATACAACAGTGTCATTGGATTTTTCTGACTACTAATAATAAAGATTATCTTATCACTGTAATTCAAATATTTTTGTGTATCTAATGATGTATAGTGCCATAATTGGTTGAAGACTGAAAACTTATGCATAAAATGTACTCACTCAAACACAGAGGAATCATTCTGATCCCCCCAAATCAGAATCTCAGCAATGGACCTTAACGATTCAACCAACAGTCCTCTATTATGCTCGGATACTGTTTGGTTTCTGGATAGCACATTGTACAAGTATTTGAGGTGCTCAAGCGAATGAGGGTTCTTGGGACGGCCCCAACCGCCCCCAAACCAGCTTCTGCTTCTGAACATGTCTGCATTTGGTACTTTCGGTCAGGATTTCGACATTCTTTAATCATATAATTTGGTTTAAATGCGGACGTTCCGGAACCGAGAGGTGCACAGTGTATTTCAGGCTTTGGTTATTGAGTCAACGAAATAAAATGTCGGGGACACATGAAAATAAAATAAAATTTATAGAAAATCCACATAAACTCCACCACAAGCCTCACACCAGTTTTCTTTTGTATTTGTCAAAGTCACGTCAACGTGACAGCTACCCCCTCCACCGAGATGAACCTCGCTATATACCGGTGAAGATAGATAAGTTTTCGATATGGCATGAGGTCCAAGGAAGTGATATTTATTCATTAATTAAGGACCTGTGTCGTTAAAGCCCTCGGAATTATTCGTTTTCACTGTTCATCAATCTGACACCGAATCTAATTGCTGCCAACTCTAAATTTTTAGATCAATAGTTCCGCGAATCCAAATGAACATTCCTAATCTGTAGAATTCAACGAATTTCTATCTCTAATCTCGATACGATTAGGATAGTTCGACAGTCTGTACAGACAGTGTTGCCGAAGCTACTGATTTTTCGATATTTCTACAGAAATGTGTCACGATTTTTTAAAATAAATCAGATATTTCCAGATTTTTTTACAAAAAAGGGCTGCAACCAAAAATAAAACTAAAAGTATTGAATTATATTTAATTTTATGCCCCATACATCATACAAATGCTTACAGTTAGACAGCCTGGCATACGAATAACGTAGATCCTTCCATGTATTGGTTTTTGTGCGTACAACAGGTACAGACTGGTAAGGAAACCAAATATTGTCTGTTTTTAATTAAATATGAAATATAAATGCCAGGTGACGAAGCCCTAAAGTCAGGAATAAAACAGGAAAATGTTCACAATCCTATAATCAAGAATGGAGAAAGGAGTTTGAAGAGTGACCAGCATGTTCATTAGATAAGAAGAAATAATATTTTTCAGGAAAAGATGGCCTTAAAAAACCTTTAGTGTGTGCGCGCGCAAAACAAAGGTATACACATATATAGAACCACCTCTGACCTTGCGACGGCCCTGATTTTTTGCTCCTACCAATTTAGCCTTGAGTCTACCGAATTTCAACTGCACTATCTACCAGTTTGGTCTTCTTCAGCTCGGCAACACTGTGTGCAGATTAGTTTTACTCTCTTCGAAGGTTATGTTTTGAAGTTTGATTTTCAGCAATTTTTGGTTCTGAAAAATGAAAATGTACTAGAATTTTTTGGTACTTAGGGGGATGGAACATTTTGAAGAAGTTGGGAAGAGCGTCAGTATTCCTGCAATGGAAGATCATGAAGAAATTGGAAAGAGTGAATTTTTAAATAAATGTGCTAAGTGTGAGAGAGTGATGTCTAATTTATCTAACCTGAGAAGACACGTGAAAAGTGTTCATCCTGGAGAACATGCTTATGTGAAATCGCTTATGTTACAAACAGGCAGCAAAAGTCTATATAGCTGTGAACCCTGTAAAAAGATTTTCACGGACAAGTTCAATTACGCAAGGCATTTAAAGAGCCGCGTCCATACTGATAGTGATAGAGGTTCTTGTGAACAGACATACTATTTCTGTAATTTGTGTAAAAGATACTACAGTGATCCATATAGCTTTAAAAATCATGTGGTTAGAAAACACAAACGAGCAAGTCTCTGTAATTTTGAAGTAGATGAGAACGGTAAATCCTTACCTGAGCATTTGACAGACCACGAATATCCAAAACAGTTTTTCTCTATAAGTAGACCTTCAGAAACAGGCATTACATCTAAAAACTCTCCACTTTTGAACTGGAAAATAAATAAATGTTCATTGTGTGATTATTCTTCTAAGAGATACGATGTATTAATGCATTATATAAAAGAACACAAGATAGTCATAAAAGAAGCAAATTACACTTTCACAACTATTGATGACTTCTTTAACTGGAAGGCTATTTATGAAAAGGAAACTAACTCAAAATTGATCAAGGACTATACCGTTCATAAGAATGATCATGTATATAGGGGATATAAGTGTCATCGTTCTGGAAACCTCATATCACAATCTAGAGGTATCAAAAGAGCTAGGACGAGTATCAAGATAGATGGATATTGCCCAGCAAGCATAAAATTGAAGTCAAATGGCACTGCTAGTTATGATGTTCATGTTATAGAGACCCATGTGGGACATAATCTTGATCTCACACAGAGTAATACTGAATATGTAGATGACCCAGTATTGTCAAATGAAGAAATATCAACTAAACAAATGGAACATGATGTTAGTTTGAAAATGGACTTTAATTCTATAACATGTACAGATGATGGGTGGAATATTTGCTCATATGTTACGCCAAAAGAGTTAAACACAGTTCGTAAGGTCCAAGAAGATTGTGACTGTGATTCAAGATGTCTGGATTGTCAAGGTTGCATCCATGAATATGTTTGTTCCTGTATTGAGTCTTCCCAAAAGCAGAATATGTGTAGGCACATCCATCTTGTTTGTAGATACAATAGGAATGAAGATAACATGCCTACATCTGAGTGTATTTGGAGAGACGTTAATGGTATGTTCTGAGGCAACTTAAATATATAAACTATATCACGAGTATTGTCCTAGTATTACCTTAACTAGACTGTAAAAAAAATATTTTATCAGAAATTACTTTGGAGCAGTAAACATACTTGTGTTTTGAACAACATATTAACAGCAACTGGTAAAAATAATATCATTTGTGATTTTTGAAATATTGAATTTTGCATGATTTTGGGTTTTTGAGAGCCTTAAATAACTTAAATTTTTTAGTAATACAACATATTGTAAAAAAAATATTAAGGCTTTCTAGTACTTTTGGGAATTCATCAAGTCAAGAATCTTGATATTTTTATAAACTACTTGAAACTAAAATTACTTGAAATGTTAATGCTTGACTCGACTTGAATTTTTTATTGGTCTACGTGACTTGAGGTCAAGCTTTTTCAATCTACTTGATGGATGATGGTTCTACTGAAGACTTTCAGTGATATCTATACAACTGATGAGCTGCAAGGACGTACCCAGGGGAACCCTTTTACTCTAGCTTGAATGAATGAATATCTGTTAGATGAGAAATTACTGGGATTAGTTGAAGCCTTAATTTTGCTAAAAGCACTATCTTATGTGTTTTGAATTTGAACCTCACCTTTTTGATCTTGAATGTCACATGATCAGTAGGTATTTACTGTGGTCCATACCATTAGTGGATTTCTATGTAACATGCATCAATTACTGACACCCAGGGTACATGTTTACCCTGTACAGAGCGGTATATTCCAAGTAGGGAATGTATAGTCCACCATTTTTGCAAATAACATTTTTGATTATGTTTTATAGTATATTACAATTACATACTAAAAACTTACCCTGCATGTCTAACTTATTTCAGGTTGAGCATTTTTTAAATATAATTTTTTTAGATGTTAATTACTACAAAGGCTTTAGCTTTTGGTTACTATTTCATATTCACTGGATTTTGCCGGACTTCCCAATCTTTTAATCCTTCAAATAAACTCTTGACTACATCTTAAAATATATCAACAAAGTTTGACTTCGTTCTGAATTTTGTCTCATTTAAGGAAATTTTTTGAAGGCGTTCAAAAGAAACAAAAAAAAGGATACAGTCAAGATTTTTTGCTCATAATACTGATGCTATTAGACAGGCCTTTCGAAATTTCTACAAAATCCAGTGATACTGTCCAAGTTATAGAAGGACCAATAATGACCAATAGTTTTTTTCTACAGTCTTTCTGTCTGTAATAGAGGGCAAAGGATTACCTGATGAATGCCACAAAACATGTACCTACTATTTTATATCTGAAAATTACTCTTCCATTCGAAGTTTTTTCGCGAGTACATTACTTCTCTGGCCAACTGACTTAAGCACCCTGTTTTGATTTTGAGGAATATGTACGCCCAAAAAACAGGTATCTCAAGTATTGCAAATTATTACTTAAAAAAGCATCGCGCGTAATATTTGATTGACTGCTTCAAAAAGTAATCATAGCACTTTTCCATATCTGTATGAATTGTCAAATCGTCATGGAAGACTCTATATACTATATGTGGATAAAACAATGAAATGCCAATAGAAAGAAAAATATGAAGCATCGTTAAGTAGATATGATTTGTGGAACTTCATCAAACATTTTTTTTAAAGTGTTCCCCTTCCGTTTTGAGCCGGGTACGCCCTTGGCGAGCTGTATTTTTAATTTTAATGTATATAATCACGAGTGGTGGAAAAGGCATGAAAATGTACCCTCAAATCTGTACGCCCTTGGCGACCTGTATTTTTAATTTTAATGTATATAATCACGAGTGGTGGAAAAGGCATGAAAATGTACCCTCAAATCTGTACGCCCTTGGCGACCTGTATTTTTAATTTTAATGTATATAATCACGAGTGGTGGAAAAGGCATGAAAATGTACCCTCAAATCTAGTTTTGCTGGCCAGAAATTTTTTATCGACATCTGCGACATCAGCGTCCATTGAAAGAAAATTTTTTAGTGGTGCACTAACATTTATGAAACCCCACAACATATTAAGCAACAATTCCTTTAGGATCCTCATGTGTCTTAACTTGTGGTTAGCAAATCAAAAGCTGATTCAGAATTTTTAATTTTTGTGCATCTGATAAAGAAATGTTTTTTCTATTTGAGTTTACAGTTTTATTTTTTATATGATATGAACAATTTATTTTGTTCAACATGTATTTTTTCCCTGTTACTTGTCTCAAGGTCTTTCCATTGTATTTTAATAATCTACTCGTATTTATATTATGAAGATTATCAAGTAATATCGAGGCTACTTGAATTTTAAAGTACTTGATGTAAATACTACTTAATTTATATTGCTAATATCTAATACTTGACTTGAGCATGGCTTAATTCCAAGCCAAGTAGCTTGAAAATTAATTAAAGTCGCGAATACCCAGGTATTTTGGTACTTAGTTTTCCAGGTATTTTAAAAGATGACCATTCTTCAACTAAAATTTTCATTAACGTTTGAGCATATTTAAGGAATCCCCACACAAAAAATGTCAATCGTGAGTGGACTGCATGAATTTGTAAATCGAGCACAAGAAATACGTGTCTTTGGTAAAGTTTCTGGTATTTCCTAATGCTCATAAAAAATATGCGTTAACACAAATCTGATGTGTTTTCCCGCCATAAGATGATCTATAACTGAATTCCCTCTGCCTGAGAGAGGCTATAATAGCTTCCCCCTATCCAAAAAAAGTCAAATTGTTGAAAAATGACGAGAAGCTAAAACCCCAAAGTACCTATCGCTTACCCTTTAGAACATTGATCATCTTTTATTATGCACTGAATGCTCTAGTGTTGCTATAAGTCATTTTCACTCAGGAAATATATTTTGCAGCATCTACAGATGCAGAGGATGATGATACCATGTCAGAAGAGCAGGGAACTGCGGTAGATAAATATCCAAGTGTCAAACAGGATAATGATGAGTCTGAAGAAAGCGATTTGGTGATTATAATGGATGAAGAAACATTAAATCCTGAAGATGAAAAAAGTAGTGACTCAAAAGAATGTAGAGTAACTGAAGACAGTTATCCGAGATCTTCTGAAGAGGAATTGACAACTGTAGAAGAACATACAGGCGCCCCGTCAGGAAAAAAGGTAGCGCATTGTACACCTGGGCAAGGAAATATAAGTGATCAAGAAGACTCTTCGTTGATGGAGCCCTGTACAGATGAAGAAGAAGCTCTAAGTGACGAAGCAGAAAGCAAGAACACGTCAGCTAAGGAACTCAGAGCCAGGCGTCAGCTGTTGAAGCAGATGCGAGAACAGTTGACACAAGAAATTGCAGAGATCAAGAGGTGCGTTCGTCTGGCTGGAGATCCTGATGAAGTATTGGCCATTCAGCGATGTGTGGCATCTATAATATCAAGATTGAATCAATCGTGACAATGTTTTTTCTAATCAGATATACTTATTTATTTTTGAATTATTATCTTTATTAATACGAGATTCATTCTTTAATTATGCATATACAATAATTACAAATATATTTTTATTAAAACTATGAATTACTTTTTAAATATTTTCCAGTAAAATTAAATAGTTATAAATCAGGGAAATTGTGACATTTATTTGTGTGACCAAGCTGTTGTTGTTTCTTAATACAAAGCGGATGAAACTCGGTACATTGAGGTAATTTGGGCCGCGGATTTCGAATATGCACATCAAACATGCCAAAGTGGAGCAAAGATCTATTAGCAGTAAGAAAACGGAATTTCTGAGGCTTTTCATCGACGTCAGTGAAAAATTGACATTAGTTTCGTGATGTATGCACCTGACGTGTTTTGGTCGAAATTACAGTTATGCAAGAATCTTTGAATGCTTTTGAAAAATGCCAAATAGTATTTGGAGTATGAAAGTGGGACTTTTTTGACTACACGACTATATATGTTAGTGAAAGAAAACATGAAATTATATTCATGATGATCTGCGCAATTTAACTTTGAGACATGGACTTTAGTCGAGATTGCAGATACGTAAAATATTTATGGAAGTTTTATTCAGCACTATTAAACTTTAAAGCTTCTCAATGGTTTTTTACTGGTTTTGGATATGCGAACCACGCAGCCAATTCCTCAATGCAAAAACGAACGACTAATTATGTGTTTAGTTTTATTCAACACTAAAAGTACCAACAATTAATACATACATATTTATGCAATAGCTGGTCAAATGACCCATTGACATATTCAAGGGGGCTTTGTAGCTAAAGCTCCTCCAGAACCCCAGGGTCTAATACGTTTTTCTTTATATAATAAAGTATGACTAGGTGACCTTCCCCCACTCCTATGCTGGTCCGCTCTTAAACCAGAATCGGACTCGTAATTTTGTTTTGACCGCGTGTGGAAGGGGGCGTGACTGCGGGTTTTAGAATAATGGAAAAACAGTAATATCGGTCGGTGATTCGGTTCTTGTTTTTGGAATGAGTTTCAAGGTTATTGCACGTCGGTTTTTGTTGTGCCACGCCTAGGTGCACCGGAAACGGCTACCACGGAGGCTAACGTGAGAAAAATCCACGATCTCGTTTTCTGGGATTCACATCGACTACCTGGAGAAGGACGAAACGGTTACATGGCCTCACTATGCCTAACTATGAGGCGGAATTGCATCAAAACGGTCCATTTTGGCGAAGAAAAAAGTGCTCCTCCTCCATGACAATGCACCGGCTCATAACTCATCACAGAAATTTGAGCCGAATGAGGAGGTTATCGCCGCCACGGAGGCCTATTTTGCAGACCTCCAGAAAGCGTATTTATAGAAGGAGACTATGTTTAAAATAAAAGTCATTTTTTTAAAATTTTCTTTTTTCTTTTGTATGATAAGTACTTATCGGACCGCTCTCGTATCTCACGGGCTACAGCCCACACAACTTGATGGAATTAGGCGGAAGCACTCAGTGGCTGGTCCGACAGAAGCAGTGAGTAAGGATATATAAATATGATATTTAGGGCTCCTACGCACTGACCGGTTAGCCGCAATGCGGTCAGCCGTCCGGCTAGCCGCAGTCGAAAATATGCATGAAAAGTATAGTTTTCATACGCACTGTCATGCGGTTGCTCGCAGCGTTGCGGCTCGACTGACGGTTAGCCGGACCGTTATTATACACATTACGCGGTCTAGTTTGCGGTTGGCCGCCTCGGACGACGCCCGTGTGTACTTGACGCGCTCGCTCTGAATTTCGATACAGAAAGGTTTATTATTGAAATACAGAATAGGCCGGCAATATGGAATTCTAAATCTGCGGAGTATTCCGGTAGAAATTTACGACAAAAAACCTGGGAAGAATTGGTAGAAATCTATGGAACTGATTCAACACGGGATAAAAAAAGCTTGGTAAGTACCATATATCTTATAATTATTGTTTATTGATTTAAATATGTAAGTATAGAATGATGTTTAATGTTCATGTTTTAAGCACATAAGCTTGTTTAAATGTAATTATCCTGCCAGCTTACCCTCCCTTCGTTGATGAAATAATCAGCGAATAATTATCGGTAACTCAATGCATTTGTGTTGTTTCTGTGTACATAGGGAATGCAATCCCGCAGGAGATTCTCGATTCCGGTATTTGCGGGACTGGACATTTTCAATCCCGCGGGATCCAGGTATTTGCTGGATCCCGCATGAATAATAAAACTTCGCAAATAATTTATAACTTCTGACGGTACTTAATGAAACAAATCCAATTATATAATCAATGTTTTTTAAAAATCAACTTACTTATTCAAAATTGAAAAAGTTAGAAAATCAAACATTATTTTGAAATTGAAATTGATAAAAGTAGAAAACTAAACATTATTTTGAAATTAAAATTAACAAGAGTAGAAAACTAAACATTTTGAAATTAAAAATTGACAATAGTAGCAAACTAAGCCTTATTTTGAAAATAGCGTCTCAAAAACGTTAAGGTGTTGGTGGTTTCATCTGTTAAACGGCTCCTGACCTTACAAACTATATGACCAGCAGCAGAAAATGCTCGTTCTGCTTCTACGCTTGTAGGAACTATCGTCATTAAGGCGTTATAAACAAATTTAAGATATGTGCCTTTTTGTCCACCTGACTAAAAATAATTAATTTCCTTCCTCATTAGAATATCGAGATTATTATGGCCAGATCTAACTTGGGGTTTTCCAGTAGATTTTAAATTCGTCAAAGTCAGATCGAGTTCGTCTTGAAGTGACAGTACTGCTACAGGTGCTGGAGAATTTGGCTCCAGATTGGCCAGAGCTAAGTCGTCTTCAGATTCAAAGACATCAGCAGAAGGAGCGGTGTGTGTTACTTCTTTTTTATCGAATCGTAATCTGTCTACAATAGTTTTAATCATCTGTTGTATTACCTTCTTCGAGGGTAAGTGAAATGTCGTACATGTTCAGTCCTATCTTCTTCGTACCTAAATGGATCATGTAAGTACATTATTACCGCAGTCAAGTTAGTTCGCGGCTCTGCATTTCGTTTCTTCAACGAGGTAAAACGTTTTTTGGCTAATGGTTCGTCAAAGTCTTCCAATTTACGAACAACAAACCTCAAAGTAGTTTCGGCAGTCATCAAACTAAGAGTCTCGCCTGCACAAGGCTTCGACAGCTAGCTTTACAGGTTTTAATATTTGCTCTAGATCGATAAGCACATCATATTCTTATTCGATGACCAAATAATCTGGATTCGCACCGAGCTTCAATCAACCAGAGCTTTGAAACGCACAATTTTACCTTATCAAATATCGTTATCATATCTGATAGGTTTACAATCCAGCAACAAAGCAACGTTTTTTCCCATATCTGTTAGCACACGAGATATGTTTGGAGACGATCACTTTTTGTGGGGGAATTTTTGCCACTAAAACCAGGGAAAAATAGCTTTTGTAATTGAAACACATTGATCCGCTTTGATTTGGTGCTACAATCCTAACATGTTTACCATCGCAAGCCTCGATACAGTTAGGGAAATGAGCTCTATGCGAGAAATCATTCGCAATTTGAAGTCACTTTTCTTTTGTTGGTTCTGGTAGGCACACCTCTTTTAAACAAATCCATATAGCGACACATACTTCTCGAACTATTTCAGCGACAGTACTCCAATCTTAAATACATAATGCATTTCGGCGAATGAACATCCTGTTACTAAGTACATGAAAAATAAATATTATTTTGTTACAGGTGTGTTAAGTAAAATTTAGAAAGAAAGAAATCCGAAAATAACGACGATCGCCTCTTTTATGTCATTGGTAAAAGATATCAAGAAAATACACGAGCACTTGCAAATGCACGCAAAGTTAGATATTCTTAGAGTAATTAAGGATGCACAACAGGTTTGTTATTATTCAAATTCGTCATGGGGTATTTCAAGGGCTCATACCAGTCATGGATATCAAACGGCACATTACTCGTATTCAAGAAATAACCCACAAGAGCCTACACACTCAATGGACGCTGGACGACCACCTCGAAATATGGACGTTGGACGACCACCTTCTCATAATATGGACGTACAATCGCCAATTCTTACATTGACCTTTTTAATTCTACTAAGGACACAGAATGATTCAACTGTTTGACCATTTGATAAATAAATAACGAATTAAACATAAAATATTTCATTTTTTAGTGTTTCACCAAGTAACAATATTGTATTTTACTTACCTTAGCACTACCATTAACTTTAGTTTAATGCTATTCCGAAACGGTGTATTATGCTTTGTAATACTGGTTCTTAAAATGCTTAAAAGTTCTTCAAATGATTTCCCACTCTTTCTAGTATATCCAAAAAATTTGTCTTCATACTTTTTGACTTCTTCGAAAAATATTTCAAAATGCTTAGTCTCATCTCGTGTCTGCAAATAAAGATGCACCCAGTACTTTTTTCTTTTTTGCTTTTTCTTTATACAGGGTGACAGGTAAATAGGTGTAAAACATTTTAGGAGGTGATAGTACAGCACTTTGCTATCGAAATTAGTATATAATACCATACCCTATATTCAAAGGTTGAAAAGTTATTGAAGATTTAAGATTTCTTTAAAAACAATCCATATTTCAGAGTAAAACAGTCGAGAGAGAAAAAAGTTGGCGATGAAACATTTGTTTTTTGTGGTTTTGGGTTATTATTTCAATAATTAACTATTATAAATTAAAAAAGATTCGAAAACGATACCAAACAACGTATTTATTTTCATTCAAAAATGTTTAACTAAGAAAAACAAATAACGTTTTACAGTAAGTAAGGTGTTTTACAAAAAAATCAGTATACAAAAAAACGTACAAACAATTTAAATAATATCCTTGTTTCATAAGGAATCTAAATTGGTATGAAAAGTGCACAAAAACTGTGTGAAACTAAACATAATGTATTGTAATACAACAATAGGGAGTAAATTTACCAATGGCTTGTCTCCTATTTTCACAACTCTCTGATTGATAAGAAAGTGTTTTTGTGAAAATAATGTAACTGTAAGCTATGGGATAGTTATTATTTTAAACTACGGTTCAGTTACACGATTAGATTATTTACACAGTTGTAATTGTACTACAGAATAATAAAAACTGACTAAAAGTTACTACAATTGGTAAGTAAAATACAATAATGAAATGAAGGTAAAATTCATTGCAATTGTTGTTCGAACTGACGCCCGCCGTTTCTTATGCAAGCCCGTAGTCTTTTTCTCATGTTGGTACGCGTGATGCGGCCAGCTAGTTGTCCTCTGATAGTGTCAGCAGCAGCAATAATTCTTTCTTTCAACTGTGCAAGAGTGTCTATGGGCTCAGCGTACACCAGTGACTTCATGTGCCCCCATAAATAATAGTCACACGGTGTTAAATCTGGGCTCCTCGCTGGCCACGGTGTAGGTCCACCTCGGCCAATCCAGCGACAAGGATATTTCTCGTTGGTACGTCCTACCGCGTTAAAGGTTGATATTCTACTAACTAACCTAAAACCTAAGCGTTAGTTCCCTTTCCTTGATTTGTCAGCTGTGTCAATACATAACACACGCAGAGCTTGCTTCCGAGGAGCGACGACAGATTCCGAATACTTAAACCCGAATAACGGCACTGGGCACAAAAAATAACAAAAAGGGTCGAACCATGAAAGGCTCGGTTTACCTGCTCAGTACAATGAAATGCGCTTAGCGGTCCTTTCTAGCAAAGTAATATTGGTTTGTTAAATGGTTTACTTACTGATATGTTATACCATTTTAGAAACCTAATGAAACGAGGAAGTTTTTGCAGTTATTTGTACATTTTCTATATTATCATTTTTTGAAAAAAAGACTTCTTAATGTGAAAGTAGAAAATACAAATTTTCATTTAACATTTAAATGAAAATAAATACGTTTTCAGTAGTGTTTTCATATGTTTTTTAATTTATAAGAATTATTTATTTAAATAATAACCTGAAACCACCAAAAAAAAGAATGTTTAATCACCAACTTTTTTTTATCTCAACTATTTTACTCTGTAATCTGGGTTGTTTTTTTAAAAAAAATTAAATCTTCCATAACTTTTTAACCTTTGAATATAGGGTAAGGTATTATATACTAATTTCGATAGCAAATGTTTTACACCTATTTACCTGTCATCCTGTATAACGCTCGTAAATATAATAAATAGCCACGACTTCTTCAACGTCCATCTTGCGAACGAGCTGACCAAAACCGTGTTTTTATCCGCACTTTCCGGTTGTGAGTGCGGCTAGGCGCCATCCGGCTGACCGCAGTTGCAACCTCATCCTGCGGCTAGCCGGACGGCCGGACGGCTGACCGCATTGCGGATAACCGGTGAGTGCGTAGGAGCCCTTAGAGGTCATATTTGAGGTCAGGGGTGGTGGAGGGACCTCACAGGGTAGGAGAGTGTGTGTGTGTGTAACATTATATGAGGTCATCGACAAATGCTGTCTTAAAACTTTTCTTCGAAACTCTTTTCCAAACTAGATACCCTGTAAATATAGGCAAATTCGACAATGAATTCGTGGATTAAACCATGCCTATAGTCTCCCTTGGGTATCAATTAGTAAGTACAGCAATTTTTAGTACCTAGATGTCAAATCTGCAAAAGAGATAATATGATATTGCTCATTTTCAATGTAGAAGTTCACAACCGTTCTTTTGATTGTTATTGGCATCTTTAGTGTTAATATTGCAGGCCAACTAATTCATCTATTTCTTTATTAACGTATTTTTCGAAAACATTAGCGTACGGTCTAGTTTGCTAATGAAAATGTCGGGAGTAAATATTCAGCAACCATGCACTTTTTGTCGGGTAGATTGCATTTTTTGATTTACAAGGACTTAGCACAATTAGGGACATAAAATAAAAAACAATTTCTGTATTTAAAATGTTTATTCCACATAAGACTTTATATATATAACTGATTGGGTTTTGAACACATATTTCTGACAGTAAAACTGCAATGTACAAGGTAATTCACTAATTCATACTTAATATTCTTGTATTTACATTTGAAATTATGCTTCAATCATCGTAAATGTGCCTATAAACGGTAATATAACATTTTGAGCCCAATGAAATATTACCATATTCATTTAGAACTACATGGTTGAATTCCTAATCATCGCGCCAACCTTGACTACACTTCTTTTTTTTATTTTCAACAGGGTTGGTTGATTCAAATCAATGGTTTATGTCAACTGATTTTTTTGATATCATTTGTATCAAAATAGGCACAATGAAAAAACAACCAACCTACTACGCCCAAATTTCATAACTCTTTGCCTACTCTTATAAGCCCATGGTTCAAAGGCAACGTGTACAGGGTGTCCCAGAAAGCCAAAATATAAAGAGCTTCAAATCTTAGAGTGGAGAACCAGGTTGCGGATCTTACGTTTTCAATAGTACCTACGCTAATATCTAGATAGATTCCTCCATTTCATTGTATGCAATCATGGGCCAGTATTCCTTGGAGTACTTATTAACGTAAACGGATATTCCATAGTCAATGGGTGTTAAATCTGGTGATCGTTGTGGCCAAGCAATGTTGCTAAAGCAAATACTCAGCGAATTATTTTGTGCCTCAGCTAACATTCTGTCTCAGTTCACGGACATAATTTTAGCAAGCTGGGGTTACTGGCCAACTTCGAGGGTCATTGTAGACTAGCTTCCTGAGCTGCTACCGCAAAAGTTGATGTCTCGTTTTGGTGATATGGCAAAGCCACCACGATCACTAGAATTGATCGTCGTTGATACTTTCTCGTTGGTTTAATCACATGTTCAACGTTCACGATAATATTCCGAATAATACCTCTGATTTCAAAAGATATACGCCACCAAGTGAGCAAAACTGCCTCACAACGTTACACAAAATTCGAAGAACAAATTCCATGAGCGACATTGACAAGACGTAACGTGTAAAAAATAAAATCCGCGTTTCATGTTTCTCTATTAACGAACTTTGACATGAACTGCATTTTAGCCATGGATTTATTGAGGTATAAAAAGTGATATGTAATCTGAGCCCATACGTGTATGGTGTTTGAAAAAGGCGCATACAATTCTGAAAAACCTATGAGCATTTCGCATCTATTCAAGTCATAAAAATAAATCAACATTATTCTAGTTCCGTGAAAAATCCTTAATTAAAAAACATTTCGTAGTAACGATAGGTAAAATTAAACAGTAAATAACGTATTTAGAGCGTTCCATTTTTAATATCAACTAACACATATTGCTAAAGATTAATATGAGTCAGCACTATCAGCTGTAACAATAACTTTAAACTATCTTCGTTTATTTCTTGTAAACGGTGTAGTTCTGTAGTTTTACATGGTTTTGTTGAAAATGGTAATGGCGGTAACAAGTATGAGTTTATCCAAGTTTTACACTTGTATCTAGAGGTTTAAAATTGATTTTTTTTCAATATTTCCGTTTAAAAATAATAAATTGTCAAAAATAAGGTGAGCTCCAGACTTGAAAAACCTGTGTAAAACTTGGATACCATGTTAATCTGCAAATCAGGTGTGGTGGCTAAGAAGTATCACCTGCAAAGTGCTTTATCATTTTACTGGTTACCTACTTTTCTTATATCAGAATTCCAGATTTGTTATATATGTTGATACGAGGAACTTTTTAAATGTTGAATTTATGAAGTAGTAACCCACATATAGATATTTCTCCTCCTAGCAATCCGCAATAGTATATGCATTCCTCTGTATACAAAAAATATTGATTTGATAAGGATATACTCAGTGACAAAATAAATAGAAAGATGTAGGGTAAGTTTTCAGTTGAACATCACATGAAGCATACTGTTAGAGTTATGGTTTGGGGTGCCATTACATATGGTGCTAAAGTCGCCTCTAGTTTCCGTTAGGGGCAGTCCCAGTAAACGTGAAAAGGGATATTCACATTCTTGGAATGTACGTTTTAGATTCTAAACGAGATATCTTAATAAACACATACTGTTCACATCCGTTTAAAGCATATTCTCCTGACGAACATTCTAGGAATATGCGAAATGTTCACAGCATATTCACATAAGGGATATATAAAGAATATTTACTTTCAGGACATGGCGATACACAATCTTGTTGCCACGTAACAGTAACATTCTACCAAGTAATAAAAATGGATCTTCCTGGCATGTGTTAAGCACTTTTCATCAGAATCTATCAGGTAAAATCTTCGGCCTATCGCGTATGTTCGTGTCTCCGAGTGACCATTGGCATAGTGGCACAAGCCGACCCGCTTAACGGTTTCCATTTTGTTTTATTCCATGTCTGCACATATCTAACATAGCGTGCACCGTATGTCTCCAAGTGATACATTATTTGACAGTATTTTTTTGTGGGAAAATGTAAGTTTTGTGATAATTATTCATCTCAATATGTCTGAACAATGAACATTGTTGTGTCAGTTGAGTAAGGTACAGCATCATAACCCCAAAAATATCGTCTTATAGAAAGCTCAATTGCCATCTGCAGTTGGAGATACTTAGGAGGTATATAAATAGACTTTTAGAATACCATAGAACGTGGTCTTGACCCTACATGAATACAAGCATACATGTTATGGTTAATTTGCTTTATTAGGTTTTCGATTATCCTTCATCGCGGGCTTATGGTGTGATCATCTGGATATACCTGAAGTAACCATTAGATGCTACTATGACGAGCCACTGGATACTTTACGAACATTGAGTTGATATCCGTTGGTATATTAAATACATAACATCAGTATTATAATATGAAAATTCTTGTATATGGGCGTACATCTAAATATCCATATGGATATCCAGGTAATCCACCGTGGATATCTAATCCTATATATGTGTGCTCTCCGGGAAGACTTTGCCAAATTCCCTGAAGAGAATATTCTTAGTAAGTGTGAAGATCTTGAAAAGCACATTCTTAGAACATGTCATTATTGGGGAAATCCAGGATACAGCGGACATCTTGGCTTCAAAATATAATCACCACTGGCTCGTATTTGTTACTGACTGTATAATAAGATTTTACTTGAGCCAAATGAGTTTTCTGTTCATTGTCACTGAGTATATTACGTCAATGGAAAACAGGTTTATAAAAGATTGAGAATATTAAAGATTTGGTTTCAGTGGAAGCATAACCCTATTAGAAATTCAGTTTCTGGTATGCGCCGTATTAGAATCCTATCAAGCTGCAAATATTCTTCCTGGTTTTCTATATCTTAATTCACAGTCTCTACAGCCATTTTTGCGATGAATACAAATTAAAAATTATCAAAATCAAAATGTATTTTCTTAACATCATTTTTCCAACTGTCACATACTTCTCTAGTTACAGATGTAATAAAACGTTAATAACAGACAGATACATAAGTAGAAATGTGGATGTTGCTTCACTCAACAGAGAATCTGCTCCTTTGCAGGTGTTCATCTACGTATAGGGTTATATAGGTAGGTACACGAACAGAGGGAACAGGTATGCATTTTTACGGGGTACTGTCAACAGCTTACATTTTGGGTAACAACAATTTTGGTACTATACGCGTAAAAAAGTTGTACGAATGAAACAGTTCAGATTCACAACGATAACAGTTAAACGTGATATGTTGAAAAATACATTATTAGGATCAACGTAATGGAATTATATTGAGTAATTGCACATACAAGCGGTTTTTCGGCATCAGCTTTCGTTCAACATTTCCATCAAGCTTTTTAATGAGGGATAAACTGGAAAGCTAGAAGCAGACGGCGCTAGTTAGGTTGGGGATCATATCCGTCAGAACCAAGGTTATGAAGATACAAACATGTTAATATACCCTATTTCACGAGTATCTATTACGGTTCGACGTTTACTAGATTACTAGATAATCAGTTGTCATTCTCCGTGATGGATAGTCGTGAAATAGGGTATAGCTGATTAGCTGTTTGCGTCAATAGACGTCAAAACGTAAAAAATAGGTTGTCTACCCACAATTAATGGAAAGGGGTAGGTTTGTTTTAAAGGACGGGGATGCTTTCAATCTTGTGTGATATCCCCCAGAACATTATATCATCAAAAATTCCCCAAGTAAAAGTCCCCAAATTTGGAGGAAAGTTCCCCAACCTGTCAACCCGGTCAAAGCACCACTGGTACTCCAGGCTTCAAGTTTTGGGGTCGATTTTACAGCACGCTTAGCATTGCCGTCGCTTCTCCTGGTATATAGGTTCCGTGTTTCTAGTTTATTGAAATTTTTGAGGTAGCCATGTTGTGATATGCACTTACTCAATATAGTATCTTCAACATCAAATACTCATAAGAGGAACTGTACGCTTTTTACAGCAAAGCTACTATTTGCTGTATGTAATCGTTGAACCTGTATAATTGAACTTCACAGCGACAATTTCGCATCATGAATAACTGATGCCCGCATTAACTTTTGTAACGGAAAATATTGACTTGATTTTCTCACCATCTTGTGTCCATCTCATCATAACAATACCTTGCATAAATAAGATATGCATATGATGGAATAACCCGATTCAAACAAAAATAAAGTTTTCAGTAATACCACATTCATTGTTATCGAAAATGATATTTTCATCGATTCGTTTTGTTACACCTTTCGTTTAATATACGAACTAATTTTCTATCACATTTTTTTAGAATAATCTGTTTTATTATTCGTGAAATGTTATGCAGGGGAATTTTCTATGCGATATATTTGCCATATGATTCCTTGTTTACGATGAATATTACGAAAGGACATTATAAATACTAGAATTTAAGAAATACAGGATGTTCCGTTTCAAATTGACCCCTTGCTATTTTTTTAAGCCATTTAGATAAAATTCCGTACGAAAGTTATTGGATTTAATAGGAAGTTTTTTCTTGAAATGTCTTTTTCATATACGCTTTTAAGTAGAAAACCTTGTAAATTTTTAGTGAAAATTATAGTCGCTCTTTTCTAATACAGTGTTTAGTCAGTTTAGTGAAAAACTGAAATTTTGCTTGTCATTTATTTGTATACCTATATCAGACTTAAAACCAGTTTCCATTTTAGCCACCTGTGCAGTCGTATGAGGCCAGATACGTACTGATGATGCATACATCTAATAACATTGTAACTGACATTTTGATGATTTTCACTTTTTGCGCGATTTGGATAGATTGTTTTCGACGCTTTTGGCTCAAGTTAAAAAAATAGCATTCTGCTAGTATAAATGTGATAAGGATGCGGTTTAGATATGATAGTAATTGTATACATTAGAAAAATGATGGTAATATAATGGTAAAGATGGTTGCTGATCTACTGAACCTCAATCCCATTATTGTAAGGTACTGTACGAGGCTATCACGTCTTCCTGCGCAAAGAAAAATTACTCCCAACGCAAACCTCACAATTAACGGGTCCACTTCATAAACCAGTCAAGCCACATGAAGAAAAATGTCGAGGAAACATAAAAAACATTTTTGATGCAAATTTTTTATTTACTGTAAATTTTCGTATTTGCTGTCAGTTGCAGATAATTCTGCTGCATTGTTTTTTAAATATATCAATCTGTAAATAAAAAAAACATTGAGCTATGAGGGAAAGATTAATGGACTTGACTGGTTTATTCAAGGTTTTTTGTTTTTTTTAGCGATAAAATTAGAATAAAACAAACGTTGACGTTACAAATGTTATTTTTTGTTAAGTTACTGAATAAAATTAACTAATACATGGTGTAATTCAACTTGTGATACAAACTTAAAATATTTTCATTTATTCGTCTTCACTCAATTCTGATGCCGAAGTTTCTTTATCATCTGGCGAAAAGCTCTGATGATATTTTCTGAATCCTTCATAGAACAAGTGATCACATTGTGGCTTATAGTTTTTAGCCAGAGTCATAATGCGATGAAATTTATTTTTCTTTAACTTTCTTCTTTCACTATATATCTATCTTATTTGTAGTGTTTGGTAGAGTCAGGGGCTGCACATTTCTGTTATCTCACATTTTAAAAATATTAAACTGATACAAAGAAACTTTTTCACTACATTTAAATATATTTCATTATCTAGTTTTTTCATAGCGTATGATTCGATATTTTGAATTCGTAATTTTATTGTCCTTCCTTGCAGAATTCTTCACAAACAACAGTTGCAAATGGACCTTGAAATTTAAAAATATACCTACGCTACATGGATGACTTTGATTTTTTTTGTTTGTATTTTCAGTAATCTTTGAGTACTCTTGCGGCAAATATATTTTGTCGTGCTTTCCTGTTTGTATTTATATGGCTCCAAAGCTCTTATCGAACGGAAGGAAACTATGTCCGGGTTCGGGGTACATGTATTAGATTGACAGCACTGTGCAAAAACCATGCAAAGTGCATGAAAAATTCTGAATTTGTTTTTACAATTTAAATGTTACAGAGTTGGTTTATGCACTAGAAGGATCAGAATCTAAAACTGTGCAAGAATATAAATCCAACTCATTTTGCCCATAAAATAGACTTGACCGGTTTATGTATCGGACCCCTCAATTATGATGCTCATAGAAAATCTGACGAATGTAGTTGCAATGTTCTTGCACGAAAGCTTCAGTATTTGTCGCACCAGTTACAATTCTAATGTCAAAGTCAAAATATTACGCAGTCGTTCACATTTGTGCAAATTTTGTGGTAATTATGAGTAACCTTTTACAATGTATTCCACATTACAATATTAAATGTTGAAAAGTTTGGATTAAGTTGCTAAACAAATCAAACGTCTCCCCTGAAAAGTTCACGTTTGTCATTTGCAATGTTATCAGATGCATGTATCGCTATGATTAAATTACAAACTAAATTCAAGTTTTTGAATGACGTAAGTATAACAAACATCACATATCTAGAATCAGAAAAAATACGACTATAATTCTGCATAAAAATATGCAAGGTATTCTAGTTAAAAAATACAACTTTAACGCATGGCGCTGTCCTTAAACATCTCATATACAAAAATTAGACAGCATGAAAAACTTCACGATAAAACTTTTTTCGTAATGGTTATAAAAAAAGTTAGAGGAGGTCGACTTATAACGGTACTTATAGTATGAGAGAATTCACTCAAGAGAATGTTATGAGATCTAAAGTATTGAACTGTTGTCAAGGACAAAATTGGAAGAGGCTTTCACCTCCTCTTCCAATCTAATTAATTTTTTATATACAAAATGCAAAATAGACTCAATGAAAGCTCGAGTGATTTCTCTGCGTACTTCAGTAGGTCATCCTGCATCTCATAATCACTTGATACTTCAGTCTAATTGCAATTTTTTTATTATAGAAATCAAGAGCTGTAATAATTGAACTATTTGATAAAATCGCGTTGAGGAATAACTTGCAGAATCCAGTCTCACTAAAAAGTGACGGGTAAGATACATTGTGTTTGAGGAGAGCTCAACAAACGATCAAACTACAAATAAACTTTTAAATTGTAGTCAGTGCTCATCTACAATTTATATAATCTTTTGAAGGAAATTCAATGTGTTCAATGCAACAGTAGGTGAATTTCTTGGCGTGGCGTGCCGAGGTTCTTTGAAATATTGTGTAAAGCAGCTCTTTCAACTACCTTTGATTCTGCAGCATCATTCCTCAAAATATCTAACAATAATAATACATTGAGCCTTTTTAAGTTTTTCAAAAAGAGATACTATATAGAATACGAATTTTTTGAAACAAATTCATATCTACAGCAAAACATATAAAAATATTCTCACTCCTTTCATTAATACTATAAAACATTACAAAACTTTTTCTACGGGTTGGAAAGGAGACTTGACTACCTTATATCAAAATTGACTTAAACTTCACAACTCGATAACGAGCCGTTCATGATGTAAACTGCTCCGTTAGTAACTTTATATAAATTATTCCGATTTTTCGTGGGTATATATTGTCAGAAGATTTCAATATATGTAACATGAGAACAGAAAAGCTTTTTTACAGGACACTTATCAATTGCTTGACCATATTTTCGATACATGCGCATGGAATTAAACCAATCATACACTCTACTGGTTCACCTGCGATGAGGGATGATGAGCTTATGGTTAGATACATGTTGAGTTGTGGAGGGGAAGCAAAGCCCTTCACATTTATTATATGACGTTACGTAACGCGTGTGATACACCACAACCCTCACTAAAACACCCACATCTCAATAAAAATACATGTAATGTTTACATTTTATGCACCGAACGGAGGGAAAATCAGCTCATTTGTTCCATTGCCTAATATAAGAGGGAAGGGGAGGAACCTGCGTTACGTAACACACGGAATATTTGACTTTAGGGTACATTTATGCTCGATATGGTATTCTACCATGGGGGGTAAAGTACTATGTGTATCGAAAATATGATCGTAACACCCCCCTCACCGTACGTCATCCATTTTTTGAAGAACAAATAAACAGTACTAACTGGCTTTTGCCTAGTAATTAGGCGTAACAGTTCGCAACAGTTACAAGCATATCACTTTTGTATTGATCCACATAGAGGAGGACATCCAATTCCACTGAAATGCTACAATTATTTTCGTTGATTCTCCATCAATACTTGTATCACTCTGTATGTTAGTTTTTGATTTTTTAAAACGTATGAAACGAAGATATTGATTAGGTAGAAAGTAAAAGAAATCTAGGGTTAGGGATAATTCGATATTTCCCTGTCTTTGAAAAATAAAAATATATAAATTTACGTTTTTTCCTTGAAAATAGCCAACCATATACTGTTTGTCAGCGTCCAAAAAAAGGTTCTGGAAGATACTATGGTACAATCTATGAATTAGTAACAGAACACAAAAATGAGTTTAGAAGTTCACTTTGACAAGAGTTAGAGTGTTTGGATCTGCTACTCCATCATCATGCTAGGATCTTCAATCCCTTTTTGGCCTCTCTAAAGCCTGCTTTGGGTATTGATTAACATACCCCTTTAGGAGATACCCAATTGAAATAGACATTAGAGAAGCCAAAAAGAGTTGAATGTCTTAGCACCATCTATAAGTGAGTAGCCGAACTCAAAACCCTAAATTCATCTTTGCGTTTTGCTTTAGCTATTCGTTTGTATCACTCAGCAGGAAGCAGTACTCGTATGTAAGCTCTGAGGGAACCGACCCTGACCCTGCTAATTTTAATATATATAAATGACCTGCCCTGAAGTATTGATGAGAGATGTTATTTCCTATTTGCAGATGACACCACCATGCTGTCTAGACTATGACTAAACCGGGTGTGGATAGTCTGGAACAAGCCAAAAAATGGTTCTCAGCCGACAAGTTTCAGACTCACAAACAAGTCACATCGTATCACAGTTTCCTCTGACAAGAGGGTTGTGAAGTCTGAACCAGTAAAACCTCTAGGAATAGTACTCGATGCCAGACTAAATTGGATTGCCTACATTGATTATTCACATTTTAGACTGTTTTCACAATGATTTGTTTTTAGGCAGCTTAATACATGCCTCGATTACAATACTTTGGGGGTAGTACACTTCAGCATGCTCCATATTTCCATTAGCTATGGCACAATGCTCTGGGGTCTTGGAAATTTTCATTTTACAAAAAACGGCTTTGAGGATAATTGCATATTCCAATTATGGATCAACGTGAAGAAATCATTTAAAAAACTACAAATACTACCACTTCCATCAATTTACATTTCTGAAGTTATATGTTATGTACACAGAAATCCAAACAAATATCAAACCTCTGTAGGAATACACACCCATGCACTACGTATGACGTCAATTGCCTAAGGAGTCCATACTATGAATGTGACTGAAAAAAATAGACACAACGCTAAATCATATATTTATTCGTCAATGCAAATGAAGTAATTTTGAAAGTATGCCTAATTGCTTCTTCTCAAAGTTTGTTACAAAATATTGCTTAAACATTGTTTGATGAGTACGTTGATGCTATCATGTCACTCGGATAGACAGTTTGCAATGGTATGGTATACTGTCTTATATAGGGTGGCCAATATATAACTGACTGATTACATGGACATGTGTCCCATTCCCATCATGGAGCGCTATACGATCCCACAACGCGCCCGTATTGTTAAAACATTTTACTTAAATAATGAGTCGATTGTTTCAACGATTCCTAAGCTACGACAAGATTTCGGTCGAAATAATGTGCCCAGTAGTGTCAACACCATTCGTCAGTTGGTGCGGAAATTTGAACAAACAGGTGAAGTTAAAGACTTGCCATTAGGGAACTCTCGTGTCATCCTTCAACGACCAGTACATCCTCGTCGACTCACAGTTTTTTTGCGGTCTTTGGTATGGAGGTGTTATTGGACCTTACTTCTTTGAAGACGCTGCAGGTAATTCTCCTACTGTCACTGGCAAACGCTATCATGATATGGTGCAAAACTTTCTGGCTCCTCAAATCCAACAATTTAACCTGCAAAATATGTGGTTCCAGCAGGACGGATCAACTTGTCACACAGCTAGGGAATATTTTCCAAACAATATTTCCGGGACGTTTAACTTCTCGAATTGGCCACCAAGGTCACCGGATTTAACGACACCTGACTTGGGGATTTTTTAAAAATAGGGTTTATGCCAACAAACCGAATACTGTAGAGCAGGACGCCGGAATACACTATATGATTGGCTATTTTAGCTAGAATACGTAAATCAATGATAAAATATGGAACAATAGCATTTTGACGTTTATTGGAGTCGCGGTACCGGATATGTTGCCACCATTAATTTCACTGCAAATTTGTGACTTTTTACTCATACACCCCTTTTTTGGTAGCAGTTCAAAATGGACATACTCCTCACACTACACCCCGCGTTCGTTACAATGAAAAATTCACCGTTTTAACCTGCAATCCTGCCTTGTAGAAAGCAGTACTGACCACTGGAACATTCTGGGACGTTAGACCCGAGCCCTTGGACTATATTCTTTCGTCTTTTGTATCTGTTAAAAAGAAAAATATCTCACTCCCAAAGTCATCCAAAGCATGAGTCTCACTAAAAAAAATATCTCGTTACAACACAACATATTATTGTTCGATTCAATAATTTCAATTTCATTGAGGTTTGGGAGGAAGAAATTTTCCTTTTTGCTATCATTATGCTTGTTATAACGAGATTGAACTAGATGATGGTCTAAATTAGTTTCTAATAACTCTACGTGGTGTCTACGGTCTACTACGGTGGTCCAACTAAAAGAGTAGGTATGTTAGATTGCAGTCACCTTATGAGAAAGATAAAATAAATGTTAGGGGCATGCCCTTCAAGTCGCTCCTTATATCTACTGCAGATTGCGAGCTATACATAGTAGTAATCTAGAGATAGTTACGACGACTACTATAAAAGTAAAAGCATAAGATGACTGCCTTGTACGGTATAGGTATGAAAAGGTAAACATGCAAAACGAGTTGATCATTTACTTCTTGTCGAAAAATGGAAGTATAAAGAACCATATGTCACCCTGAGCTATGTTGTCATATGATATCAGATACTACTTATGTTTTAGAAAGTACGCGATGCAGTACTGGTTTTAAAATCTCCTTTATATTAGTTTTTATACAATTAAGATCACTAAAACCATTAAATTAGCACAATAAGAGATAGAATAGATGTTACTAATTAGAGGAATGTAAACAAGTAATCCTATCATTCTATAGGAGAGGTACTATAAGCCTTTTGAATAGTATACAGGGTGATTAACAAGTCGTGACCAAAAATGAAACATCATACACAGGACCGCATTTTAAGGCGGGTAACATTTTTCCTCGAGGGATGCATTGAAGTGAAATTTAAAAATAAAAAACAATTTAAATCTTCAAAATCGTCAACTGGAATGAACTAAAATTTGGCATGTGGATTTACCTAAGTATTGTCCACATTCAAAAGTCTTTACTTATAATTAACGTGCACCAGTGGTGGAGATACAGGGGATTGGTGGCATTATTTTTCCAAATAAAACTAGTACGCCACTGTTTTTTAGAAACGCGCAATTTTTCGAATTTTAACTTCAATTTTCTACAAATTACTCTTGTGTTTTTTCCTAGAGTGCACTATACTCGTAAAAATAAAAATAAAACAAATTAGATCATTCATGAAGAGTCGAGATACAATTAGCTTCAAAATAAAATAGGAGGCCTTGCTATCAACTTGACGTTTCTTGAGAGATAGTCTGTCAAAGTTATGTGTTATACGGTTATCATTGCTACTACCATTTTTTTGTAATCGTCAAGTCAAAAGTTTCTTTTTGATATTTTTGAGCGTTGTGAAATGGAACTTAGCAATGATGAGTACGCAGGTATTATTGATGTGTACGGGTTCTGTAATGGAAATGCTTCAGCGGCTTCTCGGGAGTATCAACGTAGATTTTCTAGCAGACGCCAACCTACCTCAAAGGTTTTTACGCGTTCATTTCTAAGACTTTGGCAATATGGAACTGCCAAACTGCCTGGAGTTACAGGCCATGGTGTCCGGCATACTGTTTCAGAGGAAGTGGAAGTGATTAATTTGGCGTTGGATGATCCTAGTACAAGTACTAGGCTGATTGCAGGCACAGTTACCATGTACCCAAAGTCTTGTGTGGAGAATTTTAAATCGGGAAGTTTTACATCCTCACCATCGGCGAAATGTGCAATGTCTGCAACCCGGCGACGAAGTGCAACGGCGAAACCTTTGTGAGTGGTTACTGCAAATGCATAATCAAAATGCAGATTTTAGTGATTTGGTTTTGTGGTCAAATGAATCGCTTTTTCCGAGGAGTGGAACCTTTAATTCACATAATGAAGATATTTGGTCGTTAGAAAATTCCCGTTCTGTAAGAGTCCACTCGTTTCAACATAGATTTTCTAGAAATGCCTGGTGCGGCATTTTCAATGGCCAACTGTTTATGCATGTATTGCCACAACGTTTAAATGCAAACCCATACTTAGCTTTTTTAGAGAAATACATACACAGAAAATGAGTTAGATGATGTTCCGTTAGCAAAGAGAGTACGAATGTGGTATCAGCACGACGGCGCCCCAACACGTTTGTCGTGATATAACCGCATGGTTAAATAATCAATTTAGACAACGATGGATTGGCCGAAAGGGGGCCGTACATTGGACCTGCGAGGTCTCCTGATGTGAACCCCTGGATTTCTTTTTGTAGGGCGCTTCTAAACAACTAGTCGTGTATGCTGAACAAATTAATACTGTTGATCAATTACGAGAAAGAATAGATAATGAGTTTAATCAAATTCAAGCCGCAACAAATTTTGCGGAAATACGTTTTTCTTTATTAAAAAGATGCCGCACTTGTATCCATCAGAATGATAATCTTTTTGAACATTTATCGAAATAAAGCTTTGATTATCTAATTTCTCATTTTTTATTTTTACGTAAACAATGCACTCCAGGAAAAAACACAAGAATAATTATTTGTAGCAAATTGAAGGCAAAATTCGAAAAATTGCGCGTTTCGAAAAAAAAAAAATACAGTTTCGTACTATTTTTATTTGGAAGAATAATGCCACTAATCCCCTGTATCTCTGCCTCTGGTGTACGGAAATTTCGAGTAAATACTTTCTAATGTGGACAATACTTAGGTAAATCCACATACCAAATTGTTTTTATTTTTAAACTTCAACACCCCGTATCTTTTCAATGAAGCCCTCGAGGAAAAAATTGTTACATAGAAGACCCCCCTTAAAATGCGGTCGTGTGTATGATGTTTTACTTTTGGTCACGACTTGCAAATCACCCTGTAGATATATGAAAGAGTAAACATGCATGTCGAAAAATGGAAGTATGAAGAACCATATGTCACCCTGAGCTATGTTGTCATATGATATCAGACACTACATGCTTATGTTTTAGAAAGTACGGGACGCAGTACTAGTTTGAAAATATGCTTTCTATTAGGTTTAATACAATTAAGGTTCCAGGTTAAAAAAAAACATTAAATTAGCACAATAAGTGATATAATAATGATATCTATAGTAGTTACTATATAGGGCAACGTAAACAAGTAATCCTATTATCCTATAGGTGAGGCAGTGTAAATTTTTTAATTATATGATCATTTATAGTAACTCATATTCAATTTGAACTAAAAACTATAGAACAAGTGTCCTTAGCTTGATGCAGATTTAAAACCATACAAGGTTCCATTTGCCTGACCTGTATGGGTTGTTCTAAAATCTGTAGTTGTGAATTATTACGTAAGATAGATCTAAAAAAAAGTGTTAATTCACTTAACGGACCCTTTATTTACTACTTGCCATCATGAGATTTTTCACTTACAACCATAAAATCAGTACATAATTTAATAAACATTTTGCAAATGTGTAACAGCATAAACTAGAATATTTCTTATCTAAGTGCTTAATTAGGGTTTAACAATGTAAATGGATAAAAAGGTACATAATTGACATTGGTTTAAAAAGGTTAAAAAATTCTATTCATTGGATTCATAGTGTGCAACTTTAATATAATTGTGACGTGCTACAACAAGTCTAATATGCATAAAAATACAACTTGCTTGTGACATACGAAAGATTGTCTGGGGTAAATTACATCTTTATACAGGCAGGGGGGCCTAGTTTGTTTTTGAGAAAACGCAGTAGACAAACGAACATTTTTTGTGAATCTTTATATATTATTTATTATGCGCTCAAAGAGGTTGGAGGCAAATGGAAACATTACAATGATTTGAAAAGCAGGGTTTATAGCACTTTATATATTATTGGCATATAGTCAAAACTGAAATTTTGTAAGTTTGTTACATTTTAGTATTTTGTCTACTGTGTCTATTTTCTCAATTACAAAATTATATGTAAGGCATGGAGAGTGGTAAAGAATATCTTTTGTAGTAATCAGGGAACGTAGCTAGCCTGCATTATGCATTTTTTCGCAAGTACAGAAGTTTGAATGAATCAGATAGCCGATATTTCATAGGACCATGTTGAAGTGAGAAAATCACAACGTCTGAAATAGCTAAATTGTTTAACAAATTTTCATGTGCTGCACAGGGTGTACATTTGGAAACTTCCCACCACGGATTTATCGAAAACCATTGATTAAAAGAAAAAATGCCGAGACACGTCAAAAGCTTTGTCAAGGGGGGCAACTTTTTAACCAAAAACTACTTCACCCCCTTTCACCTTCTGCCCCCCAGGGTCATCCCTTTAAAAATTTTTAATGATCAATGGTATCGAGTAATAGCTTGTTTGAAAGGTCCCTGTTTTGACGTTTTATTTTTTAAAATCGGTCGATTCGATTTCAAGAAAATTAGAAAAACATTATTTATCTTATTGTGTTCAGACAGAAAACAAAAACACACGAAAATATCATTTTGTTTCAATATGTGTTCAAAATCTTGCCCGCTATTGGCCAAACAATGAAATAGGCGATGTTAAAATTCCTGACGGACATTTTCAAAAACATGTTGTGGGATATCATGGCAGCTTTCGATGATGCGTTTGACGAAATTCATCCAAACTTTCAGGTTAGGGAGTAAACACAACATATTTCAAATGGCTCCATAGAAAGCAGTCTAATGGCGTTAAATCAGGTGATCTACCAGGCCATTCTGTAGGCCCTCTTCGCCATATCCATTTATCTGGATACTCGTTTAGCCATCGAAGAATAGGAAGAACATAGTAAAGAGGAGCGCCGCTTTGCTGTAAATATATTTCAGCCTCATCAAGTATAGGGTTTCTATCCTCTTCGGTTTGGTTTTCAAATTTTCATTGATAAACAATCGCCCAATCACCTTTTCCTAAAATGCCTGCCCATACATTAATTTTTTGGTGGTATTGGGTATGCCCTTCTACAAAAGCATGAGGATTTTCATTGCTCCAACACCTGCAGTTATGCTTATTAACAAATCCATTTAGATAAAATGTGCTTTCATCACTGAAGCAGATATTATTTACATGAATGATATTATCATTAATAGCTGCAGTCCTTTGTTCATAGAACTCAACACGTCTATCGAAATTATTTTCGGTTAACTCTTGTAATATTTTCATCTTGAAGGGGCGAAATCTATGTTCAGTACAGAGTATACAGAGCCAAATTAAATACCAGTCGCGCAACAATTTTGCGTAATGAAGTATTAGGATTTATTCCAAAATGACGCAAAACTTCAGCTTGAGCGGCTTCATCCAAAACTTTCCAATGATCACGTTTTTTATTTACAACAGATCCCGTTTGAGTAAATTCAGTAATAAGGTCCAAAACATACCTCTGCGAAGTTATCTTCTCCGGATGTCTGGCGCTAAAAGTGAATATTGATTTTGGGCACCATCAATAAGAATCAGTTCCACTCTTTAGGATAGTGTGTAAACCATTTTGGAAGTAAGATCTGAATCAATAAATTAATTTTCACTATACCAAGATTGTCACAAAGGTAACTGACAGCAAATTAAATTCTTTCTTTCCCTTAGCAACAAGTAACTGAACAGGTATAAGAATAATAGAGTTCGCCCAGGATATCTGTGTTGATGAAAAGAATGCGAAAAAAAATTCGGGTTGTTATTTGGTTGATGCCACGTCTAATCTTCCGAATTGCTGTTTATGGTGGTAGTTTCTGTTATAAATTATAAGCGAATTTTCGATTTGGCAAACCCTAACGGGCAACATTTTGAACACTTATTGAAATAAAAAGTGATATTTTGTGTTTTTGTTTTCTTATTTACTTGAAAACGAATCGACCGATTTTAGAAAGTCAAACGTCAAAACAAGGACATCGACCTTTCAAACAAGCTATTACTCGATACCTCTTGTCATTTAAAATTTTTAAAGGTATGACCCTGGGGGCCAGAGGGTGAAGTAGTTTTTGGTTAAAAAGTTGTCCCCCTTGACAAATCTTTTGACGTGCCTCAGCGTTTTTTCCTTTAAATCAGTGGTTTTCGATAAATCTGTGGTGGGAAGTTTTCAAACGAATACCCTGCATATAAATCTTGAGAGATACTCATTGCCACTCTGTGGGGATAGAGATAAACACCACCTTTATACATTTAGATCTATTAAAAACAGTTTACATAACGTACTCGAAACTTTATCAGCTACATTAAGATACTATTAGTGTCCATAGGAAAACTTCACATACGATGCTCCAATTGTGAGGTACTAAAATATATGATTTTTTAGTTATTATAGGCCTTGTGGTTGGTGTGGTAAGCCACAGGCCAAATTGGGTTTCGGCACTGTTTCCGGGAGCTCCTGATGTCCACGCCACGACTTTCATCATAGGTAATCCATTCTTCTTCTTCAGTAATAATGCAGGTAAAAAATGAGCCCAAAGAGTCTAATTCTAGTTGCGATTCGTTATATCAAAACTCCGATTTCCGTCACTTCTTGGTGAAATCATCGAACTTCTTCACTTTAAGAATTTTTTCTCTACAGTCAGCGACGGTAATGTGATGGGCGTTGAAGTGCAGCGTAATTTTAACAATTGTGCTCGAGTTGTCAAAGGCGATAGCAGGGAGCCTCTTAGGATGCATCTTAAAAATTAAATTCTTCAGAATGGAAACGACCAAACCACTTCCTATATGCGTCAACTGTTTTGCTTCTAGCTTCAGCCCCTTTTGAACCTTTGCGAAAAACACAACAAGAAGTCTCGGAAGTATGATTTTTGATCTTCCATGTAGGATAAATTTTGTATATAAGAAAAAAATCATAACGAAACCAACAGCTGTGCGCGTTGTTGAGCACACAATATGTTATTGGGCTTCTGCCAGCAATTCTGATCATGTTTTCTTCCTTTCGGTTCTTATCGTTTCTTTTCATCTTCCTCTTCTAGCAGAAACTTTCTTAACGCTTAACGTTATCTGGTTTCTGTAGATTGTAGGTGCTCTTGTTAAAACTCTTCCATCATATGATCGACTTCTCCTGTGTTTTACTCTTCCATTACTTTCATTGCAAATATCTAGTTCCCACGTTTCGAGACGTTTCAGAACCAATGATGACCTGACTTGATTGTTTGTATCTTCCCGATTACGCGCTTAGGAGGAGCAACAGGAGCACCCAACACCTCCCCCTATAAGTAGCTTTCGCTGAAATCAATGTCCGATTGGCTACATCTCGAGGAACGGGTGTAGAAAGAAGCCCCTCCTCCAAAAGCGGAGTCCGATGTACCTGCGTCTGTGATGAAGTCAGCGACGATGAGTGAGTCGTGCTTACCTTGAGTCAGAGCTGAGGTGGGAGTGAGACCGCCGCTTTTGTTTGCCACGCCTACTGTCAAACCGCCGCCCGATGCTCCTTCTTTTTCTAGTAACCGGTCTTTCAACAGTTTGATCTTCTCTTCTTTCTGTAAGAGTAAAACTCGTGTTATACACTGTTATATAGAACATAATAATAATTTATTCACATCAATTGTGGGCAAATTGATATGCCACAAAAGGAAAATATCCTTGTATGGATATCATGCTAACACAACACACATATAACATAGCAGTTACAATAAACTGATAGGACTAAAAAAAAAATCTATATAATATAAATTTTGGTTCGTAGATTATCAATGAAGAAAAGATATTTATACGTTAGTTTCTTACAAATTACATCATGTATATTATATATACTTATAGAAATGTATTTTTAGTAATGATATTAGGCTTTTTCTTATACACTGCCACGCAAAATTAACCGGACAAACAAAAATTTTTTCAAATTAAATTTGTAATAACTTTTTAACCGTTGCATCAAATTCGTTAATCTTTTCAACAAGTTGTAAGTAATTTCACTGACATCATACCGGCTGCCGATCTTGCAAGAAATAAAAAAAATGTTTGCTTTTATACAAGGCGCAACTAAAAAGTGCATTTTGCCATAAACTTCTGAAAACCCTGTGGAAACATTGGATTACAAAATAATCTTTCTTCGTATGAGATTTTTAAGACTCAACTTTTCTCAACAGTTATTTTTTTGATTCATGTCCATATCTCAATTATTGTAGAATATAACGTATGCTGTTTTGAAGAAAAACATGCGAATCATAGCCATAAACAAGAAATTGTTTCAAGCAGGCATTGCCGGGTAAGAAATTGTTTCAGATAGGCTGAGTCTGTCAGCATTTTATGGCATATCAACAAGATTCTTGTCAAGCAATACTCAACACACACACACAGACAAGATGATGGCCGGCCTATTCGGTATTTCGCAGAAAGGCTTGCCGTTCCACGCAGTACGGTATTGGATGCGATACATAGATTTAGAGAAACTGGTTCTTACTCAAGAGGACCTGGGCAGGGTCTCATGATTTTTGCCTATGAAGTGTGTACAAGCATTTTTGAAACCCTCGCCTCTGCCACTGGTCGTCACTGCCGAGAAGCAACGCCGCCGCCAAAGGGCTTCTCCGCGGACCGTCAAGCAAGATACACACATATTTGTAACCATATCATTACAATGTAGATACAGTCCACTTACGAAAAAATAAACGGTACCATACAAAAATAGGGTCTTCTTACAAGACTAGTTGGAAAATACCCCAACAAAGTGTTCTAGTTGATTTGTATCGTCCAAATAAAGAAGCCTTAAAAAAATCGGTTAACGGGCAAATATTTTTAGAAGGTTAGAATGCATACACCTCTTAAACATGCTGCTGGCAATATTACCCTCAAAATGATTATTACTCACAAAATGAAATTTTGAAAATCCAGACAATCAATTTTAAGAATGACCAGCATACCTGTGCGATAAGTCGTTGTAAATCTTCATTCTCTTTCAGCAATTTTTGATACTTTTCTTCATCTTCCTTTGGCACTCCCATATCGGGGTTATATTTGCTTTCGGCCTTATCTCTTGGATGCCTTATCACCTCAATTACCTGCAAAATGTAATATAGTAGTGCAAATGGCATAGCAACTGGTTTCAATGATGATAAATGTCATAAATTGTCAAATAATTCGCACTTCATATGAATTTATGGGAAGCTCAAAATGACTGTTGTCTTGAGTCAAGATTCCGTGCTAGTAAAACGTTCAATTGCATATATCTAATAGTTGTTTGAAATTTGTAGACAACGTAGGTGTTTCTACAGTTCGGACTTTCGTTGTCTATACAATTTTTGACATCACGTCCAGGAGGTCAGGCTTCCGAAACATGTGAGAAAAATAATATTTGCTGCCTTCTTCGGTTGGAAATACAGAGTCTTCTCAACACATAAGCGAGAAATGAGAATAATTTGCTTGCCTTTCAAAAATGTATATAAAAAATCTGTTTCAGCTATTAAAAATAAAGTTCAACATACCTTAGGCACGAATATGAGAGCCATACTAAGAAAACAACAGAAGACGATAGCCAGCGCTACGAATGCAAAACCGGCATCTTGTTGACTAGCTATCACCATGGTAACAGGAGCAGTAATTAAACACAGGATAACTACGTTGTATATGCTCATTGCCACGTAGCGGGAATCGTTGATTTGTTTCACTTTCAGCGATCGAGTTTCGTACGCCAGGAACAATCCAAATATCTGGAAATAAAGCCAAATTGCAAAAGAAATAAAATATAGCAGACATACTACAGGGGATATAAAAACTCGATAGTAAAAAAAAAACAACGAAGCGTAGATAATTTATATTTTCACTAAAGTAGACCCATGAAAATTTTATTATTTTGGAATAACATCATTGGGATGTGTGTTTCCTTTGCTGTAAGATTCATATTTTGGGGATACGATCTCTTAACACGACCACATCAATTCAACCAAAAGAGTACTGTAGACAAAATGGAACTATTGTACCACCACTGTGCTAGTTTCGAAGTACCATTGACATTTATACTTGTACTAAACGAAACCACAGTGGTGATCAGAACGTTATACAACGAACCGAAATCTAAGCACATATTTGGTTTGATTTTTACAGACGTTGGAGTCCTATGAAGTTTTTATTTATTCTGGGCGAATCCTTTTTCCAATAATGGTGGGAGTATGGATTGATTGTAAGATCGAATGCATAGCACATTCACCATTTATTCGCATTACGTTTTTGGAATGCAAATATAAACAAGATGAAAGGACATGTCACTGTTTTTTTCCACCTGTTTAATGACAAAACTCTTTTTATTTGGTTATCGGATTTCATCACAATCAATTCAGGCTGTTTGTTGACTCTCTCTATCTCCGGACTAAGCTGCAATTTTATTGAAACTCTAAGCATTTTTAACGACTATCGAATAAACACCAGCTTTCAGTTGCTATCAAAACTGTGAAAATCAGCCGCTCAAAACTTTCAAAAAGAAAGTACCATTGAATCAATTTTTCGTCAATTCTATAATCAGGTTGTAACGTATTTCTGATCTAATAGTATCATAAACGCAAGGAGATACGATTATATTAGTCTCAGCTCAGTCAAAACGTCATTATGTGCGATATTTTGGCTTAAATCCATTACGCTTACAATCATGAAATTTTCATTTATTCGGGGCGAATCGTTTTTCCAACAATGGTGGAAGTATTGGGTATATATCACATCCACCATTTATTCGCATTAAGTTTTTTGAATGCAAACATCAACAACATGAAAGGAGATGTAACTGTTTTTTTGCTCTGTTTAATGTCAAAATCGTTATTGCTGGTTACTGGATTTCATTGCAACGAATTTGGGCTGTTTGTTGACTCTCTCTATCCCCGTATTTAGCTCCATAACTCGTGTAGCAGGGGGATAGCAACGTTTTCCTGGAGTGGCGCAGTCGTATTGTATGCTTCCTAAATTAGAACCAAACAGCGAATGCGAAGTTAGATGATTATTTATCAGAAGAAACTCAAATTCATCGCGAGGTTTGTCGGAGATGTACGTTCTCACCACTTTTAATTTCTATAGAGGAGCTAGCTGTCGGTGAGCGCTGGATCAGATAGATAGATAGTAGACGGCTAGACGTTTAATAACTATGAGCAACAAAAAATCTAACCAATTCCAGCTTTTAAGTACTTGATCTCACTAATTTTGGATCGAGAGATACGAATATAGCCATGAAATTTTTATATCAGGTCTGGCTTTTAAGACACAGATGAGTTTTCTGTATACATACTAATTTGACAATTTCGTATTGTTAAATGTAAAATCGTTATTAAGATTCAATATATCGGAACACCTACAATTTCATTGAAACTCTAAGAATTTTGACTCTGCTAGCTTCCATTTGCTAAAAAAATGTGAATATCAGCGGTTCCAAACTGGATACTTGGATAAAGTGTCCTTGAATCATTTCGTCGTTAATTTTATACTCAAGTAAGATGTATGTCACGTTTCTTATCTAACAGTATCATCAACGCAAGGAGATACGATCATATTAGTCTCAGTTTAGTCAAATTATTTAGGTTGATGATATTAAAATCGGGTCTCACTCAGTGTGTCAACATTTTGATGTGTACATGCCTGTTAGGTGCGATATTTTGGCTTAAATCCATGAAGTTTTCATGATTTATTTTAGGCGAATCGTTTTCCCAATAATGGTGGAAGGGCATACTATTGAATGTTTGACACATTCACCATTTATTCGCATTAAGTCGGCATGCCAGTACAAATACGATGAAAGGAAATGTCACTATTTTCGGCTACTGTTTAATGTCAAGATCGTTTTTTCGAGTTATTGGATTCGATCATAACGAATTCAGGCTGCTTGATGACTCTCTCTATCCCCGTATTTACTTCCATAACTCATATAGCAGGAGAGTTGTAACTTTTTCCTGAATTGCCGCATTCGTATTTACATGCAACCTAAATTACAACCAAAAAGCAAATGCGAAGGTAGAGAATAATTTATCAGAAGAATATCTAATTCGTCGCGGGGTTCGTTGGAGATGTACTTTGTAATTGAATTTTATAGAGGAGGATAGTAAACGGCAAGACAATTAATAACACCTGGAAACAAAAAAGATTTATCTGTATCCTGGTTCTAAGAAATCAAGTCTCACTAATTTGGAATCGAGAAATATTAATATGGCTATGACATTTTTTACTAGCTCTTGTTTTTAAGATACAGAGCAGTTCACTGTATAGGTCGATTTTAAGATAAATAAAAAATGAAAATTAAAAAAATAATCCAATGGAAAAAATAGTTTTCGATAAAGTCGTTCCTTTTGGGCTGCTCTTTGTACGTCGATTCCAGGCCATCTTTTATCTAGCAGTAGTCGGCGAGCATTGACTTGACCCAATGACCGTGATATCTGCGTTCAATTTTAGATGTATCTTGGAGGAATCTTTTACCATGCTCATCACTTACAGCTGCCACAGTTTTCTGGGCAAAAATATTGCATCGAAGTTCAAGGTACCGTTGTAGGAGTTCTTTCACCAACTGTTGGTAGTTGTCATCTTTCGGTTGCCTAGACATGTTCGTACCACCCGTTTTAAGGCTTTTCAGGCTGCTTTTACTTTCCTCTCTAAAATTGTATCAGGGTAACATTTTGCGTGACAATCTGGGTCATGCGAAGTCCCAGACCTAACGATTGCTTCTTTTTCTTGTTCTGCTCTGGCATCATGCTTCACAATTTCATAATTTTAAGACTGTTTTATAAAAATAAGGGCAATTACTTACTTCAAAGCAAATTTATTTGGAATTTCCAGTTCTTTGTATCTTTTATTTTTGCCACGGTGAATACTATTTTCGAACCACAGTGCGTGTAGAGATTTTAATTACCAAATGGGTTGTGTATCTTGTAAAAAAGGGCTAGTATGAACTTTTTATGGTAATTTTCGTATTTAGCCAGACAAAATTCGGAAATAGATATTTTTGAACCCCAAACATTTTCAGTGTTGAGCGGTGTAATTTAAGATATGCCGACAATTTGGTCGTTCTGTCAAGGAAATTAGAAAAACTCTCGTCCTGAAGCTCACTACTAATCGAAGTACAAGACGGTTTTAAAATAAATCAGTAATTGAGTGGGTTTCTAACTATAAACATTTAGGAGAAAACATAGGTCAAACGAAACAAATGAGAAGATGGGAGAGATGCTTGTTTCCGTATTCATTAGGATGAGATAAGTTCTTGTGATCGTAATATAAACATAAATTTGAGAATCCGAAAGCTTCGATGTTATGTATTCTCAGCTTTATGGTACTGTCTGTTAAACATAAAACATCTAAAAGCATTTAAGAGTACTACAATGGCTAGACGAAAACTGTGAACTGATTAATGAAATAAAAATAAAAAAGTTAGAATATTTAGGACACACTATGAAATAAGAAAACTACCAAGTTCTAAGAAACATAATGCAGGGCAAAATTACAGGCAAAAGAAGCGTAGGAAGAAGACAAATTTCATGGCTCGGCAACCTACACGAATGTTGTAGTTTAATTGGACTTTCTAGACGCGCAGCTAACAAAGCTGTGATTACCACGATGCCTTCCTACCTCCAAAAGGGGTGGCACACGAAGAAGAGATGCTTCAGAATTCTGTAAAGATCAGAAAGAACTGTTTCTTTCTGGGCTGTTTTGTCGATATCAAAGCTAAGACTATTTACCACTGATGATAAATCAATGAAATTACTTACTAGTACAAGTCCCTTATATGCGTAGACTACACTCAACCACACGTTGTTGTTGTGACTCTGACAATGCTCCAACTCAGGCCGGATCATTGCGTCATCTTGTTGATCTGCAGAAGCTTCTAGAGGAAACAGTTCGATCCGGCGTTGCAGAGGGTCTTGGATCTGCCAAGCTACCATGATCACCAGATCCACAGCCAGTAGACCGCTCACCATCGAATACAGCTTCCAAGGTTGGACCTTTTTCTACAGCAAAGAGATTTGGGTAATAATGATGGTTTGTTGAATAAAGTCTTGGGTACCTACGAGCTTAAATAATGATGCTGTCGAACAATGAACAAAGTCGCGAAACTTGTCTCCATCAGAGATATGGAGATGATAGACATAGGTAGCTCACAAGTTCCACCTGCAGCGAGAGTCGTCCACTGTAAAACTCTGCGAGTGGAGAGCTTAAGTAGGAACTGTTGCCTTTTTCAGTTCGTGTTAACAATGAGGATACTTATAATGTTCGTATACTATCTACTTCTATGCTGTTATATTAAATTTTTGAGTATTTCTTGTTGAAATAAGCAATATTGTCAATAGACGACAGCAAAAGCTTTGTGCGTGGTGTGTACAGCAAGGAGATAATAATGAATTTCTCGAATAGCTTGTTAAGTCATTCACTGTTTAATCCTTGGATAAAGACCCATGGGTAAAAAATTCTCGAGACTCTTGTCCATTTTCTATGTCCTCCTAGATCTTTGAACTTGATATGAAAATAGTGAGAAATTGAAGAATTATGAACTTAATAGGAAACATCGTAGAGTCGCTTTCTTGTAAGAAACAGTACCTATTATATTTTCTTGAATTTCATCAGGTTGGAAAGTACTTGTCTTTCGCATTGAGACGAGGAGCCGTAGGTCTTGTGTGGTGCCAATGTGCATTTTCATTCGCTATTTTTATGAGCATTCAGTGCTACTAAATATTCACTGTCAGCTAAGCGTGGTCTTTGAAGCTCAGAATGTGCTTTCAAACTATTCGACATACCTTATTGGAAAACTTTGTCTTTTTGGTAATGGTAATCTATAAAGAAACAACGGTATATAAAATCTGCATGTCTTGATATATACTGTACTTTTGTTAGAAAAAATGTAACCTCTGTGCTAAAAACTTGCAAATAGATACAAAATATGAGATAAAGCACAATATTCTTGTTAAAGCACTAATGACCAATGAAGCCATCTCCACCCATCGCTATTCAACTATTTGGGCCTCGTGCGAACTTTATGCTTTTCTCACCGACACATAATCAAAAATCCACCCTCCCGGCTCTTCAATTATATGGGCCATACTTTGTGCTTTTGTTCTCGGCGCCCCTGAGTGGGACAATTTAACGCCCGTATGTACCGCCCGTAAAAGCACGGCGTTTTTAGCAGCCTTATAACCTGACATCGTTAAAATACCCCATGGTGTAGTTCAATTAAGAAACATCAGTTGAGAGTTACATGATTTAAGAAATCATAAAGCTTACCGTCCTGACTTTGGGATCACTCTTGGCTTTGGTAGTCAGCCTGTGTACTCTCCATACTTTGCTGAACATGGCACCAAAGGACAATGTGAAACCTGTGGTGAGCAACCAGGCCCTTGCTTGACAGATCCTGGGATACTCCGCTGGGGTAACGAACCTACCATCCAGACCCAGGAGGTATACCGCGCACAGACACACTATGATGCCGAACAGCATGATCGTGTTACATACTGGATGCGATGATTGTATCACCCTGAAAATTATTATATTTGTATATGATTTTTCGGATGAAAGCATCCGCATGAGCTAGTATGCTTAGTAAACAACAACTTGAGTGATAGTAAAAATCAATAACTTCAGATATATCATTCAAAAACATAATACATAACAGAGGTCCCAAAGTAGATCCTTGAGGAATATCAGACACAACAAGGTATTCGCTTGACTCATGACTATTGCACATAGCATTCTGCTTTCTATCAGATAAATAAGATCTGAAAAATGCTAGCGGTGGATCTGAAAGACAAAATCTGGGTAACTTATTGGGAAGTATGTTATGTTTTAAGCTGTCAAAAAATTAGTGTCCGTTTGCAGTTATTCATAGGTTTACATACTGAGTAAGACACTGCAAGTTAGTTGTTCTGGACCTGCTCTTCATGAAACTATATTGACTTACGGAGATATACCGGTTCACATGGAAATATAGTACAGTTTGTATAACTATTTTGAACGTTTTAGCAAAATTACTGATAATTGTGATAGCTCGATAGCGTTCAACATAATTCCTTTCATTTTCAAAAACAGGAGTTACCCTATATAACTTCCAAACAGATGGAACATGATTATTTTTCAGAGAGAAATTGAAAATGATCATGATCACGCTAAAATGGATGCACCTACCCACGCCATTGCTCCTTTGTCATGTCCGCTGTTGCGAAAATTCATAAACAAGGTTATTGTCTTCCCACGATCGTACCTTGGTGTGTGTCCACGAGGCTTTCTTTATATCTCTCAAGTAATTGTTTACCGAATCATAATGTTTGATGCATTCTTTCGTTCTGATTTAACCGATCAAAAATCAAATTTCTACATAAAAATACATCAAATCGGGTGTACCGCAATGCTCAGTGCTGGGACCATTGACGTTTTCACTTTACACTGCAGATTTCCATGATAACTTCAATGCTACTCATGCTCAACTTCTTTCTGATGATATGCAGGTGACTTTAATGCAGACAATGTCAACGGGTCCATGTCGCTAGCAAATGCGGATCTTGTTAGTGTTAGTAGGTACTATAGTTCTCACAACTTAAGACTCAATTGCCAGAAATGTTTAGCCATACTATTTGGCAATGAAAAATTGTGTGAAAAGATTAAGCTAATAATTCATATCAAAGTTAATGGTGAGGAAATTTTGTTTTAAGAAAAAGTAAAAAATTTGGGCACCTACGTCTTGAAAGATTGTTATCTATCCTTCAGGATTCTGTTTGCAAACAAAAATATTCTGCAAAATTGAATTGTGTCAAAGTCTGATAGTCTATTTATTTCTAAAATGTTATATTTCTTATTTATTACCCTCGTCTGCGCTTGCAGATAATAAATAATAAGTTTGACCATATCGCAACCTTGCATGGCAAAACGTTCAAAATCTTTTCAATCGTGCCAATATCATCCTCTCAATATCGCAGTTGTATACCAAGTACAGTCTTCAGGTTCGTCGCGATTATACCATAACCATCCCAATAAATGGCATAACACTCTTCAGATTTCTTACTCACAATAAGTAAATATAATAAGTAAATAGTTATATCATATAACAGCTTAGGCTAGGATATTAATACTATCCAGTCTATCCAGAAGTTTAATAACCAGTTTAAAGGGCATTGAGAAGAATTATACAACCATCGCTAGTCCAAGAAGTTCTTTCGTTATCATATAATCATTATTATTATTATTATTATTATTATCATTATAGAATCAATTCTCCGTTATTTCACATCAAAATCACCTTTCAGGGATTTCAAGGTGATACAAATTTCGATCAATATCACTGCTGTCACCTTATAGTTGTTCTTATGGCGTTACACGTAAAGCGGAAACAAAAAAAATGTTTCAAAATTCCCTTATATTAGGCCTTTTTGTACATCTAGTACGTATGAAACGGAAAACACGCTTTTTTCGTGACAGTCAAGCGCCCAGTCACTGTTGTAACTTACATTCTCTGCACTGGTTTTATTGTGTAAGATTAATATACTGTATAGAGATCACTCTAAATTAAAATGAAAGGCACCACTCTATCAAGCATGCCCAGAAGTCAGTGACGTCATGACATATTTACTAGCGCACTAAGGAAGACAATGTAAATAGTTCTCTCAAAATGGATCGAGTACTTTGCAGCCTGAGTTTGGCACTTTGTTAAAGGACATAAAATATAAGGGCTCCTAAAATTTCACAAAATTGGGTTGATTACTCGACTACTTGTTGCTTAGTATAAGTATGAGGCTCAGGTCAATTTTACGGTCAAGCTATTTTTTTCTGAGGTTTGATGGGAATTTCAAGAGCGACTTCAATAGGTCTCTAATTTCTCAGAAACTGGCAGATACTCGAAGTCCGTAGAACAACTTTACTCCTGATAAATTAAAAAAATATTATTTGATCTTATATCTTATATCTTATATATCATGCGGTGAACTTCGGGCAGTAATAATCCGACGATTAGGGCTTCCAGAGATAAGCCAAAATCGCCCTTATATAGCCAGTTATTTTCTGGTTATCCCGCCAGAATCCAGCCCCATAATTGACCTCATAAATTGTAAGTTGCAAATAGCGTTTTATTACGTGGCGCGGTTGCTGCTCATCTATAATTTATAAATGACCACAGTTACCGACTGAATCAGTGGCGTGTATCAAGTCAATCCTCGGATTAGAATTGTGGTCCTTATGTTACAAATGAAACATTCCATTCACTCTGGAAGCTCGCTTTACCCAAGAAATTCGAATAGATTCGGAGGAGCCTAGTCTATATGTTTTCATTGCATTGTTTGTTGTCAAAATTGCGTAGCTTTATATAATAATACTTACCGGTGGAAAGATCCACCTTCATCAGGTTTATGGCGCTCCTTGAAGATTATGCAAGAATTATTATATCCTGAAATCGACTCATTATCTGCAAACACTTACACGGACAATTACACACTAAAAAACTGACGGAAAATTCACTTATGTCAAGTCCACTTGTGGTATGCGCTTTCATCCTGATTACAGACGGAGATCCAGAATGACAGATTCCCCTTAAAAAGCTACAAACCTAGGTGGTTTCCGCGATATGAACACAAGAAAGTTACTGAAGAATCTATCTAATCATTCTCATCTTCTCTTAAAGCCCATGTTTTTATTGTAAGGGGTTTCTATTTCCCTAATAATAATAATAATAATAATAATAATAATAATAATAATAATAATAATAATACTAAGTAATAATAATAATGATAATAATAATGCTGTATATTCAATAGCATTTACACAAGTTAGAAAAATAAAACTAGTTAGATTTTAAATAAACATAAAATAAGAGGACGAAGAAACTTTAATGTCAGATACAAGACACATTAAAACAGACCACTAAAATCGTTGTCCGTAAAATCGAATATATTATAAAAGGCTTTCCGAATTAAGTATCCCTTGAGTATTTTCGTGAAATGTTCCGTATTTAGTGACATCACTGATTGTGGAAAAACGTTGTAAACCTTAATACCATAGTAGCTATAAACATCTCTGGCTCTTTGCGCCATACTATGTGGAACTGCTAAATTTTGACTAAATCTAGTTTGGTAGCCATGAAAGTCCAAGTTTCTACTATAGTTGCTTATATTTCCCCTGACATACAAGATATATATATATATATATTTATATATATACTTATATGTGTTAAGGTCAAAATAGCCATGCATTTATCACCACAGGAATCCCTGCTATCACTCTCACACATTTCCTTTGTATTGCAAAAACTCTAGAAGTATGCGAGGAGTGTCCTCACAACAGTATTTCATAAACCATATGGGAGTGAACGTAGCTCGAATAAGCTCGCAAAACGAGATTCTGACACAGGCAATTAACTAGATTGCGAAGGGCAAAGAAACTTTTACTAAGTTTGGTGGTCAGGTTATTGACTAGCTCTTTCCAGTTCAAGCGACTGTCCAGATGAAAGCCAAGAGATTTTACATAGACATTGTTACCATGATATTGTAATAATAATTAATGGTATTAGGTAGAGTAGTCCTTTGAAGTATGCCTCCCTGTATCCTCGTTTGATCAATGGTCGCAAAATTGGTAACCAGGGAGCTAAGCTCGGGCAAATTCCACAGTTCAATTTTCAGCTTCCCACATATAAGCGATCGGCTACGGCCGGTCGCCTGCACCGCCGTTTACAGCGTCAAGTGGCGTTTTTTTTTTTTTTTTTTAGGACCTAATCCATGCAGCCAGAAACTAGGTTGTTATATTTTACATTTCTAATTATGGACAAACACACGACGTCACAACATCCATGGCCAAGGCGAGATTCGAACTCGCGGCCCGGCCGACCGGCTGATCAGTAGCACGACACTCTGACCCACGCGGCCAACCGAGGTCCCAATCAAGTGGCGTTAATTTGACGGGAATTCAGTACAGGTTCGGACATATCCGTTCTTTTCAACAGCTCGCAGCAAAGCAACATCATATCATTAACTTGTATGGATGACTGCATATAGTCTGTTAGTCAGAAATTGGTTGTTGGAAATAAGGAAATAATTTAGTAAAAGGATTGACTCGTACGTTATATCAACAAGACTATATAATAAATGTCTAGATATGCAATACAGCATTTGTAAGTCGATGGACTGACCCATTTTTTACCCATTTTTACCGTAAATCGTAAGTACCCAACAGATAAATGTTTCTAAATGGCGCCAATTATTTAATGTGACGTCATCACTCAGTCTCACGAATTAAGATAATTCTTCAAATAAGAATCGTCTGGATAGCATAATTTTTCAAGAAGTGCTGTACTTCACTTTACTTAGACTGTCATTTTAAGTTTGTTTCAAAAAACAGGGGACTTAATATTTGTGTGAAAAACAGTGATGAATTATGATTTTTTATTATTTTATGATAAGGAAGCATTGTGACAACTGCGGCTTACCCGGCGCTTATGCATCAAACGATTGTTAACCATACATTCATTGCTTGTTACAAACGATTTAGTTTTAGGGCGAATTTAATTGCATCTGGCTTAGTGATATTCACAATGCGGAGGGTACATCGTTGACTCTTGTTGACGAAGGGCTATTTGAGCGGAATAGATGTATGCAATTCATTTGAGAATGTTCAAAATACAGTATGCTATCACGAGCTTCTATTAGTCGCGGTCATTTTACAGATGCGCTCATCTCAATTTAATTCGCTTAGCTCATTGCATGTTCTTTTCACCAAAAGATTACATGAGGTGAAATAAATCATGGTGCCAGAATACATTTTCCAATAGTTTTCCGATTTGTTTAGCATTTCAGCTTCAGTGGTGTGTTGATCATGACATTAAAAATGTTTCCATTTTTTCCGACTCCAAGCCCGTGCTGTAATCACTGTTAGTTGCAGTCACACTAGTAACTATTTGATACGTCACATCAAATCCTTTGTATCTATACTTTCTAGACGTGATTGGAGGTCCTTTAAAGCACGATGGTCAGATAGCCGACCTAAACCATATATTTTTTGGATGTTAAATTATAAACCACATATAGATAACCTGATTTCAAAACCCTGCCGAATATGATTTTAAGTACCGCTTAATACTTCGTCGTTATTGAGCTTACAGAATAAAAGGTTTATGATCGGATTCCTCAATCAGGTTTAATTAGAAATTTAGTACTTTATATTTATATATGTATTTCTATTGTAAACTGTGCCAACTGAACCTTAGATCAAAGCCAACCTCTCAAGCAAAAAATATATTCCTACAGTAGAATTTGATTTTTATATTCTTTTCGGCTCTATTTTTTGAATTTTACGGCACGTGTACCATTATGGTCAATTGTTCAGGAACCTATGTGCAACTTATTTCTGAAACAATAATTTTGGTGTGCTTACAAGAAAGGTCTACTTTTGGGAAAGCTTTTAATGAATAAAATCAGTTCTATTCTGAGGGACAATAGAAAGATCCCGATAAATCGCTGTGAAACAGGTAGTTGGTGGGTCATAAATCTGACCTGTGCTTCTATCCCTACGCCTCAAGTAGTCGGCTTTTTGAGCCCATTCTCACTTCCTATGTCACACTGGCGAGGAAGCATTGTTATCGCGAAAAATTTCGAAAATGAGATACAATGTTTTTTGTGTGTTTAATGACATGAATATCACGAAAAGCTATGTCATTTATTTCGATCTGTCTGTGGGTCGATCTGTCAGGTTGTCTGTCCGCTAATATTCTACCGCCGATAGCTCGGAAAGTGTTGCATGGATTTGGTTGAAATTTTCAGTCAAGGTTACGAAAAAGCTTTGTAGTTTCTGAAAATTGGTCTAATGGCGGTGCAGAGAAAGGCCAAAAACAAACAAAAATAAGTCACTTAAACAATGTTTTTGACGTATCAGCGGCTCCTGATAATTAAAAAAAAAATTAGATGGAAACTTTTGGGGTTGCAGGTGGTCTTATTTTTTTCATATTATTATATTTATACATTTCCAGTCCCAGTAATTCTGTACACATATCAAACATGTTTCACACCTCATAAATTTTCCATTAAAGTATTTTCAGTAGACGGATTGCTTTTTATATGATTATGTATCAAGAATAAAACATTATTGGTAAGCAGTTTACACCAGGGCTGCAAAGAAATGAGGCTCCTGCGTACGGACACGCTCATTGCTGTAATATGAGAATTTTTTTTTATGACAAGCCCAAATAGTGCACTACTGCTTCTGTTAAAACCTTCGTCTTTTTGATACTGTTGCACTACATGGAAAATTGTACCAGAAGTTGTATCTAAGGAGGGAAGTATAGAGTTCATCTACTTGACGCCATTTTTGAGAGATTATCTTTTAGCACAATTCAGATCGTTGGAGCTTTTGAAGCGATTACTGATTTGTCAACTTTGAACAAGATTTCTGTACTTTTTATGACATTTAACAATACCCTTATCTAGATTGATCATAAAATTGCTTATCTGGGTCTGAAAACTGTTAACATAAAAAAGACAAGCATAAACGAAAATCAACCCTTCCGTAACAACAGTTTTCATAATGGGAGAGACCCGGGATCGGAGGTGCCATAAAATTGAAAGCTTCCCGACTGCGAGGTAAAGGGTTTCGTTCCCCAATTCTCTTATGTAACCTTTCATTTGGGTATGGCATTTGCTGTGCTGGGATTTACCAATATGAGTCCAATAAATACGAATTAAGCTTTCTAGAAGGATCTCCTCGACACATTGGAAATTGGTTTCGTTATAATATTTTCCTTTGTATGTCGTGACATTAAAGGGTAAAATATCATGTAGAAATTCTAGTATTCTCTATGCTATCATAAGTACACATAAGCTTCTACAATATCGTGCAGTATCATTTCAGAGCTAATAGATAATATGCTAACAGAGCTTTCCGAGTTGTCATGCGAAATTCGATATGTGGCACAAGAAAGTTGAACAACAGCTTGCTTCAAAGGGCTCAACACTGGCCTCTCTGATATTCAGTTCATGCACGGTTAGCTTTTAGCGTGGAGTTTCTTATTACGCATGGTATCTAAGAAAGTTAAATACAAAAATTATAGTCAACAGTATGCTACTAACTTGGAAAACAATTTTAGTGATACAGAGTGATTCATAACAACGTGGTCACTCAAACATACACTTTTTTCAATTAATTGCCCCGTATTTTAATGAAGATTTCAAATGAAGCAATTTGATGTAACATGCAACGAAAAAATCGCTCAAGTTTTACAAATCGCACCTTCGAAACCTATTACAGTATAGCTTTTGTCTTTGAAAATTTGTATTGTCCCTTGTCCCTCACCTAACTGAGCTTTGTGACTATTCTCGTAAGTGGTGACTTCAACCTAGCAACAGACTTGCATACAAGTAGCTAAACGTTTGATTTGACACCACCTCCCCAACGCACAGCAACATTCCTCGGTATTTGGAAGTTACACTCGATAGCCTAATAGACAAAATTCTCAATTAATATGAGGGGAGGGCGCATATTTATCCTTTGTCTCAGGGCGCATAGAACTCTGAAGCCGGCTTTGTCATAGTCAAACTCTACTACAAAATCTGCGCATATTCAACGTGTTAGTAAGGTATTTCATCGAAGTTCTTCAAAATTACAGGAGGACCCAGCAGATCTAGACATCAACAGATAAAGTGCCTGCACGTAAATGGTTTTGACTAACTAAGCACCTCAAAGCAGAAATGACTAGAGATGTCTCAAGAACGATATCAATCAATGACCTGTGAAGAACCACTTGGATTTGACCTCCTCGAAATGATACAGCTTTTATTAATCCTAGAGATCATTTCTATGACTACTTACCGTCTGTGCTTATTCCAAACATTGAAAATAATCAGACCAGTTGCAACCACAATTCCTAAACTAGATATAATACACATACAGATGAAAAGAGGTAGCGACACTGTCCTTAACACTCTCCTTATGATGGTTCGATCTTGTGGCACTTTTCCACCTGTAACAAACAAAAGCAATTGTCAAAAATACCAGAAAAAGCTTAATGCAAGCAGAATTGTAAACCAAAGTAACCATTTGCATTTTTATACGGGGCTAAACATATAGTTAGGAACATTTAAGCCCGATTTTACTAAGCTGGGGCGCACATTCATCCAATGATAAGGCGTCATTGAAGTAATGGATCTGATGCTTATGCTCTATTTCTTGTGAAATGTCTCTCCAACTAGAGAATAATTATACGGTTTGCATAAGATTGTATCAGGTATTATCCACCTTTCGTGTAGGCCACAAGTCCTTCATTTTGATTAGTCGTCTTAGTGACCATACGCACATCTTTTTTTTTGATTTGATAAATAGCAAAGACTGTCACAACTTTTTTGTTGTTAGTATTTTTAGTACTTTCAGAGCGCACACTGTGAAAGTATGTTTCATGGACATTTTACAAAGCAAACCATCAAACCAGTGATCAGTTAAAATACCGTATTGTCTTAATGGCATTGGAGATCCCTGGCGAAAACCACATTTCCATAATTGGTTATCCGAAACTGCTTTGTTTCATTGATATTCAAATTTACTTAAGAAAGTCAGCACAAAAAGCCTCAAGAAGATCTATACTGTGGAGAAATGCAATTTCCAAGAGACAAATTTTAGTGATTAAGCTAGGGTGGATATCAGTTGTTTCTGGGATTGCGGAGAGATTTTATTCAAATTGTTCAGTGAATTTTTAGATCGGCTGTAAATGTACAAGGGGCTGTGAAATTAACCACAATCATTATGATTACGATTTTCAAGCGACAAGTTTGTTGTGAAATAGCCGATACAACTAAAAATAAAAAAAACTGATGTATACAATAAAAGCCCGTCTTAACTCGTAAAATACCCTTCCTAAGCTGTGCTGCAATAAAACGACTGCAATAAGCTCTCTCGTTAGCCTTGTTTTAATATAACCTTTTGTAAAAAAGGGGTTGACTAACATTTACTCAGCCTCCTATTATTAAGGCGAGCTGTTTAATTTTCAATAAGATTGTAATCTCCGTGCAGAGCTAAAGCTGCGTTAAAATTATACGGCTCCAAAAAAGGCACAGTACCAAAGTCTCGCTTATATTTGCATGAAATATGGCCCGAAAGGGCATATTTTAAGGAGAAACGTGTTACTGGTTCATTTAACATTTCTCCATTTTCCTCGTTTTTCAATGGAACCATATATAGGGTCTTCCGCATCAATGTGCAGATGAAAATATAGGTCGATCCTACATGAAAAAAAAAATGGCGTCAAGTTGACTGACTCTGCAACTCTGCAAAAAAGTGTTAGTCACTATTCTGCAATATCGCAACATTGTTCATATTTACGGTTATTATTTTTCAATCAAAATATGTTAATTAATAATGTCGCAACCTCACAAGTGGCTAATTTACGTCAGGTTTATTTTCTATCTTCGTTGCGCTCGATGCAGGTTTTGAAAGGATTAAGCTCTTATCCACAGGAAAATATATGTTTCTAATAGGAGGATAAAATTGTCCACAACAATTTTTTTACATAAATAATCAGGAGTTAATAAATGAAGATTAAGCGATTTTAATTTTAAGATCCTTTTTTGCCTGTTGCTCCGCAAATGTTTCTTGTCCTTGCCGTAATAGTACCATTATTTAAAAATTTCATCAAAATCCAAGCAGCAGTTTCTAAGTTATAGAGGCATCAGCCGACAGACGGCAGACAGTCCGGAGGAAATAAGTGTAACACTCAAAAAAGCTGGTACCCGATCAATGCGCCGTCATAATTTATAGCTTCAGATATAGATCCAGCGATCTAGCTCTCTTATAATACTTTTAGGTGATTTTAATTAAATTATTATGGTAAAAGCATGAAAACAAGAAAATTGAAAGAAACCATAAACAACTATGGGTTCAAGCAAAAAATTGAAGAGAGTACCAGAATAACATCATTATCAGAGACTTTGTTAGATCTTGTTATTGTAAATTTCGAATGTGCAGGGATTAAAGCTGTACATACACCTAAATTTAGCGATCACAGTTGGACAATGCTGCCCTTGGTAGGGCATTTTTCTGATACAAAAATTAAGAAAATCGTAAATACTATTAAGTACGAAAAACTTGAACGAGAACTTGCTGGCTGCTATTGGAATTTTGGTGAGAATATTGAAAAAATATATGATAACATAATAGGAAATATAAAAACTTGTTTAGATCTTGCAACTGATAAAAAAGTGATTTGCTCGACAAAAAATACACCCTGGTATAACAAGAATATTAAGGCAGCTCAAAATTTGAGAGACAAACAATACAATAAATGTATATTCACAAAATCAAATGATGATTGGGAGGTATATAAAACTCTTAGGAATAAATGTGTATATGTAATTAGAGAAGAAAAAAGGAAATTCTACGATAAACAAATCGATAATAACAAGTGTGACAGTGTAAAGATGTGGAAGACTTTAAAAAGACTGATCAATTCGAAGCCGCATGATTGTGTAAATCAAGTTCAATTCGAAAACGGTACCGAAACAAATTCTTTGGTGATTGCAAACAAACTAAATGAATATTTTGTGGAAAGTATTGTTGATATTGTGGGCACTGCCAATGCTGCACCTGACTATATGAAAATCAGTTTCCAGGGGGAAATGTTGCATACACTTTCAAACTTTCACAGCGTATCATTGAATTATCTAAGAAAAAAAGTAGTTTAAAATTAAATAACAACTGTGCCGAAATCACTACTAAAAACGTGCTGAAAAACTGTTCCGAAATTTTGGGATATCCTGTATTAAATTGGATCAATTGTTCACTGAGTAGCAGTTCTTTTCCTGAAAATTTGAAATGCTCTACAATAACACCAGTTCCCAAAATAAAAAATTCTAAAAGATGCAGCGATATGAGACCAGTAAATGTGTTACCAGACATTGAAAAATTATTAGAGTCCATAGTGCAATGCAGTTTATAGAAGAAAACAAAATTTTAGTGGAGGCGCAAGCAGGCTTTCGAAAAAAATATTCCACAGAAACAGCTTTCCAGTTGGTAACTGAGAATTGGAGAAGAGCCATAGACTCAGAAGAAGTTGTCATAGCAGTATTTTTGGATTTGAAGAGGGCATTTGAAACGATTGATAGAGATATTTTGTTAGGTAAATTGAAGGCATATGGTATAACAGGAAGTGTTTTAGATTGGTTCAGAAATTATTTGTCTAAAAGGATGCAAGTTACAAAAGTTAATGACACTATTTCATCAAAAATTGAAAATACGTTGGGTGTTCCACAGGGCAGTATCCTGGGACCACTTTTTTTATTTTATACATAAATGATTTACCTGCCATAGTAAAAAAATGCAAAATTCAGATTTTCGCCGATGACATTATGATTTATATAAGTACTAAAAATATTCAGTCTGGTATATCTTATATAAATGAAGACTTGAAGCTTGTCTCAAAATGGTTAGCATCTAACAGACTAAATGCAAGTAAAACGAAAGAATTGTTAGTCGGAAAACAATAATGTACAAATGTTCAACTGAATATTGATGGTGAAGATATTGAATTCGTAGAAAATTTTAAATACCTGGGGGTTTTTGTTGACTCTCGATTAATTTTTCATATTCATTATGAAAAAGTTATAATTAAGATTAGTAGTAAAGTGGGATATTTATCGAGAGTTTCTGGATGTCTGAGTTAATATAGCAGAAAAATTATCTATAATACCATCATTCTTCCAAATTTCTTGTACTGTTCGATTATTCTATATTTAGCAAATAATTCTATTTTTGAAGGACTGCAAATTTTACAAAATAAGTGCATGAGAATAATATTAAATAAATATAAATATACTCCAATTAGGCAAATGCTTAGCAAATTAAAATGGCTCAATGTAAAAAATTTTATCAAATATCTTGTAATCATTTATAAAGTAAAAAATTATATATTTCCATCAAGTCTAACTAATTTAACATCATCAAATGTCGACCATCATTTACATAATACCAGAAATAAAGATGACTTCCATTTAATGACCAAAAAGTATAACATATGCTACAAATCTGTATTCCATCAAGGGTTGATTGAATATAATAAATTATACTCGGAGATAAAAGACCAGAAAACTTTGACAAAATTTAAAGTAAAATTGAGAAATCACTTGTTAAATCTACAATTACAGGTTGCCCAGCATTTACATCATACACCATATGGCTTGAATTTACTAGTTCTAAGTTGTTTACAATTATTCTGTTTATGTAGCCAAATGTGCTAAATAAATCTTTCTACTACTACTACTACTACTCTTATACCGCTACACCAATGGGATTTGCTCCTCAGAACTCTCCGCCGCGCGATGTGCCTGCCAGACAGACCCGCCTGACTTTGGCCTCTCATCCTAACCGTGTCGAACTTCGTACATCCAGAACTGACTGACACGACCGCTCCTTTGTCCCTAGGGAGCCTAAATTGTGGATCAAGCTACAAGAGGAAGCTTTTCCCACTTCTACTAACCTTACTCAGCTCAAAAAAAGGAAAAAGGCAAAAAAACGTAAAAGTAAAAATCGCTAAAACTTTTCGTTTTTCGGCGTTTCAGAGTATCTTAATCATTATTGGAAAATTTCTTAGCGGTAAAAATAAGAGAGTGGGGGTTGTAGAGGGTGGAGGAGAGTGCATTGCAATTTTTTGATGTTAGTATATTAATACACTTCCAACACCGATAATTATCCGCACTTATTAGACATATTTCACAGATCATAGAATGCCCCATACGTTTTCCCTTTAAACTTAGAATGATAAAAAAATGTTTTCGACAAGCGTGCTCGCGTCTTTTAACTACCGCTGCCAGCGTCCCGGTGTTAGTATATGTCCTGCAGCGCCAGAAATCGAAATCCTTAAAGTGAGAATTAACCAGGGGTCTAACCAAGTCATCGGGAAGGGAGGGAAGTAGCCTATATGTTGACGACAACTAAAGCGCGGAGGTGAGGGGGTTAGGCAGAATAATTATATTATATAATAATAGAGAATTACTTGAAAAGCCGGGGGTTATTAGACACGTGTCATCTGAACGAAACTGTAAATTCATTGATAGGGGACGAATTTAGAGGGACATTTTTAGGTGGGGGGACTTCTGGGAGCGAGCGTTGTTGCGATCTTGTGACAACAGAAAACGCGGAGGAGGGGTTACCGACAATTGAAAATTGAAGAGCGGGGAGGACAATAATGTACTGGGGGGGCTCTCTCTCCCGGTTGTTGTACAAAAATGGTAATAATTCTTATCTGGAAACACTGAGTCAAAAGTGTTAGGATGGGATGTCGTTGATATGCTTGGAATACGACACCTTGACATGACATTTGACCATAAACGCCATTGTGCCTAGAACACAGAACTTCCGAAGGTTCTCGTCTTATGTTTCATTTATTTATATGGTACACTATCAGCAAAATTAATTGTTACCAGAAATGTTGAGAATCGCCAGTCATCGCCAATTTGTTGGATACTGGGCCCCACTAAAGTAGCCGATCGTCAAGCTATCCATTTTAAGTTGCCAAATCGCCACGCCTGGCAACACTGGCGCTCTGCCTCCTGTGACGCATCATGATTTTAGATATTGTGGAGGAAATAATGTTATGGACTAATTGTACGGACCTGTTTGACGTACCTGATCCGTCTAATTTCTCTGTTATACTTACTTTTTCATAGAACGTCTAACTTCAACATGCTTTTTTCGTCTGTCCAAAGAAAAACAGCCAACCACAGATAGCTCTTTCGTGCTATCTTGGCAACTCATCAGCAGGCTTGGTCTCTCTGACAACGAACGAAATCGCATTAACCATCCAAAATATAAGGTCTATGTCGCTGTCTTATTTCGATAGGGTCTGACATCCTTTACGAACTGATGACGGCGTTGCGTGAACAGTCATCCTACTTGACGCCATTTTTTGCCATTTTATTCTCACACTACTTAGTAGGTACGCCCCTGATGGGGTGTAACTCTTATCACGGTTTCGCTAACTTTTCTGCAACTCATTATCCATAATCCTATTCCGAGAGGTTGTGTGTTTATTTACATTTTTCTGTCCGAATACGAAACACCAGAATTAATTAGCAGCATTAATTTTGCTGACTGTGAGTTTTTTTATGCCGCAACCCCAAAGTCGGCGGTGCTACGGGTTGTAGACGTGATTGTTTTCACAGGCGTCCGTGGATTCGGGCCCTATATTATGCTAGAATCTGCGGTGAATGGTGAATAATGCTTCTGTATAAACGAGTTTGTTTTTTATATCCCTAGAAAAACACAGGGTGTGGTAAAAAAATGGGACTTACTGTGTCACCTAGAGGATAAGAACCCAAGTCTCCTGTCTCGACAATCGCGGTAGATCTAGTATGTAGGGCAGGTCCGGAACAGTTTGGTAGAGAGGAGGTATTTATTATTAAAATATCAGCCACATGCAGAAAGGGGGGTCCATTAACGCGGCTCGGACTACCCCGAGGACCATGTCCTGAGGTAACCGGGGGATGAAAACGAAACGTGAGTGAGTTGGTCTTAGACGGTCGTCGGCCCTACTTTAAAAAAAGGAAAGGATGACTGTAGGCGCTAACCGGGGTAAATTTCCATAATAACAGAGTCGGATTTCGATTGGCGATCTAGCCCTCACAATCCCCATTATAAATATCCCAATTTATTCTTCCCTACTGTCGGCAGTTGTAGATCTATTGGCTCTCGGTGCCAAACCTATAGCGCAGGTACCGATTTTTTCAAATTGTGAGTACATTATTCGTCGGATATTCGTCACTTCAATTTTCCATAATTACTGGGATCAGAAACTTCTTAACGATAGGACGTGTTTTACATATCAAAGATGCAACATTTAATATCATCTTTCCCAAACCCCCACCTTCTAAGCACTACAATTTTTTATGACAATAATTAGGAGCTCAGGAAAAGTCAAAAACGGACTTTCAGCGATTGTTATTTTTTTCGTATTTTGCCTATAGCGCCACTAAACTACAAAGCTTTGGCATAGTAGTAACCTTGTGCGGACATTTCATAAAAGTCCGAGCGATTTTTTTGCAAGTTATAGACGGGCAAATGATTAGCAGACAAATGGATAGAAACGAGTGATATACGAATAGTTTTTCGTGATGTAGATGCCATATAAGACCTAAAAAACATAACATTTTCTAAGTTTTTCGTGCTTCTGACTTGCCAAGTAAAATGGCTTTAAGATGGACTTAGGTTTAATTTATTGGCCAGTGTAAGATAGATAGATCAGAGAGACAACCGGGACATAAATTCAGAAGTTACATTTACCTAACTAGTTACGAACATTTACTTGGCATAAGCGATCGCGGTTATAAATGCCTATTTTCTGAATGAGATATTATATGAAATAGGGCCACCAAATTATCTGAATACCTCTCTGCTTAGTCCGTACATACTGCCGCGTCGCTTGGGTTGGCAGCACGATACAGTAGACAATTCGTGCAAAATCCGATTCGAAACTGACGCTTCATTTATTAATATTTTCGAATGAAATTTTTACAGTGCGATGAAAACAAAACCCTATAGGGGGTGCTATCGAGCCACTTTTTCATTTTTTCCGCTAGGATCTTTTTAAAAAAATCGTTCAACAAAAAAGTAAGCATTTCAACCCACCTTAATTATTGCGCAAAAACAATATTTCAGAAAGTGCTCCGATAAGATCCTGGGAAATTGTTTTCTGAACATACTGTATGAATTTCATTCAAAAATATTGAATAAAGGAGTGTCAGTTTCGAACCAGCTGAACCCCTGTAGTTTTGTCGACATTTGTTTCATTATTTTTATGTAGATTGTATTCTAAGATCATACTAACATACATAGTACCACATATTTTCTGACTCAAAATAAGTCGACTGGGCACGATTTACCTCTATGCAAAAGTACTTCGTTTGTCCGTTATAGGCCCTCAAAGGTTTCATCTTAAAACACATTTTTTCAGATACTTTATGCCAAAGATAGTCCGATTTGAATGAAATTGGGGATACATGTGCTTTGCTAGACGTCCTAATATTTGACTTTTACAAAAAAACCGAAAGGATTTGAGAAGGCTGAAAACTACCCCCACCCCCACATAAATTAAGGCAAAATTTTTTCGCAACTGTTCCTACGAGTCGATTTTTTTTCCATTTAAAAGGATCCTTCCATTTACCTCTTATAAAAACAGGCCATCTCTCATAGTTTTCGAGAAAAAAAAATGTTTTTTGGAGCTGGTTTCTAAAAAAATTCTTATTACATCAGGTGTTACGATCTAATAAGCATCTAGTTGACGGAAATGTGAGATATTATGTCAGAATATTTTCGACAATAAGCTGTATAAAGTTTGAATTAATAAGTAATGTTTGCGTTTATTTTTGATTGTTAATTTGTTATTTGTTGTTCATGAATTTTAAAATAATCAACTTTAAGATTATTTTTGGTTAGGTTTTTGTTGTTGCTTGTTTTTTTCGTAAATATGGAATATTCTTTTGTCGAACAGACTGATATGTTGTTGGCACTTGGTGTCTGCGAAGGTTATTTCAGAAAAAGTGTTCGCGTGAATCAAAAGAGATATCCGATCGAGGAAATCCAAATCGTCAGTTACTTTCGTACTACTGCCCGTTTTAAATAAGATTCTAATATGCAATATCTTACTAACTAACCCAGATGGCCTGTTTTTAATGAGACAAAAATTAAGCAAAAAAAAGTCTGAAAAATAAAAAGAAATCTAGAGTTGCTGGAAAAGCTGCCACATAATAGTGCTATTATTCATGTAGGGGTCGGGGTAGTTTACACACTTATCTACCCCTTAGAGTTGTTCCTAGAAGTTCGAAAGTATTCCAAATTTCATCCAAATCGTTCTATCAGTTCTTAAAATATCTTAAAAAATGTTTTTTTAAAAAGAAAACGTTGACCCTCTGATGGACAAACAAAGTACTTTTGCATAGAGATCAATCATGTCCAATCGACTTACGTATTTTGAGTCTAAAAATAGATGGTACTTCTATGTCCTGGGAATATCAGAACACCCTGTATGATTAAGCATTAGCATAATTTTATAGAGCTTGGTTGGTCAAGCCTGTTATATATTTTCTCAAAACTTACGTCACAAAAGAGTTTGACTTACCTCTCCAGACCTCCCTGTCGAACCACGTGAGGTTGTCAGCCTGCGTGTCGTAATAGCCCAGCACGACGTAAGTGCCGTTTATCACCTGCTCTATCTGGGTGAGGGCGATACGGTCGCCCTGAGAACTGAACGCCACTATGCCCTGCAAAGGACAAAAAGAAAAAAATCGTTTTAACTGTTAACACAATCCACAAGGGGCAGGCCGGTGAATTTTCACGCGAAATGATATATCGTAGGAGAGTGGAAAATGGTATTAGATTACATTCTTCTCTTTTTTTCTGACGTTTACAAGGTCTGTACTGGAGGTCTTTTAGTGATGGAAGCGTTTTATAGCAGTTGGACATGACATTCAGTTAGTAACCTTTATACGATTTTTCGGAGCATCCGCAACAGCGAATAAGTTTAGTGAACAACAACTTGAGAGATAGGAAAAATGGAAACAGGTGCAACTCCTCCATTCCTTGGAGTCGAACAAATCAATTAGTTTACCAACTATCAGCATCGACTGCTGGAGGTAAATTTACTCCTACCCATACCATTGCTTCTTGTTCTCTCAAGCTGCCTTGGTGCCCCATATGGTGGCAACCACGTGGAAACAAACCGGACTCATAAGGTATCTCCAATCGCTGTCTAATTGCACCACACTGTCTCGTGGGCACACACCACGGTATCACCGTGCGAGGACAGAATCCTGTATACGATGTTTAGTCAACAACATTTTGAGAGATAGAAAACATGGAAACAGGTGCAACACCGTCATTCATTGGAACCGAATAAAACAATTAGTTTACCAACTTTCAGCATCGACTGTTGGAGATGAATTTAATCCTGCCCAAACCACTGCTCCTTGTTCTCTGAAGCTGCCTTGGTGCCCCATATGGTGGCAACAACGTGGAAACAAACCGGACTCATAAGGTATCTTCAATCGCTGCCTAATTGCACCACGCTGTCTCGTGGGCACACACCACGGTATCACCGTGTGAGGACAGAAACCTGTATACGATGTTTAGTCAACAACAACAACTCGAGAGACAGGAAGAATTGTTTTCACTCGAACGCCGCCAGACGGAAGATCAAGGCGGCTTGTAATAACAAGAAGGAGTGGCTGGGGTAAGATTCAATTTGTCTATAACAGTCGGTGATGGAAGCTCATGCTGTAGACTAATTGGTTGGGTCGGCTACACGATATGGAGGAGATGCGGATTCAAATCCCGCCGGCACCCGTTTTTCCTCAAGTTGTTTACTATTCATTTAGCACCATGGTGTCAATGCGACGTAAAGTGCAATACAGAAGCCGAAATCATCACCCATAAGCAGTTTTCCTATTCGTGAGTGGCACACAGGCAGTTGCGTAGATGGATGGTATGTCTGTGACCAGACTCAAACGAGATATTAGTGTGTGAGAACTGATTTTGACATTCATATAATGGCGTATGAATCTTTCAATCTCTCAAAGTTCCGCTCAAGGTGACTAAGAAAATAATACTTCCGAAATTGAGAGTAAAAGAAAAAGAATTATCCTAAAAACGTTTTTATACTTTTCTGACTCTATGCGAGACGAGATTTTGCAATAAATTCCACATTAACAATGTCACTTTTGTAAATTAGATTTTGTTACTCCGTTTCGTTTCTGATCTTCCATAATCAGACTAAATGTTTTCTTATATTTTGGATTTTTGTACAGGTACATACATTTACATCGAAATACAAGGTGTCCAGGAATAGATTTCTGGTGTCCGGAAATAAATTTCCCTTTTTAAAAGAAAATGTCTTGAAAATTTAAAATCAATTTATTGAAACAAAAATACACACAATATAGGCGGATTTCATGTTTTAAAGATTATATGGTCGAGGTGCCTTCCATTTCGGTAGAAACACTCCTGCAATGCCGTCTTCATGCGGTTAAAGACTGCTAAGCATAATTCAGGTGTAATTGCCCTAATTTCTTCCCGTATTCTTTGTTTCAATTCTTGCAAAGTCCTAGGACGATAAAGGAAAAAGGAATTAAGGAATCCCCACAAATAACGTCCAATGATGTGAGATCTGGTGACCTAGCTGGCCAGCTTAGGTCTCGAAAGCGAGAAATGACCTTTTCCGGGAATAATTCTCGAACGACTTCCATAGATGCTCGGGCATCAAATCCTTGTAGTTGAGTACTTTAGTTATTATTGCCCTGACTTAGCTATGATGGTTCAAAATGTGTTTAGCAGCCTGCATTAACGTCAAAGTTTTTACTTGTTCTAAAATATTCATACTAGTTTTATGAACTTATATCTTTTCACAGTTTCCATTCTTATCCTTGTTCTTCGTTCGATGAGTTAACACCAACTATAGAACATTGCTTTCAGTATCATGTAATCGGAAAAGGAACTTTTCGTTCAGTTTATCTATTCAGCTATGCAACATTCCAATATTGCGTCCATAGGAAAAGGTATAGTTGATGATGGAGAACATGAAACGAAACGTCATATTGAATTTTCAATTATGCCAGTTTGTGTGTGCGTATTGAAACGGTTTTCCACTAAACGGACAATTGAGTTTATGCTCTGTTTGTATTTTCTTAAACCTGAAAAACAAAAACAAAACTGACATTCAACCAAAACTCTTGTTTTTGTGTTTGTCTTTGTTTTCGGTCGTTTTCTACTGGTTGTCGCGAACAAGTTAAAGCACAGTTTTTCTTGAATAAGCAACCGATATGTTTTGAGAAGAAACTTTTTTTATTCTTAGTTAAGGCTAGATGATGCTGAAGTCCTTGCAAAAAAGTAAGTGTATATATGTACGGTATATATAATAAACTTGCAACCTTCTTCTCATCATGTCCCATTCAGGGCGCTTCTTAAAATTCTAAACTAACACGTGCGACATGAGGTCATACATTGTCCTGCTGAGAAAGTGGATCTTGCAATGTTTCCAGAAAGGAAAGCAGACGTGGTTGTAAAACTTCGTGGATATAGCGCTGGGCAGTCATGCTACCTTGAATAAACACTAATCGTGACCTTCTGCCGCTCGATGGAACATTGCACGTCTTTCACTACGTCTCCTCCTTACCCTTGCACAGCCATCATGTGTGTCCAAACAGAATCTGGACTCATCGCTGAACACGACTTAGTTCTATTCCATACGAGTATTGCATTCAAGTCTCTCCCTACTCCATACCAATCATTGCCGACGATGCTGTGGGGTCAGAGTTAGTACAAGATTGGGTCGGTATGAAAACAGTCCACTCGGCGACAAACAGCATCAAATCACTGGTTCGCAACTGCCCTTGTTGTGGAAAATCGATTTCAAAGTGCTAGTTGTCTCAAATACAGATCCTATCCAGCACCTCAAACTCGTCGATTTCGGCCTTCTTGGAACCACGCTCAACAACATCTCATCAAATTAGCTTTGTCGGCATCTATCTCAAGACACGCTAGTAGTTGCAGTTTTGTTTTATTCGACACAAGTTTTGTTTTTGTTTTGTCCGTTTCGTGAAAAACGGCATTACAAATACTGTAATAAATTTGGCGCCTAGCATCCATGTCTATTTTGATCACCATGCTCTCATTCATTTTGAATGGATTGAAATCCAAGAGAAAAGTATTTGTGGGGTAATTTAGTGTCTATAACCCCGTAGTTACAAACAACGCAATTAAAGATTATGATACCCAAATGCACATCTATATCCCGCAATCTTCTCATTGAATCTCGCTTTCCACCTAGACTGACACAGATTCCGCGATGATTCCCTTGGATACGGAAGCGGAAGTGAAAAACTCCCAAATGAATATAATAAATCGCGGAGTTGAATCGGAAAACACGGAACGGCGCCGCATCTCGTTTGAGATAAATTACACGGAGCAGAGAGAACGTTGGATTATTTTTGTAAGTATCATCCTGTGGAACAGTATCGCAGGTTTTAATGAATAGAACAGGAGAAAAACCGTTCCAGCTGCATTTTATTTCGATATGCAGCCCCGGTTAATATAAAAGGAATATTAACTGCGCGAACTTTTGCCCTTTTACTTCCTATGCCAAGCTGGTGGGGAATAATAATAATTCTTTATTTTTGGGTTAAAACTACTAACAAAAAAAACTTATTTGATGAGGGAGGCGGCCTTCAAGATCGTTGTTCTTCCATTCATCCTCCGTCACTAGTATTTGAATTTGATAATAGTATGGGATAACAATACGGCTATCGGCATCTAATATCGAAAATTATATCTTTTTATTTCATTTGTGGGGATTATATAAGAGTCAAATTCAATATTCTTATAATCTATATATTCGTATGATCGATATTATTGACGACCAATGGATTTAATAGTAATTACTTGGACTGTTGATTTCATCAAGGATATAAATTAAACGTAAAGAAGGTACATCAATAAAAATTAAAGTAATTGCAGGAAGAATAGTTCAAATAATCTCAATAGTTTGACCTTCTTGTAAATAACGATGGGTTAATTTATTAAAAAATAATTTAATTATTAGTTGTCCAACTGAAACAGTAACAATTATTAAAATTAATAATGTGTGATAATGAAAAAAAGATAATTGTTCTATAAAAGGTGAAGCGCTATGTTGTAAAAGAATTCAGAATTTCTATAAAAAGTTAAAATGTTATGTATTTGATAGGGGTAGAATTATTGCCTATCGAGATGTTGGTTTGTCCTATCGCGAAATTGGTTGCCGAGTTAATTGTAATGCAATGACGGTAATGCGTGTGTGTCGTGTGTGGATACAGGAACACGAAAAAGAAAAAAATGGTTCACCGAGGGGTATTACAGAGCATCAAGGTAGTCGCTTAAGTCAAGTAGCCCTATGAGCCCTTAAAATGTGGTCCTGTATATGATGTTTCATTTTTGGTCACGACTTGTGAATCACCCTGTATAAAAAAATGCGTTTGGATAGCGGCATTTCATGGCGGTTAAGATAAATGGAGCTTAGATTATTTTTGTGAGTATATTATACCCCTCGCTCAGGTTTTAATGAATAGAAACATGAAAAAACCGCTCCGGTCGCAATTCATTCCGATATGCAACCCCGGAAAGAGCTGCGTGAACTTTTGCCCTTTTTATGCCGGTTAAAGGTAGCAGCATCGTGCACAGCTTACCTTGATCTATGTATACATACATCAGGGCGTTCCACTTTAATTAAGAA